GCTGAAACACAGCGGGAGCATTCCGTAGGCCATCCCGGACAACAAGAGACTCGAACATACCGTACTGTGTCCTGAACGCTGTCAGGTGTTCATGACCTTCCTTTACTCGTAGGAGTTGATAAGCCCCAATTAGGTCTAACTTGCTGAAGTACCTCGCTCTTCCCAGCTCTTCGGTTATCTGGCCGATCAGAGGCAGAGGATAGGCGTCGGGTATCGTTGCCTCGTTTAACTTTCGGTAGTCAATGACCATTCGCCATTGACCTTTCGCCTTCTTCGGTACCAAGAACATCGGTGATCCGTAGGGCGAATTACTGGGTCGAATTCTTCCGGCCGACATTTCGCGATCTAGGATGTCTCTCAGCGCACTTCTCTGATCTTCTCCAAGCGAGTAGAGTGGAGCAACCTTCAGGTTCGCCCCCTCCGTAAGATCAAACTCCAAATCATAGCTCCTCGAGGGAGGTAATTCCTCACCTCCCTTCCTTGGGTTAAAGACATCAATGAACGAGTGGTATTGTTCAGGAACCACCTGATACAATTCCTCCTGTTCCTCCGGACTCAGTTCATCCTGATCATCTTTGTCTCGGAGATCTATCGCGTCCGTCGGAGTTGGCAGACCTATGGCCGCTAACTTCGCCGCACTTGGTGGGGTTGGGATGGGAAATTTCACCGAGTTGTCTCTTCCATCAAGGACAACCCCTTCCTTCCTCATCCAATCCCACCCTATCACAACATCTGCGTCGCAGAGCGTTGTTACATCGAGACAAACAGATCGCACTTCGGCGTCCTTCGTCAAACTAACACCGACTTCGACAAACTCGGTGATGGGTCCAGCGACACTCACCGAGCCGTCGAACATGTGAACGGGTACGCTCACCTGATATCGCCTCTTTTCTACACCTATCTTCGCTGCTGCCCTAGGGCTTATATATGAACAAGTAGCTCCAGTGTCCCAGAGCGTAGTTAGCTTTATTCCATTAATGAAAATGTCCGATTTAGGTTGATCTCTGGAAACGGAAGGGATGAGGAGATGATTATCGATATTGCATGAACAAGGGGTACTGAGTGGTGTATTTTTGTATTCACAATCCTCTGGCTCCATCAGCTGTGTTTCTTTTATGGGTTTGGGAATGGTGGCCGAGAGAATATGGCGGACCCGCCGAGCCTCGCCTACTGCGACAGGTCCTCTTCTTTTCCCTGGTCCTCTTCCAAATCTACTTCTCCTCCAACCGCATTCAAGTTCCTCCTTTGTCCGAGAGGTACTGCGTTCCCTCCCGATCCTCCACCACGTTCTCCGAACTTCTCCCCCCATGGAGGTAACAGTCCAACCTTAACCTTAGCCTCCCTTACAGGACATTCCTTCAGCCAATGTCCTGTTTCACCACACTCCGTACACTTCCCCTCTTTCCTCCTTGTCTCCCTCAGATCGGAGCTTGGCCTAGGCCATTTTCGGCGAACTTCGTCGATGTTCGGCGGCGCACTCCTTACCACCGTGGACGTCATGGCCGCTTGGACACCAACCTGCGCCGAAGGTTGTCCCTTTTCCCATTTCTTCTCTTCTTTCTTCTCCGTCCTCTGACTTTCCACCACCGTAGTCGTCTTTGTCCCCCCTTCCCTCTTCCTCTCTGCCTCCTTCTCCACTTGCCTCCTCCACAGGCGGTTGTCCAAGGGAATCACAAACTCCAATAGCTCCTTCACTGTCCCAAACGATCTACCATGTCTCGCAATTTCATCCAGAAGATGTGATTTTAGACCTTTCTTAGCTCGATCGACTAAGTTTCCATCATCAGACCACTTGAGTATCGCCACATGTCGTTGAAAGGCAGAGAAGTAGTCCGAAGCAGAGCCGGTTTGTTTAAGGTCGTTGAGTTGTCGGGCTGCAGTTCCTTCTTCATCTGGGTCGCCGAAGTTAGTCTTGAGAAACTTGACGAACTGGTTGTGCGCCGTGAGGTATTCTGGGAGAGGCCGTTTAGATAGATCGGGTTGAACGGCAAGGAGGGGAGTTTCGCGTAAGTGAGAGATCATGAAAAAGACTTTCTTAGTGTCGTCGGGGAAAAGATGAGAGTTTAATTCGAAGTGTACGTCGCACTCGGACAGAAAGGCCGTCAACTTATTCCGCTCTCCTCTCCAGAAGTCTGGATTAGGCAACTTGATACCCTTCCGTTGTTCCCCAACTACGCTTGGAGTCGCCGAAGTTTGCCGTCCCATGGCGTACCTCACCCCTTCAGATATCCCTTCTGCAATTCCCCCTACTGTCTCCCTTTCCCTCCTCTGCTCCCACTCCTCCCTGCGCCTACGTTCTTCCATCATATCCTTGTTCATGTTTGCCACCATCTGCATCAAGGCTAGCATCACTCCTTGTGTCCCTCCTTCTCCGAAGTTCGTCCCACTTCCAGCGTTTTCTGGCCGCGGAGTTTGATCCGATCCAACTGGGGATCCGATAGGCGGGGGAGCATCGCCCGCAGGGGTAGGAGGATTAGAAGGTATGGGTGGAATGGACTCATCTCCTTGAACTGACCCCCCTACACTATCTTCCATCCCAAGGTCCTGTCCCATTGCTCTTCTAAGCTCCTCCAACGCTCTCCTCTCATTTTCCTCCATCCTGTCGTCACTCCTACTCATGCCTCGTGTGACTCTCCTTTCTGGTTCCATATTATCTTCGTACTTCTCCGAGGTTCGCACGGGTCGTCGGTAAGAGCGATCCTTGATACTGTCACGGCCGTCGAACAACTATTTCTTAATAGACCGACGGTCGACGAACCTCGGCTAACTTCACGCTCTGAGTCGATGTCTCACCCAACCAGGAGGGCGCAGACGTCGAAAGGGGTGTAACTACGGCGTACTTCGGCGTAGTTACTCTAACTAGGGTTTTGTTCTACTGATGGCGATGTATCTTGATTTAGAAGTTGGTAAAGGTCGAAGCCCACGAAGTTATTGGCCGTCGGTCGTAGGAAGTTAACGAAGAAGCAACCCTGTGCTAATATTATCTACTCCTCCTAGACGTTCATCCAACCCTCTCGCGCTTTGACGTACTTCAACGCACTTCGTCCAACTTCCCCGAGCCCTCGGCCATCCTCTTCCTCCTTCGACTAACTCCGCCTAACATCGCCGCACTTCTGCTCCCATTGTCCCTACTTAGCCTAACTCCGCCTAACATCGCCGCACTTCTGCTCCCATTGTCCCTACTTAGCCTAACTCCGTCTAACTTCGCCGTACTTCTGCTCCCATTGTCCCTACTTAGCTTAACTCCGTCTAACTTCGCCGTACTTCTGCTCCCATTGTCCCTACTTAGCCTAACTCCGTCTAACTTCGCCGTACTTGGTGTCAGAAGTCCTGAGTTACGTGTAGAGTAAAGAGGTTAAGGCGTGATGGGGTTTTGATGGCCAAAGGAGGGTCATTGTTGGTGGAGTAATCGAGGTGTCGCGACGTAGTTCGTGACAGGCAAGGTGACTGGAATGGGGCTGTAACCCAATACTTGTCTCTGGCTCGTAGAGCTTGAGGAGTATACAGAGGGTGACAAGGGACTGAGGGGACTGAGGGGACTGCAAGATGTCAGGCTGGGACTGACTGGATTGACACAAGATCCATAGGTGGGGAACAACCTGTTTGGAGGGGGTATTTATCCCCATCAAGAGGGTTGCTCAACATGTCTACGGAATAAACTAGAAAGCGCAAATGTGGGAAAGATTGCTCAGCGAGCAGACTGAATTACTACTTTGGGAAAGTGGAGGCAGTGTCACAATCGTCGTTTCTTCTTCTCTACTGACCGACGGTCGACAAACCTCGGCTAACTACGTCGTAGTGGGGCGTCGATGTCTCACTAAGACAGGGTACTCGTCGAGGAACTACGGCTAACTTCGCCGTAGTAATACGTCGAGTGGTGAATGATAAGATGGTCGTCGATGAACTACGGCTAACTTCGCCGTAGTACGTTGAACTGCTCGGTGGTAGCTCTCCTTAACTCGAAGGTTGTAGCTACTGAATATATCTCTCGCTACTGACAACAATCAAGGATCGCTGAAGAAGTTCAGCGATCTGTAAACTATCTATACTACTCCTCTCTTCTCGTAGAATGTCCCTCAACTCCTGCACTGCCTCACGCTCAGTCCTCTTCGTTCAACTTCGCCGTACCTTCCCCTGTTCTGCTCTCCCTCGGTTCCCTTCCCCTAACTTCGCCGTAGTTCCCCGCTAGGCGGGGTTATCGTGACAAATCCCCTCTTGGTTCTCGTAACTTAGCCGTAGTTGGTCTCAGTGGTTCGAGTGGAGGTTGGTAGTGGTGAAAGGAAAGTCGGTGATGGTGAAAGGAGGGTCGGTGATGGTGGTTGTCAGGGATGTTACGACGTAGTTCGTGACAGGCAGGCACTGAATGTTCCGGACTATGGATGATTGCTCAGCAATCAACCAGAGTTACTACTTTGGGAAGGTGGAGGCAGGCACAGAATGTTCCAGAGTGTGGAGGCTTGATAAGCAAGTGGAGGTAAAGGTGGAGGCAAGGGTGGAAGGTTCCAGCATGTGGAGGTGGAGGTGGAGGTATTCAGGGGTATGTGTTTCAAGTGTCTGAATGCGCAAAAGCACTTTGACAAGTGGCAGATAGGTGATGTATGACACTTGAACCGACCTTCCACATCTGAACAGTGGCAATTGTTGGGTATGGTGGTGACAAGTAGGAATCATGCATGAGAGATGCTTCCAGGGTGAGCTCTCTGAAGATGATCATTGTGTTGGTGTAGCTTCTGGTCTCTTCCTGTACTCACAATACATATATCTACCAAAGTAAGACATTGGCCCAGATGTGTTGTGACCGAGTGCGCACCCTTTCTCCTCCCTGATCATTCCAAACAATCCATGCAAGAAAGATCACAAAGTTGTAGATGACAACGGACAGTGGACGGAAAGTGTCACAGCGCTACATTTCCCATGCGCAAGATAGACGGGTGTTGTCACCCTCTCCCTGTAGTAATCCCCCACACCCTGTAGCCAACTTCACCGAGCAGTAACAACGGTCATCTTCCCAGGACACATGTTTCCACCCAGAACTCGTGAACCCTTATATCTCCACTTAGCTCCGGGTGAAAAGATGTCACCATATTTCTTCCTTGACGAAGCATCACCTTCCCTAGATCGGCTGGGTTATGTGGACCCAGAGGAGTGTCGTCCGGTGGTGGAGGTGGGTGTAGAGAGGGAGGGAGGGTAGCGAGGATTTCGACGGGGGTATTAGATTTGGAATGTGGGTCCGAGTCAATCTGAGATGATGTAGAGGATGATGAAGCAGAGAGGGAATGGATAGCGGGAGCACGTATGAATATTGTATTGAATGGAATTTCTGGTTGTGAAAGACATGGGATTTCGAGAGGATATTCGAATGATTCCAATTGGTCTGAGCGTCAACTTCTTTTCACCACCTATCATACGCCTCGGTTGCCGGACCTCATGTGGGATTGATGGTTACAGGAAAGGATCAGCCGGGATTTACAAAGCGAGAGTGACACACAGAGAGGAGAGGTAGATATGAGGGGAAAGGAAATTACGGAAAGAGAGATACCCACTACCATATAAATTCCTCCAAACTTTTAAACCATCAATCCCTCCCCAACCTTTCGGAGTCGTTCCCACTTTCCCACCGCCAATCCCATGTTCAGAAGCGAGCAATATCATCCCCGCACAAGTACCCCAGACGGCTTTCTCCGGCGACCTAACAAATTCCAGTAATAAAGGTAAGAGACCAGGAGTGAGAGCCGCTAGTCGGGTGATAACTGTTGATTCGCCACCGGGAATGATGAGTGCGTGACATTTCTACCAGTCAGCTTGTGAATTTCCCTCCGCAATCCTTAGCTGAGGACCTGATAACAAAGACAAGCACGTCATAATAGTCACAACGATAGATGTGACTCACTGATAGTTCCTCGGCCGTTCGGACAGGTATAGCATGAATGGTACAGTCTTTGATTCTAAGTCTGACTTTTCAGCTTCACTTGGATGTCTTGATACTACATGGAGAGTGATATACGTAGAGGGGAAAAGAGGTTCGGACGCACCTCTCAAGATAATGTATATGTTCTATGAAAGCACCTTGAAGAGCTATTCGTCAGATCACGTTTCCTGTCAGTGAGATGGACTGACCAAGCACTCCTATCACGATCTCCTCCTGGGAGTCGGTTCCAACTGTCATTGCTCGTCTGAAACGTTGAGGCGAAAGAAAGACAAAAGTGAAAGTAGCAAAGTCAAACTTATCTCTTTATCTTTTTTTTTCAGAGTCGAAGTTGCCCGATGATCGGGACCAGTGGCAAAAAGTGGCAAATTTCCCCAAAGTGGCGGAAAATCAAACGACTTGCATCCTCATCTTGGTAACAACTACGGACCTCAGGCATGGGTAGAGTAACTATAGTGTAGCCTCTCATTCATCACCACCATAGTAAGCCAGAGTACCCTCTGTTGCCTCTACCATGTCAATCTCCCTCAGTTTCTTTGCCTCTTTGTATTCGGTATAAGCAGTTTCAAATGCCTCCTTGAGTGCCCTTCTTAATGAGAGGTACGTGTGTCCATCATACAGTGGGCGATTATCGGAAAGTGTGTATTGGCTGTGCGACCGGACACCATCCAGCAGAAATTCATACGTGAAGTGATTGGGATCTAATGGCTTCCCCGTGTCATCTTCGGACTCCTTCAGTTGCGCAAAAAAGTAATCAATACAAGTTGACAAATCAGTTCGAAGCGTAGCATATTTAGGGTCCGTGCTCGCTTGAATATTACGAGGGATCTTTCCATCCTGTCTGATCTGAGATAAACAGTTGTTTAACAGCCAATCCTCGGCAAGTGTCAAAGTATGGTATCGCCAGTACACACACTCCTCCAGTGTTTCAAGTCGAATAGGATCTTGGTCAGTGGGTACACGAGTTATATCGGCAGGAACACTATCGTAACGTTCTTCTTCTTCGAGAAGGTTGATCACGGTACCAGGATGTAAACTTTCTTCTTCCAATATGGACTGTAAAGTTCTCGTAAGATGCCAAACGCTTAAGCCAATTGTCTCATTGGGCTTACCATATTCTTGAGCAACAAACTTCTTGTTCCATTCCTCAATGGAAGGCAACAACTTTGAAGCCAGTGGACGGGCGGTAGTGCTTGCTGTGTTGGACATGGATGTAGGATGAGATATGTGAGCAATAGTGATGTGTGAAATGTAAATGCTGATGCGGCAATGTGTGAGGGCGATGATGGGGAAGAGAAATATAACCTGATCGGCTTTCTAACATCCCATCAAGTCGGTCAATTAAGACGCCGCTCCATGATCCTTTATCTTGCGTGATATGGAGTAAAAGAGGAGTCGAAAGTCGAACATTTGATAGACGAATTCGACGAATCACGCCAGCACATGGGAACAAAGGATCTGCAGAATATCAACTGTCCTCGAACAAAAAAACATATGATGAGTACTGATTACTAGTGAAGTCATCGAACAATGGAGAGCGATATGGGATCTGTGGGAGGAGAGGAAGATAATTGATGAGTGAGTTGGAAGACGAATAAAGCGATGTCATGGGATTGTGTGGGAATGACAGACTGAAAGTCATGCTGATGATTAAGTGAGATTCATCATTGATCTCTAAATGAGTAAATGGTTAGTTTCGAATGCTTTCTATGTTTATAGGGATGATGATGTGAGTCTTAGGATGAGCACTGAGAAACAATTCGAGTCGGTTCAGCTTGTCGGAGCAAAAACATGATAACAAGGATATTAAACTGGCATATTGGAAATGAACATAGGATTCCAGCCCATGATGATAGGGATGCTTACAGAGACGTGTAGGATATTCAACACCAGACTTTAAAACCTATCCAGATAATGAGCTACCCGTAAATTTCAGCATCCGTCCCCCATCCTCCGCTCCATCCCTCCGTAGATCCAAATAGTCCCGCCCAGCTCAGAGGTTCTTTCAATTCCACGTCCTCTCCCAGGACCTTCAAGACAGTTCTTGTAAACTCCACAGCATCTCCCCGGTTATCTCCCTCGGCGCACCACGCGGCGATTGCTCCATGCGGCACTGAAGTCTCCCTCAAAGCGACGAGCATCCGGCGTGTCAGACCTGCCGAAGGAAGGAAGGGTGGATAAGTCGATGTACCGTTTGTACTTTGGATAGGGTCAATCAAGTGGAGTTGTAGTCTCGGAAGAGAGAGCAGCTTGCTGATATAGGGAGACATGGGAGGTGAAGGAGGAAGAATATGTTGATGAGGTGTTCTGAAGATCAACAATTGCAATCATGTGCTGTGAAGATACGGAGAAGGAAGGAAGAGAACGCACAATAGTTGTGCATCATCTTGTTCAGAAGCATTGATGCTTGTCAAGATAAGAACGAACGAGGGATTGACGGAGGAAAGGAAATCTCGTAGTAATGTGACATGCGCTTCTTTCCTGATCTGGGCCGCGTCAGCGTTGCCATTTGGTGGAATGAGCTTTGTCTGGAGGGTCTTCTCACCTTCAAGGTAGGAGATCGTTGTTGTACAACATATATGTTGAGTCCATGCTTTCCATAAACTGTGTATCAGCGCTCTTGCAAAGGAAACTCCATTGTAACACTGATCGTTTGTAAGAATGAGTTGCTGAGAGGAGCAGCAAAGAGTAGGTATGAAAACTGACCTTCCATTCCACCAGTGACAAGAACATCCCCGTCCAGACCTGCAAATGGTATGACAGTATCTCCTTTCCCTATCCATCCTACTCGTTTCAGATCCAAAGATGTGATGAGTAGATCGGCCGTCAGCTGGGGCAAATTCGCCAATGACACCGAAGGCTGATGAAAGTCAGACCACCCTCCATCACCCTTCGAATCCGTACCACTCACCACGACAAGCAAGGAATTCTGCAAAGCTGACACTTCGAATCCTTTCACGGGATAAAACCCTGACATGTTGACACCAAGTCTATAAGCTGATAAGTGATGTGACAAGGGAAAAAGATGAAAGAGAGAAAGTATTGGAATTCGACGAAAGTCGTGTGGACTTCCTCCACTTTCCCCCACCCAAATTTCCTCGTTCAACCTCTTCACCCTATGTCTCCTTCTGCCGGGTCCATATGGCCACTCAGAGCTCTGAGAGTATTTCAAAGGACCAAAAGCCCCTCTCTTGGGGTCTGTTTACGATGTACTTCCAGTGTATCCGCTCAATCACCAGCGGAATCATCATCAACCGCCAGACTGAGGTTCGCCCCTTCACCCACCGGTCATCTTCATCTGGGTGGTCTACGAACAGCCCTTTTCAACCATCTTTTGGCCAGGAAATGGAAGGGCAAATGGATCTTACGGATAGAAGACACAGATAGGGTACTTGACATCCACTTCTGGTATGTCCAAACTGACACCTTCAGGTGAGACTTGTGGAAGGTGCCGCGGATGCCTTACGGGACATTTTGGAATGGGCAGGTTTGGACTATGATGAGGGTTGGTCTTCTTTACTCAAACAGCTTGAACACTTTCTGATCGAGTAGGAGTGGGGAGAGGCGGGTCTCATGGACCTTACATACAGGTACCTGAGCCTCCAACCAGAGAGCTCCGACTGATCTCAGTCTGAACGTTTAGACATATATCGTCATCACGTAGACGTTCTTCTCTCAGTATGTCTCTTTCTTCTTGTCCGATGCTTTCACTGACACAATAGAGTGACCAAGCCTATCATTGTTTCTGTACTCCAGACGAATTACTCAAAATCCGTCAAGAGCTTCTCGCAAAGGGAGCTCGATATCCTTATGATGGACGATGTCGTCATCTAACCTCCGAAGATGTGCAGAGACGTAAACGAGCAGGAGAGAAGTATACCGTTCGTTTCAAAGTATGTTCTTTACTCCAGTTTAGAGTCCTTATCAATGCTGAGAGAATAGACTCCAGAAAGCGTACCTCGTATGCCACCGGATTTGGTATTTGGCGATGTTCAAATTCCCTGGGTGGAAGGTCAAGATGATTTCATCATACTCAAATCAGATGGGTGGCCGACTTATCACTTAGCAAGTGTAGTAGATGATCATTTGATGGAGATATCTCATGTACTCCGTGGTGAGGTATGTTGTAAACCTCCTTTCCAAAGTTACGCTGATAAGGAGGAATGGTTACCCAGTACACCTAAACATCATATGTTGTATGAAGCCTTTGGATGGAAATCACCAAAATTCGCACATTTACCTTTATTGGTCAATGCCGATAGGTCGAAACTTTCCAAACGGATAGGAGATGTTCGAATAGACCATTACAGAGTGAGTTCCATCCTCACTCTTCTTCTTCATCTTGCTCCCTCCGTAAACTTCTTCTTACGCGATTCCAGCACCTACCATCGTCGTAGAAAGATTATCATGTCATCGGTTACCACATTGTCTCTCTAAGATGGGGAGCAGTAGAGCACCTGAGTCATACTGACCAGTAGCAAGAAGGTTACGAACCTGAAGCCCTCTTGAACTTTGTCGCTTTGATGGGATGGGATCATCACACCGCTATTTCTTCCCTCTCTCAAGAGCCCGAAGGTCTACCTCCTCACTCGCGACACGATGATCATTCATTGTACGAAGTCTTCAGCGTTCCTCAACTCATAGAGGCCTTCGAGCTGAAAGATGTAAATCATCGAAAAGCAGCGGTAAACCTGTCAAAGCTTGACTTTCTCAATAAGATGACGTTACGAAGAAAGGCTGGGAGATTAGGGGAAGATGGATTGTTGGTTAATTATGGGAAAGTATCTGATGATGAAGGGAAGGAGAGAAGAGATTTGTTGAAGAGATTACAGAGGATGTTGAAGGCAGAAGATATCTTGAAAGACAAGTATGTTATTTCTCCCACCAAACCGTTCATACCTCATCTTATTCATCATTTAACCATCCTCAATCATACGCCTCGGATGTTGAACAGAGCTCTGTGCACGTACTGACGGATAGTGATTTGGTAGAAGATATAAATTATGTCGAAAAAGTCTTTGACTCAGAACTTGTGAGTCATTACCCTTCAGTGGTAGTCATACAAGGCTGATCATAGCCCCGTATTCGAAAATTAAATGAGATACCCACATCATCCACTTTCTTCTTTCTAGAGCCCAATTACGACACTGTGGAAGCACGAGGTATGCTACGGAATTTTCCTCTTGAATCATATGGCAAGTCCTACTCCTCTCTGGGATATATCTCCACTGACGGAAAAGTGAACAATATCAAGTCCGTCCTGAGAGCGTTGAACGACCGATTAGAGGTTTCAGACATGTCGGAAGATCTCGTTTGGGAAGCTATCAACGAAGTTTTGATACAGTCGCACATCAGAAAACGATCAGTTTTGTTGATGCCTATGCGTCATGCTCTCACCGGATGTCTGGTTTGTCTTATTTCCCTTTAACGTTTCACTCAAATGCTTGTCTCCCTTTTCACTCGTTATGGGATTTGATAATCCTCAGATGGGCAGATCTACCCATCTGTACTCGCACATCGTCTTCGGGGACCGCGAGGGAAAGAAGTGAGGTAGCTGATAAATCAGAAAGGTCCTAGTGTACCCAGTACCATGTCTGTCCTGGGTTCCATACGTAGTCTTGCCAGACTTCGAGCGGGGCTCGATTACGTCCTAGACTTGCGAAGTTCATCACCACGATAATGTCCATTCTACCCTGACGTCATCACTTGAATCATCCGCTTTCGCAAAATAATCAGTTTGATCAATGCATGCATCCCACTACTTCAATTTTCTACCTGCTACAGCTCGTTATGGGATGAGTCAGAGAGAAAAGTCATCGTCTCCGTGACACTCTCTTCTTCGGGGCTGATTTGGTGACGAAACCTTTCTGGATTCGTCGGGTTAGACGAACTTGTTCTTTCTCTTTCAATTCGACTTTACGTTGTTGAGAAATGGACAGGTTTTTGCCTTCAGAAGTATCGATCCTTTCTTGTTCCGCCAGATCTAGATGATATTTGACAACTTTCGATACTCTTTCTTCTAGGTCTTCCCCATTCAAATCCCCCATCTCTTCCTTCAGCCCTCTAGGCTTCCTGCTTTCTATCGGCAAACGATTCGGTCCATCCTTGTCTTTATGATCCATATCTGCCATTTCACCTCCGTGTCCGCTTTCCTCTATCCGATCTTCTTCTACAGATTTGATCGCGAACCGTGTCGACTGGATATCAGGCTGTTCAAGCACAGGATAATCTTGTGAGGTAGGAGATATTTGAGAGATAGACGTCAGATCGTCTAATGTCCAAGGACCCAATTTACCCTCTCTGAAAGCTCTGATAAGATACGTAGCTGAAGCTTCTAAATCCGGTTCACCACCTTTTCTCAATGCTCCTAATCTCTGAGCTAAAGCAGAGAGTAATGTCTGTGGATCTTCGGTAGGTTGGGTGAACGTTAGTGGTAATGGTAATAAATCGAGGTATGTAGGATCTGTACATCAGTACAACCACACCTTACAACATCTGTCGTGTAAAGTGCCACTGCTCTACAACAAGATATGAAACATACCCTTTGATGAACTGCATGGGTATGACCAACGGGGAGGATGTGAGAAGAAGTTTGGGGGGAAGATTGACTCACCCCTTTGATCAAGAGGTAAATGTTGTTGTTGAGTCAATTTGATATTCATCCTCCATAATAAATAATCTACCATGACATCACGTTCGAACAATCCTTCTTTTATACCCGCTATCAATCAGCGATCCGTAAGAACGTCACGAGGGAAAATTAGAAATAAATGACAAACCTGTTAGAGCAAGTTTTAAACCTCTTTCCGCTCCTATGATACCATGACCAAGATAAGGTATCATAACTCCAGGTGTATCGTATACGTAGACTAAAGGGGATTCGAATATCTTGACTGTCCCTGTTAATCGACGTGTTATACCTGCTTCTGCACCTGTTCGAAATGCTTTTCCTATTCATCAGAGAAGATCATTCATATAATATTATCTCCACATTTTCCCATTCTTACTACTTCTGTCTCCCTATATCAACACGTACATCTCAAGCCAGTATTTGGAAGAGAACAAAGTGACATGTGAACACTGACTCAGGGTTCATGTCGTATAACAATCCAATATCATAGAGTCTGGCAGAGAAAACCAAGAGATGATATAAGAATCAATTGAGATGATTAAATGTGAAACGATGAAGATGAGAGAGTTGAGTGTGAACTCACCTTTATGCATTCCTACTCTTCGTAAAGCGTTGAGTAAAGAACTCTTTCCTACATTAGGCATCCCGACTACCAACACCTTTAACCCCTCTTCTCTCCCCTTGGCAAAATCTATCTATCAGTCATGTCGCTGAATTTAGACACTCACGTACTGCATGACGGAGGATAGATTTGACATCTGCGTCTGATCTCGTGTCGGCGAAGAAGACTTGTTGGTTCATATGACTCTTGAAAGCTTTGATCAAAGGCTGCGGGTTAAACCTTGTCTCATTCTTACTTATCCTTAAATGTCGCAAGGAAAGGAGTAAAACATATCAAGGCAGTTGACGTCTCTTATGACAGACTGAAGTACTGGGAGTCTCGTGAGGAAACATAAAAGATTTGATGGGTGTAAAGATGATAACGTACCACTTCGAATCTGCCCTCCGCTAAATCCCTCTTGGTATAAACTACCACCTTCTCCCTCTCATCCGCTCTTTCTTTCCCTTTCCTACTTCCCCAAGCTTTAGCGAGTATGTTGTCAAAAGTCGGGTTGATAGAAGTGAGTGCTAAACGTGCATCACGAGCTTCTATGACTAAGTCGATATCTTCCAAGAGAGCAGGTAAGGCGCGAAGGGAACGAACCATGTGACCGAGGAACCAGGAAGGGGTACGAGTGGGGAAGAGGAATGGACGAGGTGTGAATGACATGATGTGGTTTGTTGTGTGAGCGCCGAGATAATCTTTTTCAGACCGCTAGGACAGAAGTAAGGGTCGTTATGACTTGTTTGGTGTGTACTTAGCTGTTCATACTAACTGACCTTGATAGGGGTAGGGAAGGTGCATAAGGTAAACCCAAGCAGAAGCCAAGGAAGGAAATTTTGATTCCGCGACTCAACCCCAAGTTGGATACAACCTCTGAGTATGTATCGTTCTTCCCATCGAACTATGACTTGAACAGCTGCCAAGCTTATCACGGAGGCCAGGAAGAAGAAACACGCTGAAGACTAGGAACTTCTGATCTTCAAATCTCAACTTTCACCTTCCCACCGTCAAATCGACGTCTGTTGTAGACGTTTCCTCCAGCCCCATCTCGCTCCTCTCGCCTGTCAATGCTAACAATCAAACCTGAGTGAACTCACGTTGGCAAACGCCCTGATTGCTTGAATCGACTCGCCTCCAGATGTACTACCTTTAATAACGTTTTGATTTTCATGACCATATCACTCACTTGGCAGGTCTTACTTATCCTGTACACCCTTGACGTGCAAGGCGACAGAACATGACTACTAACTCGCAGGCTGATCTCCGATGTTCATAGCAGCATGCAGCAAGAGACGCACATGGGACTCGACTGACTCGCACGTGTCATATCACAGGACAACATCTCCATCTCATGGGCTCAACAATCAACGAACACATCAATGGACTCTTCGTTCACTTCTTTTCATATTTCCCCTCCCTCCCATCCTTTCTCTCATTTCCCCGCCAGCTGACAGCAAAGGATGACAAGATCTGACCCCAGCTTTCAACATCATGTGTCATGCACAAAAGGTGAATCGATTCAGCTTGCTTCTTCAAGTCGTTCCAGCTGGTCTAAATACTTCTTTCCCGTCGCCCCTTCCCTGCTGTCCGTTCCAAAAGAGACGCTGGTCGTGCAAAATGGCCAAATCGGATATTCGACGATGGATTGCGGCGGTTGGTCAGCGACTGCCAATGACGTGTCACATCATTTTGGTCATGTTTGCGGTATGGGGACCTGCATACTTTCCTCGTAGTTTCGTTGTGATATTGCTGGGAGTTCATCTTTCCATGTGGACCATGAATTTCCGGTATGTCCCTTCCTACCTGTCCCTCAATTTCACCTCTCTACATTTTCCACTCTCTACATACATGGTTCATCTCAGAAGTACGGTGCTTATGTGAGCCAAACGAAGATACTGATGTACAGAACCGTCATTGGTATCATCATGGCCTGGCGGGGTGTCAAACAGCATTGCACGACAGACTTCCGAGCACGATATTTCTCCCTCTTACCGACTGTTCCCTCCCCGACCACTGTGCTACCTTTCGACAGTGTATACCACATGATATTCCTTCCTAATCATTCCGAGCATATCTCCACCCTTCGCGAAACTCTCTGGCTTTTGTCCACCCACCCATCCGCTCAAATGTCATACCACCCAGTGCTCGCAATGGAGGGTCGTGAAGCCGGTAGTGTAGCAAAAGCCTTGGAGCTCTTGGCTGAGTTCAAGAGTTCTTTTCGAGATATCGGCTATACGGTGCATCCTGCCGGTCTTGAGGGCCAGGCCGCAGGAAAAAGCTCCAATCTGGCTTGGGCTATCCGAGCTGCTTGGGGAGAAATGAATATGGTCAATCCGTCTATAGTGGATAAAACCGTGGTGACTGTCTTCGACAGTGATAGTGAGTCGTTCTCTGGGCATCGAAATTTGTGGCTCACACGCCAGCCGCTTTGGCAGCGGATTACTTTGCGGATGTTTCATGTCGTTTCGCTCTTCGCTCTCCAGAAGAAAGGTAGATACATTCTTGGCTGAGATACGACCACGAGCTGACGTAGAAGAAAACGAATGACATTCTGTCCACCCATCGTATTCGACCGTAACGCTCATCAAGTCCCAATAGGAGTTCGAAATGTTGATTCGATGTGGGTATTGTAAGTCTTTCTTTTCGAACAAATTCTGTGATTTGTCTGACAAATATAGAGCAGGACTAAGTTCCATTTTCCCTGGATCCGGAGCGAAGATCCCTACCTCCGCTTATAGTCTATCAATGTCTTTATGTGCAAATGTGGGGTTCCATGATGCAGGTCCTGAAGCTGTAAGCCTCTTCGTTTCTTCTTTTGCTCCGGGATACACATTGAGCGCCTCCTTGAACGGACAAGACGCAAGAGACACTAGCTCATAATCAACATGAACTCAAGGGAAAGGGATGAAGTTGACAAAGTGACAGATCGGAGAAGACATGCACATGTTCATCAAATGTCTGTTCTCCACAGCGGGCAACCTCATCTCCGAAACCATTTACTCACCGGCATCTCACCTCGACGTAATCTCCAGTGAACCTCACGGATTGAAAGGATATTGGAATAATCATGTAGCTCGATATACTCAATCAATGAGACACATGTTTGGAAGTTGTAAGTTCTTACGTCATTTTCTCGTGACTCATTGTTCCCGTACTTCCCATAGGTCTCTCATCAATCGCATGTAGGTAGACCAAACGCTGATTTGATAGTGGACTGTGGCTACTTTGTCACTAGACTTCTCACTGGTGATTTCACACCTACCGGTCCTGAGTTTCAAGACGACATCCCAAGTTCCACCCATACTATCTTCACTTCGCATTTGGACTCATCAATACCCGATCAAGTTGGTCTCGAACTCAAGCCATCCTTGAGACCACCTCCGTACAGCATATCTTCCCTAGCACAGCCTATCCCCATAATAGCAGCTCAAGTTAAAGACATGTCCCTAGCAGATATATCGATGAACGATGCCAGTCTTTCTAGCGTGGATAGCGAGCTCGAAGCAGACGAAAAAGTCAATCTTATCAAGAGTGACGGATACTTCAGTCCGCCGCCATTGAAGTTGACATCTTTCGTATCTCTGATGGGTAGGTTATACGAAGCTCATCTGCTCATGATGTGAGTTTGTCAATTTATTCAGCTTTCCCACGAATATACATCCAATAATCTTCCTACCAATATCTCTTATGCTCCTGGCCTCTTTACGTGCTGCAATGGAGTGTAAATTGCTGGTCAGTCTGACGCATAGACACATGGTCATCTTCCTTTTAACTCGATCATTTGCTCATCTACCCGGAGAACCTTCGAATCCCCCAGGTCTGGTACCCTCTTTGGTAATTTTTCAAGATGATGTATTGCTCGTCAATTGGGCTATAGGAGTCGCCGATAAATTGAGGTCGTTACTTCTTCCTATGACTTTGGTGTTATTGCTACGTACGTTTCTTCTCTCGACTTCTTGACCATTTCCCCCATTATCGCGAATCCCTTCTTGACCAATATATATTCCCTCTCCCCTTACATATCCTTCCCGCCTCTCTCCTCACCTCTCTCCGCACCTCTCTCCTCATCTCTCTTCTTATGCGCTCGAGTACGGCGACACATTCACCTAGCTACATGGAAACAACAGTACTCAGGGCACCATGTCATACGAAAACTTCTTTTCATGCTGAGCTAATCTCAGTTCTTGACAGATATCATCAACAATGTGTTTTACATAGATGGACCACACCAGGTGCTTCGGAACGATTAGGACAACAATCATCTTCTAGAAGTTATCGTAAATTTCCTTTATCTTTATTAGAGTGAGTCTCGTGTTTTGTCTCTCTCGTCTTTCCCTTTCCCTTTCCCCTGTCCAGTCTGTTCTCTGCCATGGTTCATCCCGTTCAAGGACGATAGATGGGTTCTATTCAAAAGGAAGTTGTGTTCGAACAGCGTCGAGTGGAGTCAGGTTTTTAGTTGAGGTTACATCGGAGTGAAGACCAATTCCAGTTGAGGAATGTTCTTAGAGAACATGAGTTCAAATAAAGAAGATGAACAAAAACTGATATTACCCAGTTTCTTCGGCTTCCCAGCCGGAATAATATTCGGTGTCATTCCGTTACTTCACGCTCAAACTTTACATTTATTCACTAATCGTTTAACTTATAAAGTATCTTTCAAACCTCAGAGTAAAGAAGAACGTCCAGACGAAGAGAAAGCTTTGAAAGATTGTACTTGATATTGATTGTTGTGCTTTTCTCTCACCTAAAGCAAGACCAAGATTTATTCAAATGTGAATTCTCACTAAAAATAAACTCTTGATTTGATTATGCTGATGTACTCTTACTTACCAGAATTGATACCGTAGAACCATATCGATACGTTCACATAAGTAGGAGATAAATACTTGTTGAAGAAAGCCATTTGCACAATGTAATAAGATGCATGATCATACTTTGTTTCATTTACTGAAAATCGTCAAAAATCCAGGTTTTCCTTTTGTCAAATGCGTTTTGATTGAATGATCGTAGTTCGCACTTATAATCCTATCGTGTCGATCTTCCATAAATCGTCTCTGTCTTATCAGTATCATGGAATTGAAACAACACATTCACACTTTATCAAATAACACATTCTGACTCTGAACTCTATTGACACAATCACACTGATGAAACACAGACATATCTGAACAACACACCCCGACAGCGAGACTTAATACTCGGCCACGTGAAAGAACAGAGACAAAGAAATTAACTCACCCGATCCAAGTGATAACCTCCACCGCTATCCCTTTACCTACCTTTCTAACTTCTTCACTAGAACTAGTCATTTTACCTATGCCACAAGCATGTTCTTTGCCTTCTGCATGAATGGCGACTAGCTGATCTTGGTTTAATCCGTCGGGTAGGAGACCACCGGGAGAGAGGAATCCAGGAGCCATCATGTTTGCTCCCTGAGTGTCAGCCATGTCTGAGTTTCCATGATGATGAATAATTAAGCAAAGATTTGGTCATAGAGGGGGGTCAACGTCTTATCGATTACGAGTATGTTGATGGTGTGATGGATGGGAGTGGGTGGGTAGATGTACGGAAGGGAAGAAGGGGACAGTCTTTCATAATCATGTATAGTTCCGAAATCAAGTATTGGAAGTGAGACAGAAAGAGGAAAGGGCAAGGGAGGAAACACAGAAATTATGAGATGGACTTACGGCAAGGAGAAATTTGATGGCACCTCTATCTATTTGAACGTGGGGTAATAAAGCTGGATCTGGTATTGATCAGCTACATCATGCTAATTTTCTAGTAGGTTTTGCTAGAAGAGGAGTAACTGTGGGTGGAAACAGTGTTGGAGCGAAGTGTCGGTATAGCCAGGATCGTCGGACCGTTGATACAGAAAAGATCGTCAAAGTGTTCAGCGGACAGATCAAAGCTTCCCATTGGTCGAACAACAGTGAAGTCGAGGGGATGGGATGGATCATGTGAGTTGCGCAAAAGAAGATATGAAAAACCTACATCTATGCAATAGTTTGAGAGTCGGGATGAAAGGTCCATCGAAATGTTGTACGAACAAAGGCGTGGAATTGACTGTAAAGATGGAAATACGATCGTGGCTGATGAAGTAAACACTTGGTCTCTTCTTTCTTCTCTCTTCGCACTCGCACGATAGATATCGGCATGTACCAAGTACAACATAAGTTTCGTATACTTGAGTTACCACTTTTAACATGGGTCTCCTGGATGTGTTGGAGGCAGGGGAAGAGGCGCGGGGACGGATCTCGTTGGATATCGGTGAAAAGGGATATAGATGAGGAGAGATATAGGTAGGAAGGGATATAGATCAGAAGAGATGTATGTAGGAAGGGATATAGATCAGAAGAGATACAGGTAGGAAGGGAAAAAGGTAAAGGAAGCAAGACCCGGAACATACCATTTTGTCAAACCTAAAGATTCTTTTTTGGGCCAAATCTCATCTAAAACAATCATATCACCAACATCTTCTTCTTTCTCATCATCATCTTCTTTCAATTTACCTTTTCCCTTTTTCTCTTCTTTTCCTTTCCCTTTCCCCTTATTCTTCCCTTTACCTTTCTTACCTATCTCTTCGTCGTCAGGTGTCGAGATGGATGATTTCCCTTTTCCCTCTTCCTCCGTCTCTTGGTCGTTAGGAGTCATCACGGGAGCGGTCGTACTTAAAGTGGAGGAGTCTCGCCATACTGGAGTGGAAAGGAATGGAAGTTGAACTAAAAGTTGCGAACGAATATTTCTTTGGACGGAAGATTTTAATGATGTGGAAGATGAGATATCTTCTTTTGGGTCAAATCTGTTTGGTTCAGCTAATTGCCGGCGGAAGATGATTGAGATGGTCGTAGAGGAAAAGACTCACTTTTTGAACATGATGATAGGGGTATTCGTATGTGTAAAGGAGGAAGAGGTTGGTCTATTTGGGGTGTGAATGTGGATGTGAGGCAGTTTCGGTCAACGCCGCCGTCAGTATGACCAGTGGTTAGACTTGGCATAAGCAAGGTCAAGTCGAGACGTCCCCGTAGGTAGGTGCTTGCATACCCCTGACCATCGAGAGAGCACGTCATATCTTCCACACGTTGCATGCTCGCTTCGGGGTCCACATCTGCTAAGTATAGCAACCACCAAACTGCCAAACTGCCAAACAGGGAGCGGTAGCAGAAAATACACTTTTTCCCTTGATATGCTTGGTGCTTCATTCTATTCCCATTCTTCCACCTGTCCAGCTATCCATCGGTGACCAGTGGTGAGCAGCATGCAGTATGCAGCATCGCAGTGAATCCCCCTCGCCTGCGTTTACCACCCCTTGTACTTGACCCGAAATTTGATGCCGAGGAAAGAGCCGGTCTAGGGATTACCCGTTTTTGGTGCCTTTGGTACCATTCTTGGATTTATGCCAAGAATGCCAAGACTCATCGACTGCGCTCACTCGACCACATCCACAAAGCCAAGAAATTCATCGACCCTCAACTTGTTCCTTCCTTCCCCCCCAGTGTCTCTCTTCTCTTTCTTCCCTTCAGCTCTTACATCTACCCCAACACTCTCCCTTTTGATACATCTCTCATACATACACCATCCATCCACTAAAGGATATCTGTAGCAGCACCCAATATTTCTACTCTCTTGCTGCCAGACAGACCTTATCTCCCATTTCACAAACACCCACGTCACCTCGACTACTATCAATTGTGAAAGCGAACAACATAGGATATAGTGAGATCGAAATCAACGAGGAAATAAACAAAATGGCACCTTCAAAATCACCTTCAAATCAAGAAAGACATCATCCTTATCCTCGTCCAAAAGATACTTCACGACAAGAACAAACCGAATCTAGATTACCAACATCAGGTATCAAAGTCCCACCTAGTCCACCTAGATCCAGGAGGGATGCAAGTGAGACGCCAAGTATAGGAATAGGATTAGGTGTAGCTTTTGGTGGTTCTGGTGGGGGTAAATGGTGGGATGATGAATTGGTAAGTTTTTCTATTTATTTTTGGATTTGACGATCGTAGCGGGCGCTTCGTATCCTTCTCTCTTGATCACCAGAATTTTCACTCTTCACAATTTTTCACTGTTCGTACTTTGTCTCTCATCTTGTCAACTTTGCAACGATGTTATTGTGGTCGAAATATGTTGAATTTGGAAGCTGGAAGATTGAATGAGGGAGGAAAAATAAATTACCACAAGGAGTAAGATTTCTTGCTGATCTCAGCCACCACCACCGGCTTCATTAACGAGTATATTGGAATCTTTTCGTCGTTCTGGTGAAGGTGATAGAGAATTGTTATTATCAATCTTAGGGGCTAAAAAGGCGGAAGAAGAGGTGAGTCATCATAATCGTTTACTCATATCTGTCATTCCAAATGACCTCAAGGACAATTTATCTTTATATTCGCTCACACGATGTGGGTATCGTAAGCTTAAGGCTGACCACCAGCGTCTGACAGCACTCATTCAAACTCGTTTATCAATACTTCAAGCTCGTCTTTCACTTCATTCAGCTACCGCAGCATTGTCTGCACCTCCTATACATGCACTCTCACCATCCACAGCATTCAGAGTTCCACATTCTCAAAATATACCACACGAGATCCGTGCGACTCCTCATATCTCCATTTCTCAACCTCTTCAAACGTCCCAACCTCCTCATACATCTCAGTCATCCAACGTGTCTCAACCATCACATTCCCCACAATCTCAACACACTCAATCTAATACATCCCAAATAACCACAACGTCTCAAGGAACAACAATCGTCAATCCTATCTCCCCTTCAGGCTCTACAACATCCTCTCCTCCTTCTCTTCATACAGACCCAGGTAACCTCTTCGCAGCAGCTTATCAAAATTCGGACAAATCAGATAAAATACATCTTCCACCTCCTACTGCCTTTCGAAAAGAAACAGGAGATAGAGAATGGGAGAAGGAGAAGGAAAGAGAAAGAGAAACTTTACCCCCGATTCGATTATCAAATAGAGAAATGGGTTGTTGTGATGATCGACCTAGACAAATGGGGAAGAACGGTTTGGAAATGTTACTCGATGCGGGATTAAGAAGAGGCGAGGTGTAATCATTCATATCATGTTTCTACACACGACGGATGTGGGTGTGTGAGTGTTTGAAGGTTTAGTTATGATTTGTAATGCATTATTCTTTTCGACGTCTCAAAGCATTTTACTTCAGCGCCATAAAGATGCAATAGTGTCTCGATTCAACTTCTTTTTCAATATAACAGTCCTCAGATGCATGGTTTCTGAGTCTTGTAATACACCCTTCCTATTTCATTGAACCATATAGATGAGTCTACACCATCATCCAGATCGAAGAGATTACGTTGATAAATCCTTTTCATCAATATAATAATAATATATGACCAACCTATTCCACCCCCTGAACACTTTGTAAAACCCTCAACAACCCACTTCTTCCTAAAGGTACCCAAATCCACCTTCCAACCCTACCTTCTGAATCTACCAAAGATTCCAAAACCACACCATGATCTTTGAATTCTCCTAAAAGTGTATTATAACGATCTTCTTCTCTAGCTATGAACCTTTCTCTTGCTAATCCTTGTAATAAATCATTATCGATGGCGTAAGTTGGTATTCCATTTTGTATGATTTGATTTTTATCATTTCTCTTCTTCCCTTCTTCTACCTCTTTTTCTTTATCGACATCTTCACCTTCTTTAGGATCAGCAACATTTGCATTTCCCTCAGAAACAACAACCTGCATGGTTGCATTACCACTTTCTTTAGAAATACCTTCTAATGAAGTAACCACCCCACCCATTCCACTTAATTGTTTCTCTACTAAAAGTTTGAATAACCTCACTGCCATGGGTGGAACACTTTTTAGGATTTGTAATACCGCTTCTTCTGATATACCCGTAGAAGTCGTCGTTAGTCTGGAAGTCGCCAAACGATGGTAAGATAGTTCAAGGGTGTAATCGTCATAAGTGGTGATATTGTGGTATAGAAAGTTGAAACCTTCTCGTTCGTGGGTTGGTTCAGAGTTGAAAGAGGTTGATGATGTAGTGGGTAGGTCGGTGATTGGTGGAATTAACGGGATGGTCGGTGTTTTGGTAGAAGAGGAATTAAAAAGAAATGAAGAGGTTTTGCGAGATGAAGTGGTGGAGGTTGAGGGATCTGCGGTATCCGATGGAAGGTTGTGAAATGAGGCTCCAGGTTGAGAAGATGAAGGATTAAGAGGGGAAAGTGAATGACCGAGATGGGAAGATGGTGATATATTATTTGTTTGTGAGAATAAAAGTGGAGTATGAATATGATCGAAAGAAGCTAAAAGATGTATTCTTGGGTTTGAAGTTAACACCGAAAGGATTGATAATGATTTTGATGTTCTTAATCCTGGAGAATCGATATTATGTATTAATAAATAAAGATCTCTTTTTGATCTTTTGGTTTCCTCTCTTATCGATTCTACTGCTGAAGAAGACTTTGAGAATTTCTTCATTCCATTCCTCGTTCCGGCTTCTCCATTTCTCATTCTCCCATCATGATCTGAATGTTTCTGGAGAGGAAGAAAATAAGAATATATCCTATTTGTCATTCTCTCCAGCGGTGTATTTCCACTTAAACCCAAATCCATATCCTGAGGAATCCCTAAAGAATCTTCCACAGCAACTAAAATATCTTTAATACCCATTTGTGGGAAATGTCCATTAACAACCACACAATGACCTTTTTTAATCAATTTGGTAGAAACGAATTTATTGAGTAAACGTCTTTTAGAACCGAAACCATAAAAAAGTAAATTAAATCCTTCTTCTAATTCCATTTCCCATTGTTCGAATCTACTCTCTAAATCTCCCATGAGACGTTGTACCACTTTTGAGGAAGATTGAGATCTGGAAGAAGAAAGTTGATCGTATTGCTTCTGATTGAGTGGTGGAGCTAATGTAGAATAAGAATTAAGAGAAGATCTTTTAGATTGTGATTGTGAAAGAAAATAATTATCGGCTTTTGACATTCTTATAAAACCTTCTTCTCTTCCTTTTACTTCTATATCATATTTAGATCGTTGGGTTGGGTCTGAATCATCTTCAGAGTTGGGTCGGATGCGTTTACGAGTTTTTGCAGAACTACCAGGGATAGAAGAATCACGAGGTTTACGAGGTGTAGAAAATGGTGTTTTCTTTTTTGAAGGTGTTGAACGTTTGGATGAAGGGGTGTTTCCTACTAAACCGACTTTTGACCGTTTGATAGGTGTCGAAAACGTTGACTCGTCGTCCGGATCTATCTCGTCGGATACATCTGAATCATCTGCTTGTTCTTCCGGTTCGGAGGAAGAAGAATGGGAGTGAGTTTCGTCATAGTTTGTGAGGAAAGAGACGAGGTGAGAAGGGGATAAGTCGGATGGGTCTTCTTCTTGTTCTTGGGACACAGAACTACGTTTAGGAAGCATTTTCGTACTTTGACCTCGAGTCTCAATGTCTTGAAAGTCGTGATGAGATCGAAGTAAGTCAGATATCCAAAGGAAATGTGCGAGATGAGAGTGAGGTTGAGAAAAAGAGACTTAGGATTTGATTTGACTTTTTGTTCGATCGCGTGGTGAAAAGTGGAGGCGCGTCCGTAACCTCTCACCTCACATTGACTCACCCATACATACATACTCTTACTCTTCTAATTACACTTTACACTTACTCCCTCAGATATCTTCTTGATCAATTTGTATCATCATGTCATCTTCTCCTGATAAACCTACTTCCGCGAAAAAATCATCAAGTCAAAAGAAATCAAAGAAAGAAGACACTTCTACGGGTAAAGTTGATATCCGTAATTTCGTAAGATCATTTCATCACCATGTTGACGTCGCTAACAAATCAGTTTTCAGCAGGACCTAATGCTGTGAGCTCAGCGTGTCCACTTCTAGACCTAGTAGAGCTGACGGAAAGGGACCTAGCAAGACTCCTAATACAATGGTAAGAGGTACTGGGAAAGCTCCTATCTCCATTGGTAGCTTGTATTTTGTGATCGCTGGGATCAAGCTGATCTGATAGATGATAGTGAAGAAGAAGAAGAACCTATAGAGGTGAAATCGTAAGTCTCCATATGGCCAATTGTGATAAAGCTGAGGTCTAAGGATAAAGTATGAGATCCCTCTCGGTGATGTTTTGAAATGGACTAAATGTTTAGGAAAGAGATCAAACCTAAGGTCACAACGTCGAAACATTTCTCTGCTCCGGCACCTTCATCTTCAGTATGTCCAAAACCACATCTCACTATCATTTGTATAAAGTACCTAAACCTAAAACTTGCTTCAAGATCAGAGACTTGTGTGTCGTGAATGAGGTGGATAGCTGATGAGGAAGAAGCCTGCCATCATGGATAACACCCCTGAACCTCGTTCACCTAGAAGGATCACACCTTCCACTTCGATCAAAAAGTCGAAACCTGTCAAACGCAAGGCTCCTGATGAAGAGGTGGACGAATTCAAGCCTAAGAAGCGTCAGTCAATGGCCAATAGAGGCCCCGAGAAAAGATATGTTGAATCGTCGTCCGAGGATGAGGCTCCTCGAGGAAAGAAAAAGGCTCCATCGGTCGGCTGCATTGTACCAGAACCAGAAGAAGTGCTGATCTGATCTAGCCCATGGAGATCGAAGATGATAGTGACGAAGATGACATGGACGATTTTATCGACGATGACGAGGAAGATGATCGAGGAAAGAAATCCAAGGTCAAGTCTAAGCCTCCAGCGAAGACCAAAAAAGTGGTCATGACGAAGAAAGAGACAAAACTTACACCTGTGAAGAAGGCTGCTGCAAAAGTCGCGGCTAAGAAAGAAGAAGACGAAGTCCAAGAACCAGAAGAGAAGCCAAAACCTAAATACAAGTACGCCCAGATCACATTTGAAGCAAGTTGAAGCTGACATGATAGTTGGGCAGCTGCCAAAGCTAGAGCTGAAGCTGGTCCAAAAGCTCCAGGATCGAAAGAAATCCCAGAGGGAGTTCCGGATTGTCTGGCCGGTCTGACATTCGTCTTTACCGGAGAATTAACGAGTCTCGGACGGGATGAAGCTATAGAGCTTGCTAAACGGTATTCCGGGTCAGTGCAGTATACAAAAGGAAATGGTTGTGAGCTGACGTGGAAGGAGAGTGACAGGTGCGCCATCATCGAAAACTTCCTATGTGATCGTAGGTGAGAACGCGGGAAAGTCAAAGATGGATGCGATACAGAAGAAGAACATTCCTACTCTAACCGAGGACGAATTTTTGGATTTGATACGTACTCGCCATGGAGCAGAATTAGATGAAAAACAACTCAAGGCGCAAGAGAAAGAACAGAAGAAGATTGAAGAGGCTGCTATGGCCATGGCGGCGAAAGAGAGAGAAGAAGAGAAGCTGAGGAAACGTAAAGAAGCGGCGTTGAGTGGGGCGGGTGTAGCTGTCAAGTAAGTTTTTTCTTCACTCGTCACTCCCCTTCAGACTCAATTAAGTTCAATTCGTCTCACTAATCTTGCTCGTTAGGAACATCTCATCTACGGAGTCGTTTTCCCGCATGCGTCACAAGCTTACCTGCACAGAAAGGCAATCCCGATTTCTTCTCAACTCTGGACCACAAAGTACGCACCTCAGACCGCTAAAGACCTTTGTGGTAACAAAGCACCCATCGGGCGTTTACTCGACTGGCTCAAAGATTGGTGAGTCATATCCATCTGAGTTATTCCACGCCGTCACTGATAGGTACAGGGACAAGAATTTTAAATCTGGTTTCAAGAAACCCGGGAAAGAAGGACTGGGTATATTTCGTGCTGTACTAATCTCCGGTCCTCCTGGAATAGGCAAGACTACCTCGGCCCATCTCATGGCCAAGGAAGCTGGATATAATCCCATTGAGCTCAACGCTAGTGACGCTAGAAGTAAGAAACTCATCGAACACCATACGAACATCGACAATGCTTCTCTTGATGGGTTCTTTCAAGGTGCAGGGGCGAAGACGACGGTGGTGGATATGAAGGTGGATTCGAAGACTTGTTTGATCATGGATGAAGTGGATGGTATGTCCGCTGGTGATAGGGGTGGAGTGGGAGCTCTGAATGCTTTGATCAAGAAGACTCGGGTGAGTTCTGTGTAGCCCTTCCCCTCTCCTTCACACACCTGTACTCTACGCTGCATGTCGAATTAGACGCACTATGGTGCCGGCAGGCCCCCGAGTTCGTCGTGTTGAAAGAGTGAGGGCTGACAATAGATCCCCATGATTCTCATCTGCAACGACAAGTCATTACAGAAGATGAAGCCGTTGATAAATACGACATATGGTATGCCTTTCAAGCGGTGAGGTCCATCGTTCTATAATTGATTAAGGGCTGAAATGAAAAGACCAGGTCCGAATGAAGTACGATCTCGTATCATGTCCATCTTATACAAGTGGGTCATTCTTAGTACCTATCGCCCAAGGGTGGGCCGTCGGTTACTCAGTCACTCCTAAGACGGGAGGTGATTACGGAGGATATAATTTGATGGAGGAACATAAGGGCTCAAGCTGATGAAAATAGAGAGAAATTGAAGATACCTACGAATGTAGTGGATCAACTTGTCCAAGGAGCCAACTCGGACATTCGTCAAGTCCTCAACATGCTTTCTACTTTCAAACTGGGCAAATCGGAAATGAGCTTTGATGAAGGAAAAGCTTTGTGAGTTGAGACTTGTCTTCTCTATAATCCTCTCATCTTCTTTCTTGCGAAGTGCTCTTTTTTGGCTTCGAGGTGGCCAAAGGCTTTGTGGATACTACTAACGACCTCAGATTGAAAGTCAACGAGAAGAACACAATCATGACGCCTTTTACAATCATTGATAAACTTACTGGACCATATGCGTTCTCTCACACCAATAGGGAGACTTTGAATGAGAAGGCTGAATTGTACTTCCATGATTTCTCCTTTGTCCCACTTTTCATGCAGGTGGGTTTCCCCCTTCTCATCAGATTCCCATCCCTCTGCTTTTCAGTCGTAGCCGTCACCTCTACCTCTGGTCACCTCACAGCTTCGCGTCATTCGAAGCACGTCCTGTAACATATGTTGATTACTCATCTCCGCAACTGAGTAGTTAGTTGCCTGTCATTGCGTCGGGTCTGTTTCAGGAGAGTTCAGGAAGCCATCATTGATGAATAGGAACATTACCTCAAAACTCTTCCCGCCAGAGCGTCCAAAGAAGACGGACCACTCAAAGACCTCAAACATCTGGACCTGGTGTCAAAAGCTGCAGATTCAATTTCTGATGGAGATTTGATAGATCGTATGATTCATGGTTCCGAGCAACATTGGTCTTTATTACCGATTCACGCTTTCGCAAGTACTGTCACGCCTGCTTCTTTGATTTATGGAAGTATCAACAAGCCGGGTTATGGAGGTGGTTTTGGGCCTGCCTTCCCACAGTATGTTCATTTGTCCATTCATTTCTTCTACCTTTTCTCATTACATTGACATCCTCCCCTCTGTGTTGTTCCTTTCCCGTCATGTTTCCATCCCCCTTTCTTCATGTACTTCCTCGACACGTTCCCATCCCCTCTCCTGCCGTATTCTCCATCCGATAACTCGTCAAGTCATCCTCTCTAACACTTTTGCTTAGCCCATTATGATGTACTAAAGTCGACCAATGACTCACCATCAGATGGCTCGGTCAAAATTCCAAACAAGGAAAACTCTCTCGTCAACTCACTGACATTCAAATCCGTATGCGTCTACGCGTCTCCGGATCAAGACAAGAAATCCGAGAACAGTACATGCCTCTTTTGGCCGGTCACATCGTTTCTCCTCTCATGGATCGGGGCAGTGACGCGTTAGACGAGGTTATCGAATATATGGACGAATATTATTTGAGTAAAGAAGATTGGGATGCTTTTGTGGAGTTAGGGGTGGATAGTATGAGAGAAGAGTATGTTTTGAAGAAGATACCTTCAGCTGTCAAGAGTGCTTTTACGAGACAGTGAGTCATTGGGTTTCATTCGATCATTTGATCTCCACCCATACTATTTTATCTCGTCCTGACTTGCCTATTCCCAATCTGCTTTCGACACACGTTCAAATCACCTGGCCATCATTTCAAATGACAAATCCTGATATGCTAGCTTACAATGAATACTGTAGTTTTGTGTCCGTGGAGACTTCGAGCTAACGCAATAGGTATAATAAAACAGATCACCCTATAGCGTTTCATAAAGGGGACTTGTTTGCAGCTTCCAAGAAGAAGATTGCGGATATCGGTCCTGCTCCAGATAATGAGGATGTCTTTGAGGTGAGTGTTGTGGTCTACTCTTCTCTATCCTCATCGGTCCAACCAATCTCACCTTCCGCCGCCGTTACGAATGTGTCGAATCGAAATCAGTCTTACTATCTGTGGCCTCAGAATTGAGTATTGTGTGGAAATGTGACTGGGGAACGATGCTGACTGAGATAGGAAGATGAACCTGTCCCCGATGAAGAAGAAGAAAAGGGCGATGAGGAAGAGGACATTGACGTGACTAAAGATCGACTCATCAAAGCTGTCAAACCTAAGGTGGTAAAGGGTAAAGGGAAGAAATGATCAATCCCCCGTCCTGCCGACTTCCGAACAGGTTGATTCCGTTGCTGCTCTAGCTGAGTATCTCGATCTCTGAAGATCTGGAGTTGTAAAGATTTTCATATTTTGGAAATCTGAGAGTTTGGATCTGAAGATATCGAGATATGAAGATCTGGGAAATGGAGCTTTTGGAGATCTGGAAATCTGGAAATCTGAGAATTCTGGGAAATGTGTGAGAAAACGTCTTGACATTCTTGGATAGTAGTGATGACATACTTGAGTATATTTCCGGAGAAAAAGACCCATGAGGTTGAAAAGATGTATGTGTGATCGTCTTGATCTCCCCGTGCCGAGTGTTCGGGGCGTTGGATTATGCATGGGTATGTTGATGTCCTGAGGTTCTTGTCTCAGGGCGAGAAGTTGATGCGCTGCCGCAGGGCGCGATGTGGGGGAATGCGGCATACTCTCTTTGAGTATCAATGTTGATTCGTGATTGTTGAAATCGAGAATGAATACCGCAGTGAGAGTTTACATCTTCTCTGTGCGGGTTGTCCAAGATGCGCGAATAATCTCCAGCAAGGAATCACATCTCACCATACTCGTATGCTCTTTAGCATCTCCACACAAGTATCTCTACTCGTATGGAGAAAGAACAATTGATTTGTGGGAATGACATGTGTCCAACTACGGTATACTTCTTCCATCCCTGATCCCTGAGAGAAAAACAGTCGCGTCATGACTCTCTCTCCCCGCCCACAACCCAAGTAAACCGCCAAGGGAAAAAATCAAGCTACGGCACATACCCCTGAGGAAATTACCATTTGCGAGGATTCAAGCACCTGGGGGTACCGGTATTATGCATGCGCGGTTCAGCCACCTGTTTACTTTTGACTTTGACTTTGACTTTCAATCTCGATTCCAATCCATCCTTCTTTCTCTTACTCTCTTTTTTTTTCGTCGATATCGAATATCGAATATCGAATATCGAATATCGGATATCCCTTGTATCCGCCTACTTTCTTTAAATCAGGTGAGATATCTTTCCCTCCTCTATCATTCTGTCATTTTTTTGAAACATGTCTTTGATCTTCTATGACGGCCGATATGATCGGAAGATGAGGATTGTTTCTCCGACATCTTGGGTAATGATATTGGCGAGGGTTATGACGTTCGTTCGGTCAGAGTAAGAGGGAAAACGGTTAAAAGGAAATATGAAAAAGAGATGGAAGAAAAGGGAAAGATATGTTTCATATCTAAATGGATTATTCAGAGACAATATGATGTCAGAGATCGATTGGGATAAGGATTCTTCGAGAGAGAGATAAAGGATGTCGAAAGGATTCCTTTATCTTCCCCTTCTTTCCCTCCACTTTTGAATAGTCTCACTTTACCCCTTGGTTCTTTCCACCTGATTATCAAAAGTCTCATCTCGGGTAACTCGGAAAAACAAAGGAATAAAAACCGGTTGTGAGGATTACTACTGTACTGTACTAGCGTTGTGATGCGGGGGGGGGGCGGCGAGGATCTACCTAAATGTCTGTGCGTCCTAAAGGCGGATCGACTAAAACAAAAAGAAAGATCGTCCTGATCTTCGGATTTTCAGATCGCCGTTTTTGTTATTTGTTTACTTATTCTAATCCCAAAGAGTGAGATGAGAGAGAAAGAGAGAGAGAGAACGCTGACACGAGATTCTTCTTCTTCAATCGTCATTCCTTCAAATTTGTAATCATACTCCATTTCATAAACTCCACCACGCTTATTACGTTCATCTTTCCTCCTCGAATTACCTGCGTTTTCCATCGGACCGATCAAACTTATTGGGTTCTTCCTTGGATCCTTGGACCTTTCGGCAATCCATACGGATAATTTGACCGTATTCCTACGGATACAAAAACCTTACTTGAACCGCAATTTACACTACTACTCTCTCAACCTTGAAACGAAATCTATATAAACAATCTTTTTATCTTCTTTTTCTTTCTGGCCACTCAAACCAACTTCGAATACTTTCACACGATTCCATTCTTCTAATCTTGTTACGTGGGAATATTCTTCAACATCCTTTCAAATCTTCTATCCTTACACCGAAATTCTCAAACTTATTCAACATTTCAACGGGTCCACCAATCCCAATCGGATTATACCCACGCATTAATACCTTCTTCGTTGACTTGAACGATTTGTTTCTCTCGGTCCGGTTGTCATCCCGGCTGATAAACTCCCTCCTGTCCTTGATTCTCAACCTTTGTATTGCCTTTGACTCGATTGTATCTCTGGAAAAATTGTATCCGTACCTAGACTAAGACGTTGAACGTCTTTGGTCAATTTACACCGACCAATCTTCACAGGTCATTACTAGTCCAAGCGACCAAATCAAACCTTTGCTTCGCCTTTCCTTGACATCTTCCTTATATTTATCTCATCTATTCTATATACCAAATCTACTCATCTACTTCATCTACTCCATCTACTTCAGTCAACAAGGTTTTGACTTCGTTCATCTTTCATCTCTTCCCACGTTTTTATCTCCCTGTCGACCAATCTAGAACGCTCATTTCTTTTTTCGAACCTCCCTCACCCATATCAAGTGCCAAGATGCACTACACTCCTCTTCTCTTACCTCTCCTCTCTTTCTCCCTTACCGTCTCCGCCGACGCCTTCACCAGACACCCTAGAAAACACGCATTGGAAATTGCTAAAATTCGCCACGAAATCCAAGAGAATCGTGATGCTCGTGATTATCGCATACCCGCGTCTAGGTCTGCAAATGGTAAACGGTTGGTGAGGAAGAAACGTGCAGTTTGTCAAGTTTCTTTCCCGAATAACACCATTTCTACATCTTCTTCAGCTACGTATCCAGACATCACTTCGACTAGTACTTTAGGACAAAACGGTTGGGCTCATGGATCATCAACTAAAACTTCATCCGCTCGACCATCCGCTACTAGTCATAGTAACTCTAATTCAGATTGGACATTGGTCAAAACTCACGTGGGTCTTTCTTCTTCTTCAACACCTCAGATCTGTCTTCACACTACATGCATCAAATCTATCTCCCACAAACACGAACAAGTCTGTTCGTCGATCACATGAAATTCCTCATTCTCAGATCTCTTGATTGATGCAGAGGCGTAAGATGAGTGTGGCAAATGGAGATCCCAGGCAAATGGCGAGTTCAACTGACGCACAGTCTGGTAATAGTTTCTTCGACGAATGGGACTTTTGGCAATGGGATGATCCTACGCACGGGACAGTCTCTTTCCAAAGTGCCGATGCCGCTTGGTCTCAAGGTTTGGTATCCGTAAATGGGAACGGTCATGCTATGATGAAAGTCGATACTACTCAGAATGTTCAAGGTGGAAGGAAAGCTATTCGTATCACTACCCAACGAGCGTGAGTGATCCTTATTCACCTCACTCCACCCCGCCCCATTCTCTCTCTTCACATCCTTCCCCCACTTCTCCTATCCCATATCACATATACTACGTATCATACCATCGAGTGTATGTGTACTCGAGAGGCATTGTAAGCCATCAACTTGCAACAATACTAGTTGATATCATATATTTTACATCGATCTCCCCGCTAATGACCAGCTTCACAGGTGGTATGGTCCTGATGGACGCTTATCACATGCCGACAGGTTGTGGTACTTGGCCTGCATGGTGGCAAAACGGTCCCAACTGGCCGAACGGAGGTGAAATCGATATCCTAGAAGGAGTAAACGCTTTCACTCAAAATCAAGTTTCACTTCATACCGGTTCAGGATGTAAAATGCCAAACAACCTAAACAATAATCAACTCGGTTCTTTGACAACGGGTGGGTTTGACTCGTACAACTGCGCATCGTACGAGACTTCGAATCAAGGTTGTGGTGTTAGAGATGGTACCAATGATAATTCTTATGGGACTGGGTTTAATAATGTCAATGGGGGTGTATATGCTAGTGAGTTGATATTATCCTTTTAATTCCTTTCATAAACACCTCGTCTACTTTCATATCAACATACTTGCCCTTTTCGACTTTCGACTACATCTATCGTCTGCTTTTCTGCTCCTCTAATCCTCTTCGATTCTGTTCCATACTTCTCACCAACCACTCGCAATCATCTCACACATCTCGCAAACTCCTACAACAATTTCCGAAGCCAAATCTTCCCAGGTCAGATGACGAAGTTGGTCGGTCACATGTTGAGCGAATAACTAATCATAAGTGGTATGGGACAAAGCAGGTATCAAAGTTTGGTGGTTCCCTCGTTCCTCCATCCCCTCCGATATAACAAACGAAACTCCCGATCCATCAGGTTGGGGTACACCAGTGGCCAACTTTGTGTCGGATCAATGTGATCCTTACACTTATTTCTACGATCATGTCAATATCTTCGATACCACTTTATGTGGTGATTGGGCAGGTGCGGATAGCGTTTGGAATTATGCTGGATATGCAGGTCAAGGACAAAGTTGCGCTTCTATAACTGGTTATAGTACTTGTTCCGATTTCGTGCTCAATTCGGGCTCTTCTTTTAATGAGGCTTATTGGGAGGTGAGTGAGAAATTTCTTTTATCAATATTTACCTTTCACTTCTTTATCGCAAGCCATTTGGATTTGTAGATGATATTCATTCTCTCACTTAACTCTGGTCGACTTTTACTCGATGGTTTACACCATGACCCATTCTTTAGCTTGTGCCATAACATACGATCAGCTCACTAAATGAACCTCTATGGAAGAAGAATGAGAAGGATAATTCACTGATATCCAGATTGCCTATGTCAAGTATTTCAACTCGACTAGTCAAGTTTGAACCCTCTCTTCATTTGATGAATTTCGACGCCCAATTGATCCATTTCGAAACACGTTTCTATTTCTCAAGTTTTTTGTTCTCAGCTTATTGTTTTCTTTTGTCCACTGGTTCTCGTCTATCCGATGAACCCATTCAAGTTTTACCATCGAGTCTTTCGATTACCCTCCTACTCTTCTACCCTTTATTCTTGAGATAACCCTCACTCTTGATCTCCTTTATAACCGTCTTACCCTCGATTCTCTTGAATCAACCAACCCTTGTCACTCTGTTTAACCAACACCCGAAGTCGGAAGTCGATTGTTTCCCAGGAGGAAACATTTCGACCCTAGGAACGTGTAGGATTACTCAGTCGTTTGGAAAATTGGTACTTCTTTTTCGTCGTTGATGCGCTGTTTGCTCAAGGAAGGGCGGGCGTTTGTAGATAGGATGCATGGATTTTCTTGTCTTGACCTTTGTTTCTCTAGTGTCGCACACAATGTTCTGACCACTGTGCAGTGTACAGTGTGCACTATGCCAAGTAGTGTTGCTCGATATCTGCCGAGGGTCAGGATCGCGGGATCCGGTGGCGGTTCCGTCGGAAATAAACCACCTTTGCACACCCAACGTCACTCACAACTCGTCTATCTAAGTACTTCTCTGTTCATCAACACTGGTACTCTACTGCTTGACTTTGAAGACAGAGCTCGAGTCAGAGCTAAGTACCTATACCCAAGCGATAAGGGGAAAGAAGGAAACGGAAAATGCCACCCCGGTCAGTATTAATAACCTACACTGTCCATCCATCACCTCCTCCGCCCCATGTGATCAGTACGATACAAGGTATCAAGACACAACTCCCTTTGAGGAATTTACATTGGAAATCTGGTTCTAGGACCGCGTTACGGACTATTCAGGTGGGTCTTGATATATTTCCTCTCACCGTCATCTGTCAAAGCTCTCATTCCGTCCTGCGTGGGTGTGCGTGAGCATCATGAAATTGGTAGAGAGGATGGGTACATGTGGAGGACCCTTGGATGTCTCGATAAGGACATGAGCTGTGAAATGAGCCGGCTAGAAGGGGAATGCTAGACAATTATTGGACTGCGGGTGAGAACGAGGATTAAGATCAAGGACAAGAGACAAAAGCTGGAAGGAGGAGAACCCGCTGATAGGATAGGAAGTAGATGTCGAGTTGGTCGAACTTGGTGAAGTCTCTTCTAGGGGAAAAGAAGTTAATGGGAGTGTGCTGGATAATCCTTTGGTAAATATCTGTATGGTATCTTGTGAAGTACGTTCTAATTCCTCTCTTACCTCTCCACACCTTTCCATTACCCCTCAATTGATCACTCTGTACTGCGTTCCTCAGATAGGCTCCTCTACCCACTGCTTCTTTTCTCCCCCATCCATTGGTGATGAACGCGTACAACACCACTGTGGTGTTACATTGAAATCCTTAAAAGTCATTTCTGTGACCTCCGGCGCAGGCTTATGACATAAATGAGCAAGGACGAGAAACTTATACGATGAGCCAAGGTTGATATTTAGGACGCAGAAGCATACAAATCTTACACACGCTCATTTATACGTGATTGGCTCTCTCTCCTCGCCGCCAGGAGAAACGTTCATGCACCTCTCATTGTGCTAGTCAATCCTCCCTCCTCCACAGCTAGCGCGGGGAAGAATGTATTTGGGAGAGATAAAGGTATCTTGGGGAAATTGAAAGCGGATTTCAATCAAGGCAAGAGGGATAGGTAAGTTGTTTGCTTTGAACATCCTACATACCATCTTCCACTCATCATCTCGAACTACGCTCAAACATATATGAGATCTGACATGCGTATTGAGCTACTGGCCCGGGCTGAGCGGGAGATAGCACGGACACGATGGAAGACTCTCGCAACACGGGATCTTGTGACGATAAATTACCCCACTCACCCCAGATGCGTGCAGGTCCATATCCCCTCCGGAGACATCACCGATCCTACCACTTGGCCAGAAGTGATAAACAAGCTCAAAGAGAGTCTCGTCATTGCGTTTGATGGAGCTATCCTCGAGCGAGAAGAAGAGATCAGACGGAATGATCTTAATCGATTGCAACCAGGATGGAACTTTTGCACACATTTTCTCCTCAAAGTGAGCGATGTCTTTATCTCATTGATACCCGCTTTCAATCGTAAGCTGAGGTGAAGGAATCCCTCGCTCATTCTTTCGAAGCTGTCAACCTTCATGAGGACGCCCTGATCGTCTACGAAGAACTTGAAGCTGCTTTCTTTCAGGTGCTCAAAGAACAAAATCTCTCATGGTTCGGTAAACTGGGCGCAACTGGTCCTCAAGACGACTCGTTGCCTATACTCGATACTACCGCAAAACCTTATCGGCATTTACTCCAAACGAGCTCTATCAGCATTTTCGATTTCCGCATTTATGTTTTTGCACGACAAGCCGCCCTTCTCGGGAAGCTCGGAAGGATCACAGAAATCGCTAAACGGGGACAATGGTTTGTAGCTAGTTTGACGAGACGTTTGAGAGAAAGCGAGGTATGTCTCTTTGATATCACTGTATCCGTACTGATGACCGTAGGGAGATCTCGCGGAATATTTCATCGAATCTTGGACATACACCGCTTGCATGGATATCGTCCATCGATGTGACGAATGGTCTCGTATCGACCGACCCAATGGCGATTATTCGGGTTTGATAGCCTACGAATCGGCCCGTTCAGAACTACTAGACATCGCTCGTGTTCAAGTGGAACGCATTGCCGTAGCTGCAGGTCATCTACCAGATATTTACCCTTTCTCACCCACACAACCCCTTGTCACCGCTCAGGAGGACGTATTGTTCGAATCATCCGATGCGGGCATCAGCGATTCTGCCCAAGCAGACAACCATCCAAGACCAGTGTTATCTAACCAACCATTCATCGAAGCCCTGGCGGATGAGACAAAGTGCAGGAATTTATATTTGACCTTGACCAAGAAGGCTATCATGGCGTACGAAGCATGCGGCAAGGTCAATTCTGTCATCAGATTGAAAGCAGATATCGCGGCATTGGCACTGTGAGCTAACTTCCTTTGTTAATGGGATGTGGCTGACGACTAGGCATACGTCTGAATGGACGGCGGCGTACGATTTGTGCAGAGATCTGGCCATGAATTGCGCAGAGTTACTCATTTGGGAGAAAGTAGCTAGATACTCACTCGACGGGGCACTTCGAGCGCATCGCGAGTTGAAGAGGGATAAAGATGAAGAATGGGTCAACTTGGCACTCGCTTACCTCCGTGTTTGTGCTGGTGCCAATCTAACAGATGATGTGAGCGAGCTTGGGGAGGTACTGCAGGGTTTGGAAGAGGTGTCTGATGAGCGAGATAGTAAGCGTTCCGGATGATCCGATGAAGTCCACTGATCCCCCAGTTCCCACACAAAAAGTCTTCTCCGTCCATCTGCTAGCCAAACAAGCAAAAGCGGAAAAGGGGGGAGATGTGTCATTTTTGGAGGTGGAAGTGATCAACATGCTCCCACTGGTCCGTCCTCTTATATCACTGATAGGAGTATCGCTCATTAAGCTAGAGCGTCAAAGTAGCCGACGTCGTGTTGGATTTAACTAGTTCACATGGTGACGAGATAGTCTTCTCCTCAGGTTCATTGGATTTGCAGCCCGGAAATAACGTCGTGAAAGTGATCTGTAATGTGAGTCTTACCTTCGGCAACATTGAGATAATTGACAAGTCAGACATCGGTTGAGGGAGTCTTCTCCCTCAGATCCAGCCAAATACTCCTCGGATCCATCAGCTTCTCTCAATCGTCGCCAGGAGATGTGATGGTACATATGACCAGACCAGACGGCGGTGTGAAAGCAGTCATACGAATGCCATATAGGAGTGAGCTCTCCTCATTTCCGACAATGGATTAAGCTCATAGTCAGTCGCTCTGCACGAAGAAAGTCACTTAGTCGTTGAAATCCATTTCGGTGGATGTACCATGCGTCAAACACGACTTGTCCTTCGTACTGGGAAGAATGACATCCGACTTATACTCCCTAACGTAACGTGCGATAACCACCGTATGTCCCTTTGCATATTACAAAAGGTCTGTCTGATCATCAGCCATCACTGTACTTGGTAATCAAGTACATCTCGGAGATGTAGACTCTCAGTCGTCTCTTCTGGTTTCAGTGCCTTACTCTGGAGTATCACAGGGTGAATCCTCCCGAATAGGTCTTGGTGTCTTCTATGAGACATCTTCTGGAGAAGAAAGAGCGTATCTCGATGAACAAGGTGTCTTCATGGGTCTCCCACTGACTGTCAATGTTCAAGATTTCTTCCGGCCTCAGTGGTGATTATCTTTCTTCTCACGTAGCTTAATAGTTGACCGATGAACAGCTTGTTGAGTCACTTCACCATAGCCTCGGATGGGAGGGAGTATCTACGTATCGATTCTGTGGACCTTAGTAGTGATCCGACTGGGGGATCATACGAAGTTGAAACCAGAATGAAGAAAGGACGTTGGCCTGTGGTCGGTTCCTCACTTTCTTTCGTGAATACGTTGTTGATTGAAAAGACTGTAACTCCTTTGCAGAGTCTATCGACAGTGTTCAAAATCATGCCAAAATTGACATCTGCTGGTAAGCTCAACTCTTGAATCTCTTTTGTGAGCTCACTCTCAGAACCGTCTTCTGGCTTGTTACGTCTCTCCATTCGGTATCGGAATGTAGAAGAAGGTAAGCTCCTTATCCATGTACTTTTGCTACGGATGTGCGCTGAGTAAACAGAAGCGCACAACATAATTGACTCGGTTCTACGAGAACTGACCAAGGAGAAAACTTCCAGTCAACTCAACTCCAGACAACATCTCCAAAACATGTTGTCCGATCGTACCATCTGGATTCATAAATACCTCGCTACGGGCAATTTAGCGGACTGTATGATAACTTCAGACCCTCTCTCAATTCATCTTCGAGATGCTCTGAATTCATATCGAGACGAGAACGTTCAATGGCGCACACTGGAAATTCCAGTAGAAGTACCTTCTCGTCGCGTATGTTTTTCATTGTAATCAAGATTGGATCCTGACGGACAGATCCTCGTTGGGGCTCGGTACGACTTAATTGACGACCTCAAGCAGGACAGGGCACAAGTATCAGAGGGACAAGCGTTGAGTGTGAAGCTGTCATTAAAGGCCAGCTTCGGTTGGGCTGGCGAGGTGGAGGGGGATTTGAGGATGGTTTTCGACGTTCAGGCTAGTGCGGACGATTGGTTGGTTTTGGGTAAAAAGAAGGGTCATATCATCTTTTCGGTAGGTAGAATTTTTCACTTTCTCATCCCTTCTGTCATGTCCACAACGAGCTGTGACTCGCTCTTTGTTTGCTTATTCGTACACATTCCAATCACCCTATTCCGTCTTTCCACAAGAGGGTCGGGCCACGTCAGTAGGACCTTCCAGGACGAAAGTAGGGGAATGCGGACAGCAAGGAGAGTGTAATTGTGATGGACTGATTTGCAGAAAGAAAAGAATAAAACTCATACGGCCTCTTTAGTCCTCGTTCCCATGCGCCCAGGACACCTTTTCTTCCCACATGTCCAAACACACCTATCCGACCTTAAAGTCACAGAGATGATATGCGAGACATACGTTGAGAACGCTGCCGAGTCGGTGGAGGTTTTACCCGCTCGAGGCGGAGTGACAGCCGTGGTCCCTTTGCCTATGTGGACTGTCCCAGAGTGAGTCGAGATCCATCTCCATATCATGTGACTATTTATTTGGCTTGAGTAGCAAGATCAGACTTTTCATCTTTGCGGTGCTTATTATGAGGGGGTTCCAAGGATCAGGGAGAAGAGGTAATGACGATTAATTTGATACCTTGCATTATATACCCATACATTGTAATTGTACAAGCAAAGCAATGCAAAGACCTTGAATATGATTTTTCCAAATTTCCCAAATAATCACCATCTGTCTAAGATTTGATCAACATATTCGCCCGTCATGGCCAGTTCGTGATATTCGCACACTACCCGATCAGCACCGTTTCGCCACCTCTTGAATGAACGGGTTGTGGATCACTCTGACAGTAGAACTCGAGGAATTTGCTTGTCATGGTCGAGGAGAATTCCCAGTATCTCAATCAACGAATGTAATTGGAGATTCTGAAGGGAAAGTGTGTTGTTATGTGAGGGTGAAGTAAGACAAGGAGAACGGACAAGATTCCAGGCTAGTATACAGGAGGGGAGGGAGAGAGAGTAAAAGAGAATGAAGAAAAAGATACAAAACTCACCACTTTTGATAACTTTCAATTTCATCTTCATCTCTCCTTTATTCAAAGATGATCTGAAAGATCCACCACAATGACAAGTAGGTGAGATATTATCATCTTTACTTTGACCACATTTTGAACAATTGACATCTTGTGTTTGCCAAGTTGTTATCATTCTTGATATTAAGGATATGAGTGGACGTTGAATTTGCCATGAATCGTATTCCGCGTCACATTTCTGTGATATCAGTTCTTATTCTTTATACCATTCATTCATCCATTCTTCTTCTTCTACTTGTCCGTACCTCCTTCCCATCTCTGAATGTCTGGTGCTGATATTCGTCTCGAGGATTTCGATGATGGGAGTCAGACGAGTAGAGGATAAAGAGAAAATACTGATATATTGGAAAATATCGATACAGTAAAGCTTTGGAGAGAGGGGATAACATAGTGAAATGAAAAACAAAAAAAACTCACATGACAAACCCAACTTTTCCTAGCTGGTGATAAAACTTCCATAGTATCAGGATCAACAGTCGGTAATCTATCTGGATCTCTACATAAATCCACATCTCTTATAAAACTACATTTCTTACAAATGACCATTGAAACGATTACACTTTCACAAGGGTTTTTGAATACAGCTTCTTGTGAGAATTCTCTTACACCTAATAAATCCAAAACGTTCCTTCTGAGAATTTGTATTTCTACCATATGTTCTTTAGCTAAAGAATAAACTTCACAAATGGCTTTTGTAAATTCCAAAGCTGGGTTTTTCCTTTCTCCTCTCGAACCAGGTAAATTTGGGAAAGATAATGATTGAGCTTCTAATTCATCAACCGCAGCTAAAGTTTGACGACGTTTTATAATCGTCACATCTGCTAATAACCTTCTTGTCAAAGTTTGAGAAATTGATTTCTTAGCATTTTTAAGTTCTTTTTCTTTTGTTGGATTTATTCCTGTTGAAAATTCAGAATCTAAATTTAAATCATGTATCGATAAAGGTTCTTTCCCATTTGAAGATGTTCTTTTAGCTGAATATAAAGCGAAGATGAATGAAGCGATGTTTTTTTCAAACATAGGTTGAAGTGAACCAGGTAAAAAAGATTGTATATTCCAATCCATTGAAATTTCAAATCGACCATTTGTTAAATCTCGATTCGAAGCTTGTCCAGGTGATAATTTTACTCCTCCGAAATTCGCGATATCCATCCAAGTTAAATAATTCCAAAATTGCGTCACGTCGATGACTAAATGTCTAAATAATTCTTGTGAATTGGCAGCGGTGATTAAATATTTAGCGAATGCGTATGCTGATCCTGCATCAGGTTTGGAAGTGAGAAGGAAAATTCGATTGAAATCTGAATAAACGACTTGAGTTCCTAAACGTTTAAATTCGGCTAATAATTGAAGGAAAACTTTTCTCATGAGACCATGTAGAAATCGATGAAGAGCAGGTTCGAACATACAAGAAGTCGGAGATGATATCCAACGCCAAAATTGATCCACAACTAAATCGGAAGGTGAATGATTTGAACCTTTAACATGTGCTCTTGCTTTATCCAAAAACCAACCTCGTACTAATGATTTGAGTATTCCAAACGTTTGAGTTGAAAGTGTAGCATCACCTAACATGACAGAAGCGTTGGCTGTACCTTTTGCGTATTCGTCCAAGTTGTGAGAAGCAGAATCGAAAGCTAAAGAACCTGTACCGGTACCTTCCATCTCGTTGACTAGAGCTGATTGAAGGATAGAATTGATAGCTAAATCGGCAATTTCCATCTCGAGTACGACAGAGGAATAACAACCTTTATATGACATATGAGGTGAAATCAATTCTTCGGGAGAATTGGCATCTTCTTCAGATCCACCTAAATCTGGCCGAGATGTGGGTGACCACCATAATATCATATCTTGTTGTTTAAGTCGACGAGCGAATTCGATATCAGCTAAGAAAACTGCTGGATCTGAACCAAGATTCTTCAAATCAGCTCTTAACCCTCTTCAAATGTATTTCGGAAAGACTCACTCCTAATGGAACATCATAATGAGCAGCTACCTGAATCTGGGAAGAAATCCAAGAAGATAATTTGAGATATTGATTCACCATCCTCCTAGATGTTTGTACCAACCACATCAAACTCGGTTCTTCTTCTTTTGCAACATTGAAAGTGATGAAAGGGAATTCTGAGAAAATTGAATGTTTCACTTGATAGTAAGAATGTTCGAATGATGAGCAAAGAGCTATAACGTTGAGACCATGTTTGATATTTTGAAGATCTTTTACAAGTTGTTTCATGGCTGAATTCTCCGTAGGATGATACGAAGTTGAGAATTCCATTTCTTCAGGATAAACGAATACTCCTCTTTCTGCTTTTGACAATCTTTCGGAATACCATCGAACAGGACTTGGTAATTGTTGTCGATTCCGAGCATTATCCACAACGTAAACTTTTGTTGAAGAGTCAGGTGAGAAGAGAGCTATCAAATGTCGAGAAGCTATAGTAGCATGAAAGAGCATATGATAACGTATTCCACGTCCACCATCTAGATATTTATGTCGGATCACACTTGTAGACGGACGTTCCAAATCATTCAAATCGAAACCTTTATCTAATCCTCTACTCAGACCTCCAGTTGATGTAGATCGAAGTGCACAAGCTGTACCGAGGTTAAGAAGAGCACGGACTAAAAGAGGTACTTGAAGTTCAAAGGCTCCGTCAACATTAGGATTATTGATCAAACTTGAGAAATGTGATTCACCCTCTAAGAAAAGACCTTCATCTACTGATAATCTGAATAAATGTCGAGGTATTTGACCACGGGGAAGAGTACGAGCTACAGAAATAGTTTCGTAACGATCTGAAAAGGTTCCTTCTTCAGGTAATGTTTTCAAATTAAGATAAAATTCTCTTGGTATACGAAGTCGACAACTTTGAAAAGTACCATCGATAGCTAACCATAATTTGAATTCTCCAGGTTTACCAGTAGAAGCCATTTGAACCACATCCCATTGTCTGGAAGTGAGATTCAGTGATTGTGTTCTTAACATTCCAGAAACAGTTCCATCTTGTCTAGAACTTTGTTTCCTAGCTCTAGCTCTTTCCAAACGTTGTTTCTTCCATTGTTTCCTCATCACCCTTATATAACCTGAATAATCCATTTGAGGATCAGGTGCAATTTCAGGAGCTTTTACTCGTTTTTTAACCACTGCCGTTTTCTGTGTCGTGATCTTTTTCCCACCGAAATCTTCCATATCGACCGATCTCATCTTGGCAAACATGTCGGTGAGTTTATGTTGTTGAAATTTATCTTCTTTCGCTGCAACTCTCTTGAATAACCAATCGGGATGACGAATCCTAGGAACGGGGTTTGGGATTTTTTGAAGTGCAGCTGGGATGGTGATGAGTTTTTGAATGACAGATCCCAGACGTTCTGTATAATAATTCCAATCGAGAATAGTTCGTAAATCAAAATCGACAAGACTATTATCTTTAAGCCATTTTCGTAAGAAATGTCGTTTTATCTGTGGGTCGGCTGTGAATATAGCTACTGGAATAGCTCTTTCAGTTACAGGAGCACCATTCGGTTTGGCGGAAATGATGAAACGACAAGATAAACCTTTATCTTTGACCATTTGTTCACCAAGAAATTCTGCTAGTCTTCGAGCTGTACTTATAGAAGTCGATTTTTGACTACCATATTCTGCCAAAGTCTTTGACATACTTCTATTCTCCGCAATGAGATCAACCAATTCTTCATCGTGTAAACTAGCCGCTTTGCTCTGTAAAATGTCCAGCCATTGATTAGCGACTGAAGCCACGGCGGTATAACATTCTTCAGTCGTAGATCCGAGTAAAAACTTATCGAATATCTGCGATTGAAAAATCTTGATAAGTTGAAGTTCACCTCTTCGTTTGACTTCGAAACCTTTAAGTTCTGCTAAAGAACCATCAGGGTTGAAAACTGCATAACGTTTCTTGAGTAATTTATCTTCTTCTTTTGAAGAAGGTAAAATCATAGCTTTGTACGGTCCATCCAATTCGAAGAAGATTGAATTTTCACTTTTGACAGTGTATTGACCTGGATTTGTCAATTCGTGATATTGATCATTGGTGAATTGAGCATGAACGAGATGATTGAGCATTGTACAAGGATAAGAAATCCCGAATTTCTTGCCGTTTTTCAATTTGAAACTAAAGTTTTCGGGGAAAACACCAGGAAGCATACACCAAATTCCATCCGTATCCAATTCCAATGGTCGACCAATTTGTTCAACTAATTGTCGAGCCATTTGAATAATCGTAGCTCCTGTGAGACATGTTATACCTGCCATCTCCATACTATACCATCTTGCACCTTTACGCATGACGTAACCGTAAAAAGAGTTGAGGATACATTTATGAGCGAGTTGAAGAGAGTCGTATAAAACAATCATCTTTTTAGCTTCATCCACAGCTGATAATCCACCTCCATCTTCATTGGCTTTATCAAGATTCTTTTTCCAAGTTTTATGAAGACCTTTATATTCATATCGTCTATCTCGAAAAGCTCGAACGGTGTCGATATAAAAAGAATTTTCTCTTTGACATATGATAGCCGTTTTAGTGACTACTTTTGTATCGTGTGTTTTCTTGTAAACTTTTCGAGAATAATCGCCTAATCGTTTATGCATCAAAGCCGATTGTTCCGCTTCACCCAAATCCACAAATCGTCTTCTAGGACCGAAATCATTTCTAGGTGGGAAACTCTCTTGTTCTAAAGCATATCGAACCATATTGACTTCATCACGTTTCGCAGGGAAATATTCTCCTCTCCAAGCCCATTCCATTCTTCGATCACATTTCTTGTCAGGTCGATTGTAATCACACACCGCACATTCCGCTTCATCCTTGACGGAATCAGGTTGAAGTCTATTTGACAACATGATATTGGGATACATAGCGGCGACGTCGAGATGATAAATCAGAGGTTTGTCGAATCGATTAGGTTCGTCTCGCATGAGCTCCAATGCGGCTTGAATTTCTTTTTTGACTTCGTCGTAATTCTCCACATCATCCAAAGTCAATTTACCTTCTTCCACCAATGAGAAATGAAGGGCGGCGTCGAGATCATCGATGAGTTGTTGAACTGCACTAGGTTCAATTTTGAAATGTGTGGGTATATCACTCCTGAAAACTCCAGCTTCTAGAGCTTCGACATGACCTCCAACATAAGTTTCAGAAGCGAGTAAATGTCCTTCGTAAGTCGCTCCATGAGGATCTTCATGTCGATTAGGCATAATGATATGTGCTTGATAGGCTTCCACCTATCTGTCAGATCTGACTCCTATAAGATCTTGATCAAACTCACCATGAGAAGTGTCTCACATAATGTTCCTGATCCCTTTCGGAGCACTTCGTCAGGATTCAGAGGAATAATGTTACAGAGGGAGAAAATGAACGGATGGACGTATTTCATGTAAAGATAATAAGTCGCCACAGCATCGGATACTGAATATTGCGCCAAGATTTGAGGTTGTTCAATAGCATAAGGAGTCATAAGTTCGGGATCTAATTCGATAGGATGATAACCTAATTTTGCCGTGGTTACAGCTTTCAAACCTTGACTACCTTGAGGAAGATACGAATCTCTTTTCACCCATCTTTCCAATCAGTGACCTAAGCTCAAGTAGTAGATCGTTTTTGACTTACCTAAAACAATCCATGTGCATGCAAGATCTACTTTTATATTCCATCTCTTGATCCGGACGAAAACCGATCCCGTCATACATGCTTATCCCATGTATCTTGGCTCTTGCATCCACGAATGGGAAATCGAAACTATCACCATTATAAGTAGCCATGACGGTTGGTCTTGTCTCTCGGATATGTTCAAACCATCGACGTATAACAGCAGCTTCGTCGGCTTCGTTAAAAACGGTAAAATCACCATGATATTCATCCCTTGGAGTATACTCGAAATCATCGATATCTTCCGAGACGATTTCACGATTGGTGATGAGGTATCCTTGACCATCTATCATATATGATATCATCATGATTTGATCTGTTTGTTGATCGGGGAATTTAAGAGGTTGTTTGGTAGTTTCAATATCGTATGCCATGACCACTGGTTCGGCACGTTTGACTATGGAAGTTATTCGTTCTAATTTGATAGTTCCAGTGACAGAAGTGACGGAATACCATAATCCCACTCGGACGTCTGTAAAATATCAGCTTTTACCCGACCTCTCTTTACAAGCGTGATGATGAGTTTAGTTCGTTCCGTTCTTAGTGGTGATCCAAAAATGAGACTCACCGAGATCTATGGCTACACGAAGATAATAAGCAATATCATGTTCCCGTATATCAATAATACAATCAACAGCTTCTCTATCCCTCTTCTTCTTATTCTCATCCTCTGCACCCCAAGCTTTCTCATGTTCATCGTCATCCCCATTCCCTCCTTGTGCCTCGGCTCCGACAACATCGGCATAAGCATCAACAGCTGTGAATTTCGCAGAGTTGGCTTGAGCAAGAGGTAACAATTCTCTTCTCACAGCTTGAAGATCCGCCGTGTTGTGAAAGAAGAGTTTTAAGAATATAGGAGCAGCAGAGAGGAGATGATTAGGTAAAGATAAATCCCATTTTTTCTCTCGTTCAACTCGGACTAGTAAACTTTCGAAGCGTTTCACAAGCCATTCTTCTACGGTCCTTTCTGTTCCAGCCTGGGTCATCAGCTATGCGGTATATTCAGGATTCTGACAAGAGCTGACCCGACAGGTAATGTAAAAGTAAGGTTCGTATGGAACAGTAGCTTTGAACATGCCTCCGTCATCTTGTATAAAGTAAAAATCGACGGCTGCTAGTCCAGTGGCATGAGAGTTGGTCTGTATCAATGTCTATGAGATTAGCCTTGTAAAGACAAACCCCTGGCCCTATACCCGCACATAACGTCGGGGCTTCTCAAACTGCTCCCTGGTCAAGGACATAACATACTATCATCGGCGTCTTACTGTGAAAGGGAAAGAGGGGGGGAGGGGATAAGAGGAGAAGCAATGATTATAAACTTGCCTGATGCATATTGACCAACCACCCAATTTTCTTCTCTCCAGCAGCGAGATTACTTTCAAACCTCCAAAACCCCAACTTTTCATCAATCTCATCCGCGACTTTGACCTCTTCGAACCTTTCTTGAGCTGCCGTTCCATCATCTTCCCGATTAGGTTTAGATCTGTTATCTATACCGTACGCTACTGCTGAAGGACGAAAAGAACGTTTTCCTTGATAACGAGTGTTGAAACTCCCTCTTCCTCTTCCTCGTCCTCTAAAGCCCCGGTTGGACATTTTTTCTGACCTTCCTCTTGATACTTAGATCCTCTGCTCTCCCTCGAGAGATGTTCTTCGAACCCTCCCTGCTTCGGTCGGACAATGCGCGGTGAGAGGAGATGTTTGGAAAGGATTGACTTGGCGGGATGATGTGACCGATCAGGGAGGTTCTGATTGCACTTCAACGCCGTTCACTGGGATTGTATAGCCAGGTCGACGATGACAGGCATATGAGGAAGAGATAGGAGGGAGATCGGATCAGTTCAGAACGTTGTAGGGGAGGAAGGAATGGGAGTGATGGCGAAGATGGACGATGAAGCAAGTGGGTAGAAGAAAGTCAAAGACGCGTCGCGTGTCATGCGGGGCTCCACACTTCCAGGTTCCACCCCTTACCCCCTCCATACCACCTTCACCAGCCTCTACTAAAAATAAGTACTCTACTCATACTGTCCTCGCTTGTATGAGCCTCATATGTCCACCTTTCCCGTAGACCTCATCACATACCTGGATCTTCTCCAACGCCGAGGCGGACATGTCAAACATCTGTAGACATGCCCGAGGCCGACGGCAATCGCTTATTGCTGACCGACTCTTCCCATCAAAACACCCTCATTCCTTGCCGAATGGACCGCGTCACCGGCCACGGCCACGGCCACCGGTCCAATAAACGTTTGCATCATGACAGAATTCGTAAGTACTTGTATGTATAAGAAGCATCGCACAATCCCTTTATCCCTCTTCTTTCAATCCTTTCCAAAACCCGACCAGCGAGATACACATATATAAACAAAACATACCTCCATGGCATATCCCAAGATCTCAACAACCTATTCCTGACATGTATACCGAAATGTTACTCCACGTCCCACATACACATGAAGATCACATTCGCCAGAAATCCCCAAACAGTATGGAAGACATGGGAACGATGACCTAAACCTTGACATACTCATTCCAAGCCTTTACCGACCTCTTCTTCCATGATCCGAATGGATTCATAGTTTCCGTCACTCCATCACTTTGTCGTCTCTCCAATCCCGGTCTACGAACTATAGGTATCATCATATATCCTTTCTCCCCTTCCTTCTTCTGCCCCTTCTCCTCATTCTCCATCGTATCTTTCTGAGCCGTATCCATCGAGCCTAAAACCGAAGTCGTCATAGCTCTCTTTGGAACGACCCTCACACCGGTCTGCTTTCTGTCAAAGTTTTGTTCACTCATGATCCTCGTCAAATCTGGTTTTTTGGCTGAACATGGATCCCAAACGTTGGAAAAATGAACAACTTTATCGGAGTGTGTCGATAAACAAATAACTCTACCTTGATCATCGAAAGCTTGAGCGAGTCGAGCGGTAGAGTAAGAACGAACTACCATAGGTAAGTTTTTCTTACATGATGATGGACCTTTTTCTTTTTGCGCGAGAGGAGAAGGTCGAGAACAAAGCCAGATCCCACCGTCGGGGGAATTGGGGGAGCAAGTGGAATGGACGGAAGAAGAAGAGAGAAGAGGTTGAAAAGATTGTTCTTCTGTCTCACGAAGGATGGAAAGTTCACATGGTGTACTAGATGATCGATCGATACGACGGATAAAAGAAGAATTCGGTGTGGCGGTGAGTGATGGAAGAGGAGAACATGCGTCGTCTGTTATGGTATCGACTTCGCTAGTGTCGGTGGAAGAAATGGATTGGTCGTCTCTATCATTGCTGTCGACATTGAGAGTGTCATCTTTGATCTCTGTATCAGTCGAGTGAGGAATTGGGGATTGAGTTGACATCCCGGCGGGTACTGGGTGCGAGGCGGGTTGAGCGTTGGCTGTGATCTTGGTCAAGACGGGAGGGGCCGTTTCAAGTTGGGGTACAGGAGGTGTTGAGCGTCGACGACCGAGTAGACTCCTTGGAGTGAGTGAAGTAAGAATGGGTGAAAGAGAAAGACGGCGTCGAATGTTGGTAGGTTCAGAATGGAATTTAGGAAGTGACGACATGGATCTGAAGAATATCAGTTGATGTTGATTGACGATGGTACGATCCTTGACTCCTACTAATCTCCCAAACGCAACCTCGCCACTTTATATCTCAATCATGATTGGAGATAACACTGGAATCATGTCGAAGGAAGATGTAGGATAAGGGGGAGAGAATGTGTACTCACAATCTGGTACGTAGACCGTTATTGACTCTCTTACGTCCAAAAGTTCCAAACGTATCTTCGTCAAACGTTACAGATGATTCATGTCGTATGGTTCTACCTCTTATTTGATTTATATCATTCTCCCATGCAGAAGGACCGTGAGAGTGGCTGGAGTTCATCATGTTGATCAAAAATGTGGTCAAGCCTTTGAACGAATGATCAAAGGTCAAACGTTTTGGAAATTGGGAATGTGGGTGTGTGTGATGGGGATTTGATCTGGGAATGAGTGGCTCGGAGTTTATCAAAAATTCCTACCAAGGGGAGAAGCAAATAATAGTGGAGGCTGATGATAATGGGCTGACAGGAGAGAAGGAATAAGAATCACGGGGAATGAAAAAAGGATGATCCACTTGTTAACAAGATATAATGAGAGGAAAGATTGTCGAAGATCGAAGATCAATTGGTGAAAACACGCAAGAGTCAAGACGCCAAGATACTTTATTGGACTTATTGATCGTCTGAAAGTGGTCAGGTCTAGCCACGAGGGGGATTAAGGATTCAAGATCTAGGGATCTTAGCGAGTGGTAGGACCTTGAGAAGTTAGGACCTTTGATACGTTTTTTGTTTGGTGTGTCCTAAATGATCGCAAGCTATCAGGGGGCGAACAAGAAGAGATCAATGATTTCCAGTCTCTTTCGCCCACTCTCCCTCTCTCTCTCGTGTTTGATCGACGAGATAATCGGAAAGGTGAATCTTTTTGTCAGATCGTCAGTAGTTTCGGAAGAGTTGTGAAAGAGTCTAGAACTGGTTGAACTATGATGGTTCATCTTTCTCTTTGCTCTTTGATATGTATTCTCTGTCTCTTTCAGAAGATACTGGTGGGATAGCGTCATGATTGGGGGGGAGGATGGGAACCGGCGGTACCTAGAATAAACGCTAGGACCACAGTTTGTTCGTTCCTAGATTATGGATTTATGGGGCAAGGGGCACAGGGACCAAGGGGCCAAGGGCAAGGTGCAAGGAGGCTGTCAAAGGACTATGAAATACGGATGAGGGGGAATGATGGTGGCGTCCCGTTAACCGGTCAAGAGCTTACGTACTAACGAGAGAATCAAAACTGATTCAAGCCTCGCATGTAGCCATCGCGACTGGGCGTACAGCATGCAGCATCGACGAGAGATATTCGTAAATCGTAGTCTTAGGTATTGTGTGTGAGTATATCAACCGACTCTTCGTCGATACGGCTCAACTGAGGAAGCAGAATTTCGAGTAAGAGTAATCTACTGATGCGCTACTCAGTGGCCAGTGGGAGAAAGAACGATAATAGTCAAAGGAAGGGTAGGGACCTGAATACAGATACCCCGTGCGTTCTTCCACTTTGGGCAATGTCTTTCGGGTGGGGGGCACAAGTGAGACTTTCGTACTAACATACCGACATTCAAAGTTGATATCGGGACTACTACTGTCTCGAACATCTCATTCACTTTTGACATGTATCGAGGCGCGAGGTACATATGCAAACATATGGGTTCCCACATGAGGTGAATCGTTTTACCCAGGTTACTTGGACCTTGGGGGTAGGGAGAAACGATCCGCATTACGACTACGTTTCTCTAACTTGACGACTTACCCCCTTTCCCCTATCCCCTGCCCCCTTCGATCCCCTATCCCAGATTGTCCCCATCTCTCCTCGACTCCTAATTCTTCCAAGCACATGACTCCTTGATCTCTGGTCCGATCTCCGAACTCTCCGAAGAGCCAATTTCTCAGCAAGACCTCCACTTTCCGACTGTCTACCTTACAACACCTCGACGACCAACTAACCCTACCGTCGTCAAGTATTCACAAATTCACAAACCCCGTCACAGTAACATGGTTACTACTCTCTACTACCGTCTCTCAGTCACTCATCTCCCATCGATTCGTTCGACCAATCTCACAATCTATTCTCATCGCCTCCCCCACACATAAATCCAAGTTGGAAAAGATGTAACCATCAACATCCCCCCCATCATCTCTAAGACTTTGTTCGTACTTTTTGCTTGAGGCAATTCGAAAAGATCCTGGTGATCTCCTCTCTCTCTCCATCTGTCATCTATTCATCTTCCATCGATCTACTCGTCTTGTAAACCGTTGACCGACGTGATTATCGATATCGAATTAATCTCATTCCTTCGGCACTGGTTTGCCTTTTAATCTTCGTACTTCCATAACACTTTCCAAGCATCACTACTGTCCGAAGAAAAGTTCGACAAGATGAAAGCTTTTACTTATACCACTTTGGCTTTGTTAGCTATGCTTGCGTCTGCTAGACCGGAAATCAACGTGAGTTTGTTCTGTTTGGCTTCCATGATCCCACTCCCACTAGGAAACGATCTCGTTTCGAACCTCATCTCTTAATCTTCCAATTTGGTTCCCGGGAGTGAAGATGGAAGCCGGAAGTGCGAAGCGCTGATTCACAGGATGACCATGTCAAAGCTTTTGAAGCTCGTAAAGCTACCGAAACAAGTTGTTCCAATAACCTTGCTGGTCGTGCCGGCGGTGCAGGTGGGAATGGTGCTGGAGGTTTTCAGGGTGGTGCCGGAGGGCTCAAAGGTGCTGCTGGTGCTGGGGGCGCAGCTGGTGCTGGTCAGAATGCGGCTGCGGCAGGGGGTAAAGGTGCTGGTCAGAATGCGGCTGCGGCAGGGGGTAAAGGTGCTGGTCAGAATGCGGCTGCGGCAGGGGGTAAAGGTGCTGGTGCCGCGGCTGGTGCTGGTGCCGGTGCCGGTGCTGGTCAGAATGCGGCGGCGGCAGGAGGTAAAGGTGCTGGTGCTGCGGCTGGTGCCGGTGCCGGTGCTGGTCAGAATGCGGCGGCGGCAGGAGGTAAAGGTGCTGGTGCGGCGGCGGCCGCTGGAGGGAAAAATGCTGGTGCTGGTCAGAATGCGGCGGCGGGAGGCAATGGTGCCGCCGCCGCTGCCGCTGCTGCAGCGGCCAAGGGTAAAGGTGGGAATAAGGGCAAAGGTGCAGCTGCCGGTGCTGCAGGTGGAGGAGCCGCCGCCGCCGCCGCTGCCGCTGCTGCTGCTGCCGCGGGGAAGAACAATGGTGGTGGTAACAATAATACGACCACCACGACAACCACTTCGGCTAATGCCGTGAGTCATCATCGTCTTTTCGTCTGAGAAGAGCTAATGTTCAGGCTTCGGATACCCTTACTGGTGAGTTTATTCACTTCAATATCAGAATCCTTGAACATCGGAATGAGGAATGGGGTTGCTGAATGAACTAGCTCCTAAGGCCGAACAAACTGCCGTTATAGCGGACGAAAATGGTCAGACGGGTAAACCAGATCCCAAGTTGGTCAACAATGGAGGATTGAGTAAGTGACTTATCTTTTGGATGTCATCATCACGATCATTTCTTTCAGTTCATCAGCATCATTCATTCCATTTCACATCCTTCCATCCTTCCTCGCTAAGGCTGCTTCTCCATCTTTCGTATCGTCTCTCTACTCGGACGAGAATTTTCACTCGGTACTATCTCTTTCCGATAATAGGTTATGATACATTGTCACATAAACATGACCCGACAACTAACTCATAGCTCTCTCTGCCGACCTGGTCAGCACGGCCTCCGCCGGTAACCCGACCGACGGAGAAGTAGCTTCGGCATCTTCCAACAACAACTACCTCCAATTTTGTGAAGGTCAAACATTGACAGGCGGTCTTCAGAACACTGATGGAAGTTGCAAGTGAGTCTCTCCTCATTGCACAGAGTTCATATCACTGACGATTAGTCCGATCCCAATGGGCCAGGTAAATGTCTGGACTTCATTCAGGACTATGACTGACTGAAAAAAAAGATTCCCGACGTCAACCATATGATCTCAACCGTAATCGTCCAACCAGTACGTCTCATTTTCTACAAAATCTCTAGACATGTGACATGGGTCGAAAACATGGCTGATATTCTTAGCCAAACGGAGGGACTGTCCCTGCGAACAAAGATATCAACGTCGTCATCGCTCAAGTAGGTCTAGACTCTGGAGCATTTACCGATGCTGCCGCTACTTATTATTCTGGTCCACAACAAGTCAACCCTGGGACTGGGTAAGTTTTGACCCAGAGGTTCTGCGAGAGAAACGCGAGACTGACAATCAGTAATATCAATGGACACTGTCATGTCACGGTTGAGCCCTTCAACGGGAAACCCAATGTGAAGAATGAGTTTGGCTTTTTCAACGGTCTTAGAGATGGAACTCGTGAGTTTTGATACTTCATCCACCTTAGTCACCTCTTACAATCATGACCCCTCCTTCCACCCCTGGATCCCACCTGATTGAATGAAGGTAGTAGGGGTGATAAACATAATCTTTCCTGTCTCGTTCACTCCTCCCATATGATATCACAATTTAAGAGAGAGCGACAGTAGTTCTTAATATTTTGACTTGGACCCTAGATGTTTGGACGGACGAATTTCATCGAGACATGATACTGACGAATTAGAAAACGGTCAATATACCTTCACTATCGCCGGAGGATTAGAAGCTGGGGAATATCGCATGTGTACAATGTCATGTGAGCGAGCCATACCACTTACATCTTTCCATCTTCCTTTTCCGACACTAAGACAGGAGTTATAACTGATGTCCTACAGCCGCATCCAATCATCAATCGGTCCTTATGCCGGTTGCTCAGAGAATCGCTCAGGATGACTGCGTGTGAGTCTCTTTCCGTGTTCCCCGACGTCTCATCCATCGTCCATCCTGTTGCGTCGGAAAAATCGTTTGGGACTCTATGAGAAAATGAGAAAACATGCCTTTTTTTCCATGGTGCCACTGTCGGTCCGATCACCTGGTGAACGTCACTGACTCGAACAGACGTTTCACCGTTGCCTGATCGATCATTTACTCTTATATCCCCGAGAGATGGAAAGTGGAGTGAAGTAGGGAGAGGAAGAAGACAGAATGGATAGAAGAGAGAGGGTTTGTTACTTTTTGTGAGATGAATTAATCCGTGCGAAATTGTGTAATTTCGCCACATTGCCACATTGCCACAAAAGCGTCGCGTCGACGTCGACGCGTCGATATTCACTCTGTGTCCTGAATCCTTCATGTGACTGTTCCCACTCGTACGTTTACGCGGAATTGTCCTAAGCCCTACAGTCGACCCTAATTCGGGAGGTATGTGGTAGAGGAGACGTTCTGGACAACTGCACTATCAATACGGGGTTCATTCATTTTGGACCTACAGGACCCCCTGAAACTGTCGTGTGGTCTCGGAGGAATCGGCAGTTGTCTGTTGTCTCCGGGAACGGCATAGGTCCCATCAAAACCTCATGAACCCTTTTCCCCCGCAATCCCATCTGAGACCCCTTAGTAAGAGTAAGAGTATTGGAAACAATAAGCTATCAGGAGACTTATCCTATTCTCGTCGTTTTGTTGAACTGCTCCAGACTGTCAGACTCCATTCATATCTTTATCTTTATCTAGACTTTTTGTGACCTTACACATATCCTTATCTGCACACCGTCTCTTTCCTTCCAACATATCAACAACGATCTCATTTTGAAGAAGAAAGAAAACAAGTATCAGAACAGAACTCAAATAAGTTAAGTCTAAATCAACTTTTGTCGTCGAGGTGAAACATCCCAAAGTCCAGATTATTCTGAGTTCCCTACCTCAATACCTTGGACATTCGTCACTCAGCAACCATCTATCTACAACCGTTGAGAAGACCATCCTGTCTACTACTCTACTCTACCATTTTCAACACACCCAAATAACTGGGAATTGTGGGTACCGGATATCCTACCACTTTGTTTCTTTTGGAAAAAAGATCTTTCAAAATCGACGTCGATCATTACAACATTCTTAATCATCTATTTTACTCTCACTTATATCAACATTTTAGTAATTTTTTGAAAAACGATCGAATCTTTTCTTTTTCCTCTATCCTCCATTGGCCATTGTACACTTCCCCACTTTGGGATGAATAGGTGTAAGAACAACATACACATACCGACATATACCATCGATCGAGTTTGACGTCAATAACGTACTTTATCATAAAATATACCATAACGAGACTTGAATACGATTGTTTATCCTAGAAAACATACGTTATTTCGTGAGTTCGCTCTTTGGACAAATATATAAGGTGGAGCTTGGAGCTGGGTATCGATAAAGAATAACTTCTTCCGCTACGTATTTTGTCAATTACCCTACCGCACAACTGAAGTATTATCGATCATACTATACAAATCTTACCTGTACAAGAAGTAGAAGTGTCAAGGTGAAGAATAAAGATAGAAGAACAAGAAGTATACAATAAGTAATTGAATTGGAGAAGATTGAGAGAGTCGAATAAATCAAAGTATCAAGATGTCACTCAAAGCTAGAAGACAAGTGAATTTGAGTTTGGAAGTACCTCAAGCTCAGTGAGTCTTCTTTCATCTACCTTTTATACCACTTTTATCGTCCTTTTGCTTCCATCTAGCGTCTTAGGAATGGTGTGGAGTCTCTCACCAGGTGCAGCTCCCTCTCGCCCGTCTCTCACCAAGAATGGAGATCGCTCTTGACTCTAGTCTTGAAAAGAGTGCAGTTTCCTCTGATGTCGAGACTCCTCGACTTGGACACGAATCAAAGATTACGCGGAAGGAATGGCCTGATTACTGATGACAGACCGGAGAGTGCAGATAGTATGAAAACTCCTAATCCTTTCAACCCACAATTCCACATATCCACCAATGTGAGTTTTTCTACCGGATCATTTAAATTTGGATAATGACCGAATCAGTCAAAGGAAACTCAAATGGTCATGACTCCTGATACTCCTTACATACCATTATCACCATTTGGGAAACAAAAGATACCATGGACTGAGCATCAAGAGGGTATTTTACAAGCTGTAAGTGTCCTTTTCCTCTTCCTTCTCCTTCTCCTTCTTTTGTATCTCCTCAACCATTTGTTCAAATCTACTCGTCGTATCTTCCATTTTCCTCATCTTACGAGGTCCGATCAATTCTATCCTACCTCTGCGAACCCCTTGATCTCGGATCCAAGCTTGAACAGAGGTTCGGAACGAAATACCATTCATTAACCCCTAGTACCTCCATCAAGCTACTCACGCTGGTGAATGGGCTCCAGGAGAACTACCACCTTCTCATATCTTAGATCAACTATGTAAACAAGTAGTCACTATAGAATCACTTTCTTCACCTACATGGCCCCATGACTCAAGATCAACTCGTGAACGTTTATTCAACCTGGCATTGATAGAATCAAGAAATTCTGTTGGGGGTCATAGAAAATCGGATAAAGATGCTATTGTTCCTGTTACTCTTACATCGACCGAAATGAATGTTAGAAATCAAAGACCAAGTTTGACCGTTTTGGGAATACAAGGACAAGCTAGACATCAAGATAGTATGGATTTATTACTTGGTCAAAATTCGGATGAAGAAGGTATCGTTATTGCACAAAGGTTGAGTAGTTCATTACAAGATACTACTGTTGGTAATGGTGGTGTTTTACATTCCAAAAATGGATTATCTTCTCGTAAGTCAAATACTCTCCTCCTTTCGCCTCTTCAAGATCTTTACTATCTCATCGATTGCCCGAACTGCCCCTTATCCTCTCTCATAGAAGTGAATCGATTGGGCAGGTCACTGTCGAGATGAGACGACTCTATGTCATAAACCACACATGTTGGCAAGTTTTGATGAAGTTTGGTATACCACTTCGTGTAAAGGAAGACGGATATTGAGAACTTTCGAGCTCACTTTTTAGCCCTCGCATTCACCTTCAACGTTAATCTTTCAACTCTATGTAATCGTAGACCTTCATACCCTTCTGTTCATTCACCATTACCACGTCCATCACCTCTTTCACGTGGACCATCATTCACTTCTGCCGATTTATATTCTTCTCAAGAAGATCAAGATCAAGATGATTCTTTGAATTCTATCTCTTCAATGTCTTCCATTTCTTCTATCGATGAAGAAAGCAATAACATTAATCTTTCTCAAGAGATCGAATCAGAACCGGAATTAGGTGGAGAATCAGATTCTCCAATTTCAGAAGATACACAATTTTCTACATCACCAATTTCATCTTCTATCATTTCTTTCAATTCAAACTCGAATGTTTCGAATTCAAATTCGACCAATTCGAATTCAATGCAATCAATTCAAGATCCACGTACACCTTTATCAGCTTCATTCAATTTAATGAAACTTCATTCAACAACTTCAACTCCAACGCCAACTCCAACTCCTACTTTAGGTACAATCTTAAGTCCAACAGGTGAGAATATAACTTTGACAATTACTTTACCACCATCACCACAATCGAATCCTATTCAAACTCAAACTCAAACTTCAAGATTATCACCTTCTTCACCAAGTTCAACAACAGCAACATATTCACCAACATCTACTCGATCCAATTCTGTTATTTCATCACCAAATTCTGAAAATACCATAACGGTTCAAACTCCTATTTCCGAAAATGGTCTTGAAAATCAATCCAACATACCTGGTGCTCCTATACAACCCAGAAGACCGATACCTTTGAATTTACCATTGAGACCTATACATTTAGCGAGAAGTTTGAGTGATGATGCTTCTGGAGAAAAGATGATTAAACGTCAGAGAACACCGGGTGGGTTGGCGGTAAGAGGTTTGGGAGGGGATTTGAGAAGTCCTTTTGAACATAAACCAGTTACTTTTGTTCAGAAGATGGGTCAATGAATTTGGATTTCATTTTTGTCAAAAGTCAACGAAAAAAAAAGGTTGAAATGTCGTGTGTTCAAGTAGTCGTTGGACGATGGATTGGAGAAATGGTCGTTGAGTACAGGGGTTGATTTGATAGAGTGTGAATTGGGATAAACGGAGATGTGGTTGAACGGGTACGATACCGCTGAGCGGCTCTGTCAGGCAGAAATTAAGTTTTAAGAGGGATGGTGGAGATGTGTGAAGAAGAGGAAAGAATGAAGTGTGGAATCAGGGTAGAAGAAAGTAAAGTAAAATTGTGTGCTTTGTCAAACCTCTTCTTGTCAGTTGTATCATGAGAAACTCACCAATGTTTCGTTTCTTCAAGTCGATGTTTTAGAAAGGTGTCTTTTCAAATTGTACCATGTCAATGCAGTTTACTCAGTCTTCATCTTTAATCCATGCACAATGAGCATGCTTGACTTACAATCCTGACCTGAACCCAAACAGCTAGGTGAAGCTCACACATGGAGGAACATTTCCCCTGACGAGGAAACGATTCTTGATATCAAGTCGGCGATAGGAAAATAGAGCGTTGGTTTGAAGAGAAAGCAGTACGAGATGATCAAATGCATACATACACTTCCCTTCCGCATGATAGATTCCCCTACCCCTACATATCCCTGTAACTCTTCCACCTATCTGTATTCAACACACTTTGTACAAAAGCGTGAAAAGCCGGAGCTTGTTGAGGTGTACTCATCTGATACAATGGTACAGCTGTACGTATGACTGATCTTTGTAATTCTTCTATTTTCGTCAATGATCATTCTCGACGTCAAGCGGAAACGCGTCACTCTCAACAGAAACCATACAAATTCCGAATGAAGTACTCATACAAAGACTTTACTGCTTGATATTCCGAATGAGGTACACTCTATGCGAGAGAAGAAATGATGTATGTACATGTACGGAAGAGAAAGGTAACAAGAAAATGAGAGAATGAAAAGATGGGTGGGACAATTGGTCAACGAGATGGGAGAAAGCTTTACCTTTCCGTTCCAGATCTTGCTTCACCGTATCGTCTTTCACTTCTACATCCTTCATCACTCCTTTGAGTGACTCGACCGTATCGTCCAATCTTGGCAAGATGGTCGTAGGTGCACACTCTCCTAGACGGAGGAGTAACATAAGTCCTAAAACTTTAATTTCGTTGACATCTTTCAGAGCGGCCAAGACCCTGTCGGTGAATGTGCCTAGGTCGACTTTGTAGAAGCTTGCACCGAGCTAGTTATCAGTCATACCCTTCGACTGTCTATGATATTCAATCATGCGGCAAATTCGATGAAGGATGTTTTGTCACGTTTCTTGTCACAGCCATGGGAAATGAGCCGAGAAGAGAATGGGTAGCAAGAAATTGGCCACTCACCAAAGTGTACATCGTCTCATACGCAGTCTTACGGTTCTCCAATCCGTCATCTTGGGTGACTGATCATCAGCATCCACTCAAAGCCGTTGTCAGCGTTGCACAGTCTGGATATACGAAGCTATGAAAAGGCGATTTCCCTCAAACACAGGGAGACGGTGACGGGAGTGGAACTGCCAGTCAACTTACCCTTGAAAGGTCCCATCATGATAGTTCTCTGCAACTCCGGCTTTATCTCCGTCTCTTGATACAACAACGGCTGTAACACTCCCAATTTGTCAAATATGAGATGGGGTTTATTCTGCATTGCAGCATTCAGAGAAGCGAGAGATAATCTCCTTACAACCTGACCTGTCAGCCCAACCACCGGATCCCCCAGTCATTGAGAGCCGAGAGAACAATGCATGAGTCCAGAACAGATGAATCACTCACTAAATTCTCATCATGCATGAGTGACAAAAAGTCGACAATGATCGGCGCGATAAGCTCATCATACGACGAAGAGGTGTCTGTGAACGTATATCGGACGGCGGCCGCAACAAGCGCCCTGTTTTCCGGTGAGGATCGGAGAAGCTCCTGGAATATCAGCGTGTTCACTCTTGGCTGTATCGCACCTGCGAATTATTTGCGAGACAGGTGCGGGAAGAGGGAGCCTGGTATGGAGATGTAGGACGAGTGGACCACGTCAACTCACCTGAAGTTGCGGAAGGAATCTGGCTGGTGCGGCCGTTGTGAGCTTGCCAATACAAGCAGCCTTCACATTCCTGATCCCATCGTCTCCCAACTCCTCTTTCTCACCAGCTTTTTTCGCGGACTTTGGACTCTCAAACAGTGGTCGCCATAGAGAATCAGCAATGACTTCCAGTTGTGCCGTCGGGGAGTGCAGGACGACCTCTTTGAGAGCGTGCAAGAGAAGGATCCGTACATTTTCAGTCGTCCCGCTTTCAATATGTCTCACGAGCATGGGAAGAAGGACTCTGGGAGATCCGACAGCCATGTTGCCTGAGCGTCAGCACATAGCATTGCCAAGAAATGTCATCGGGCTCACCAACCGCAAAAGCTGCCGCCGATTGAATGACCTCACTAGGGTTCTGGAACAGCGTGAGGGTCAATTCAAACAAGTCCGTGTTTGCTGATAGATCCCTAAAAATGTCAGCTGTGAAAGAAAAGGTGAAGCTAATAACTCACGTTGTCCTTCCTATCTCACCCACGCAAAGGAGGGCGAGATATACACTGGCCTCGGTAGCTTTTGCCGACTATTCGTTAGTCATCATCAGTAAATATCGCGGACCCACTTTGATCATCCTGTGAAACATGGTCACTACACCTGCAGCATTTCTCTGAGAATGCTTGACGACCATACCGATGCATTTGGCCGTGGTGAGCTGAGCGGAAGCACCACCAATCGTTCCGTTTGGGAGAGAGGCTTCAGTACCGAGGTTGTCTACCAACGCCGGCACGAGTCTTGTGGCACAGTCGACGTCGCCGTCGACGTAAGCCCCGAAGAATCGCAGAAGGGCGTCGATGAGGGCGCTGTTGATGTTTGAAGATTTTACCACTTGTAATACTGATGGGACCAATTCGACTACTGGTGGTCGACAGGCAGGTTGCTGTTCAAGGAGTGTCGCGATGACCTGTATGGAGGGAGCAGTGTCGATGGTCGACCGCAACTCGGAAACTATCTCAATGGCTTTGGCTGGAGGTAGAGTGTCGCCTAACCTCAGGAGGATGTTTTGTAAACAGATGAGCTCGGGTGCACGACTCGACGTCTTGCGAGATCGTCGAAGGGCGGATACGACATGAGGCAAGGTCTCCAAGAACCAAGAGTCAAACTCTGGTGCTTCGCATGTGGTCGAGTCGGCTATTTTGCCAATGACGACAATGGCGGCGGTGGCAGTGGCTTCACTTCCTAGGCGAGCACCGATGAGAGGCAAGCAGGTTGACACGCGAGAAGATAAAACGTCGCCTTCGTGTACTAGTAAAGTTCCGAGGGTTTCCAGAGCTTGTTCACGGACTTCACCATCAACGGTGGCATCGCCTAGCACGTCTGTAGTAGCAGCCAAGAGCTGTTCAATGGGCTGTGCAAGAGGGTTTGGCAATGGTGACGACGAGCCCCTGGGTCGCGCTGATTGCGCCAGAGCGGAGGCTGTAGCGAAAGCTTTAAAGCTTACTCGCTGGAGCTTAGATTTCATACATCGGACGATAGAAGGAACAAGAGCGGGGAGATGTTTGGCGTATACGCGAGATATTTGGTACTTGAAAAAGACGGTGAAGAAAGAGAGGGCGGCGATGGTAAGAGAAGACGATGCCCCTTCTGTGTATCGCAAGGCTTGAACCGAGGCATCGCAGATGGAATCAGAGCTCGTATCTAAATCACCCTCGAGGATTTCGGTCACAAGGCGAAGGAGATTAAAGCTCTTCTCCCTGGTCAATATCGACTTGGAGGATAGTTGTTTCAGTAGCGACTTGAGCAGGCTGGGAACGCAGGTTCGGACAGAGGTGATAATACTGCTTTATTAGCGTCTTACACCTTGCGACGCACAGAGCTCACCTATCTTCCGTCACACTGTCCTCATCCATGTCCTGACTTCTCTTTCTCTTATTCCTGCCGCCCGAGGCGACCTCAGCAGACTTGGCAATGGCAATTTGCTTGAGAAGGTTCTCAAAAGCGGACAACACTTCGAGACGGACGCTCTCTTCTCTCTCACTGAAGCGAGCAATTAGGGGTATTGCGGCGGAATTGAAGAATTCTGTCAGATATTCGTTACGTGTACCAATCAAAGCGTAAAGGATTTTAGCTGCGGCGCGTCGTAGCTTCCAAGAGTCATCTTCGTCATCAGAGTAGCTGAAATGAGCATAACCTTCCGTGTGGTGAGGATGCAACTCACGGATCTTCGTCGTATTCGTCATCCTCTTCTTGTTCGTCTTCCATATCTTCATCTTCCTCGTCATTCGTCACATAATTCTGAAGAGGTGAGCGACAAGTCATGAGCGTGAGTAAGGCCTTACGGGGTCATATTTGATCAAGTCCAAGGCTAGTTGGGTGACGGGCATGATAAAGCCCGACATTTCCGTAGGACATCGGAGTAATAGTGTTTCAAGAGTCTTGATATCAGCTCAAGATCCCTGAACCTCCTATCTGACTCACGCCAAGAGCTGCCTCGATTGTCTCCATAGAATCCACATTCGGGGCGAGCTTGGCGAAATCGATAATCGCCCGAATGACAGCCGAATCGCTTTCCTGCACGAACACCCCGATCTTGCTCGACAATGAAGTCTTCGCTAAAACGTTGATGATGAATACCGATGTCCTCGGTCCATCATTGTCACCTTGTAAGCCTTGCAGGATGATGCCTTTGAGATGGTCATCGAATAGATTTGGAATGATGGAGACAAGGACGGCAAAAGTGGAAATGACACGTTTGCGAATGGCAGGAGTGGTGGAGTAGAACAAGGGTATCAGTGATTTCTGTGCAGATGATTGTATCTTGTCTGAGATGACAATAAAGTCGGCTGTCCGGGTGTATAGATCTGAAAGAATTTGACAAAGCTGAGCAGCAGTCTGGGTTTCGACCTCTGGCTAGATTGTCAACCATGTCTGGAATTGATGTATGACAAGACAGGCTTGCCGTATTGAGACCCGCTAAACATTTCTCATTGATCAATTCCACCTCAATTATCTGTTTCTGATCTGTTATGGTGATTTCTGACACCACGGCTTTCAATGCTATACGTGTGAGCGACACTTTCTACCTTCTTGAGGTGTACTTACCCAGACACGCTATCTCTCTCTCTTCTTCCGACTTGCTATTTATACCATCTGTGAGAGATTGTATGATAGGATGAAGTAAAGCTCTCCGACATCGTTTGCTCAATACGGCGATACTTCTCATCAGCCTCTTCTACCAACTCAGAACTTGTTCTCTATCAAATTGGACTCACACCGACACGGCCATATTCTTCACTTCCGAGTTTGGATCTGTCTGCAAGATCTCGGTGACCTTGTTGACCAAACGGGACTCGGAAGATTGGTCTGCCAGAAAATGATCTCTCGACGATAAGGTCTTCGAGGTGCCAGGTACATTTCTGAGCTGCTTGCCAATGTCGCTCAAAGCCATGAGACTTTAGATATCAGGACACCATATATAGATACAGTGAGGTGGGGATGAGCTCACCGGAGGTCAGAATCTGTCGAATTGAGCTGTCGTGTGAGCATGTGATGGGGAGGAGAAGGGAAGCACTGACCTTTGTTAGCTCTGCGGCGAGAGCGTTAGACTCCATGATGAGAAAGCGGTTGGGATTCAAAGTCGTGTCAGCGAGACGCTCCAATTCACGCTCTTTGAGCAGGATATAGTGAGAAAGGCGGTGAGGGGAGGGGAGAAGAAATATATGGGTGGAATGCGTGTGTGGTTTAGGGAGGAGAGAGGTTCATGCAGCATGCAGCATGGTTGAGGAATTTGATTCCGCTTCTACTGGAACTCTCTTCGTCTAAACTATCAAAGTAACCTTGCAATACTACTACTAGTACTACTTAGTATCACCACCGCAAAGCCCCTCATCATCTCAACAGTCGTTCACACGGTACCTCATAACCACGGTATCGTCATCCAAACTGCTCTTTCTTTTGACCCTTCGTGACTCGCCAAAAGAATTCCCCCTACCTTCCCCTTTTCACATCAACTCACCCTCCTTCGGACCCGACATGATCCGCCTACGTCTCGCCCGTCACGGCAAACGAAACACCCCATTCTACCACATCGTAGCTATACAAAACCACAAACCTCGTAACGCCCTTCCTATAGAGACTCTGGGTATATACGACCCTATCCCTCGGATCTTATCACCTGAATCTATCACACCCGCCGCGAGAGTGTTCGGAAGGGAAAAAGGGGAGCAGAAGAAGGAGAAAAGGGTGGAATGGAGTGTGGATAGGATACGGTATTGGTTAAGTGTAGGTGCTCAACCTACCAAGACGGTTATCAAGTTGTTAGAGAGGGTGAGTGAAGTTCAATCTTATCATTTCCTCAGATTCCCCCTTTACGGAAAAAGGTGATGTCAAGGAGGTGACTGATGGTCACAGGGAGGAGTATTGACTACACCACATAAATGGCAACACGCTTGGAGTCCTCCTCCACCTACGATCACAGAATCTGCTACCACTTCCCCTATAATACCGTCATGACTTTCTCTCAGTGGCTAGCAGATCCCCATTGCTCAATTTCACTCTGACTCTCGCTCTCACTCGGTCTTCCCCCCCTATATCCCATTCATATACAAGACGCATCATTTGATCTCAAGGGACTTCTTTATGTAGTGCTCCCGTCCTTGTCCGGCACTTCTGATGTATGCATGAACCTTCCAAATGCCCACGTAAAATCTAGATGCTAGATGGTATGAGTTAGGTAAAATGAGACCCAAACGTGCCTGAAATTTTCCAACTTCAACTTTTTTTTCGGTTCAAACGTCATCTTTTTCAGTCCATCCTTGATATAACAATACATCTCCTCCCGGCGTCCCTGCACTGCTATCGCTCCACCACCCACCCCGCTCTGAGGGTCATCTTCACGAGGTGTTTCCATCAGAACCACCTATACCACCATGTCCTTAGAGCAAATAACAGCCTCCACCTCCAAACGCAAACAACCCCCTTCAAACTCTCCATCCAAGAAACATAAATCCTCTCATCATAAGAAACATCAACGACACCTTGACACTCCCTTACCCCTACATAACACCAATACATCTCATCAAGATGGACAGCCAAGAGATAGAGAGAAGTCTAAGAAAAATAGTCCATTCCAACTTGATCGCACAAGTATGAGACTGAGCGTGGCTCCAAAATTTGCAGGGGATTATATGGCTGGAGTGAAAGAAAAGTTGGATGGGATGATCATGAGGTGAGTCAATGTTTTCTCAACTTTCCTTCCCACTTACACCATCTCCGACTCGGGCTTGCTTCGACCTCCTCGTAGCTTGATTCAAACGTATCCTTGTGGTGACAACAAAACCGATATCATCCTCCATGAAGAGATTGTCATTCCGCTAGAAAAGGAACAAGTCAACAATTATATAGATCAGACATAGAGTTTTATGCAAGGTGAAAGCTGATTCAACAGATACGTACCTCAACTCAGAGGGGTCTTATTGGCTCATCAACAACATGAAATGATGGATGATACTGTGAAAATCATCAACGAATGTCCTTTTGGTGTTTGCGAGGTAGAGTTTGAAGCCTTAGTCTGGGCACCGAAACTTGGACAAAGGTTGTGTGAGTGAAACGATTCTATCCTCTTTCTCAGATTATCATTGGACGCAATTATTACACATTCTGAACTACTCAATCATACACCTTAAATATATGCATTGTAGAGACGCTGACCGAATTTTTTTAGATGGTACACATTCCCTTTCTTCCCCATCTCACATATCTTTATTATTCGGTAAAACATTCAACGTCTCCATTCCACTCCAACATATACCTTTGGATAGAATTTACTTTGAACATACCGATCCTCTCGATGAACCGTCAGATTCTGACTCGGAGGCAGAATCAGAGACACAGATCGTCGCTGGAGAAGTCGAGGTGGGACGGTGGAAGGAAAGAGGAACTGGGAAGTTGGTGGGTGAAGGAGGTAAAGGTATCAAGTTTACTGTTATTGGGTAAGTATTGATATTTCTCTTCGACCAGTTCTTTCCTCTCCAGGGCGGTCATCTCACTTGGTGGTATTCCTTGTCATGCTTGGAGAAATGACTCGGTGCTCGAGTACGGACGAAATTGTGTTGTGCCATGGTTAACCTTGCGAGGCCTGTGATAAGGGAAGCATAGGAAGGAGCTAATATCAGATTACAAGTCACGAATCATATGTTATCACTCACTGGCTCCCTTCTTTCGGATCCTTCCAACCCTCCAGCACCTCCCTCTCCCATTCTCATCCCTCGTCCACCTTCTCCGACAGATGAAGACCTCCCTTCACATCAAAATGACGATATCATAATGACCTCACCAACGAAAGAACAAATTCACAGACTTCCTACGGCGAGAGAAGAAAGACAGAAGGTTGTCCTGCCAGCATACGACTCTTCTCTCCAGCCTCTCCCGGCTAATGCGAAGGATCTTGAGGTGATAGATGAGAGATTTCTGAATGAGAGGGAGAAGAAGAGAAGACGGAAAGAGGCTGAGAAGGCAAAGCAGGCGAAGAGGAAGGGGAAGAAAGAGGCGAAGGATATTGTTGAGGTGCAAGAGGTGGGAGCGGGGAGAATGGTAGATCTAACAGGCGTAGGCGTGGAGGGAGGGAAGGTGGAGAAGAAAAGGAAAAGAAAAGGGGAGGGTCAATGAGGGGATGCTTGTAGAGTAAATACAACCTTGTGCAAGCTGGGACTACTTAACATATGTACATGCTCAGTCACCACTGTGCGAACTCTGGCCAGAGAAATGATGACCACCGTACATCTGAGAAACGTAGTACCATCTCTTCGATGTAGTCGAACAAGACATCCACCTACGGGCGGACGTTGTGAAAATATCATCCTTGGGACCCCATTCCCATCTCCGTCGTTTCAGCAGGTGTGAGATGTTGCCTCGGACAAATTGGATGAGATTAACACATGCCGGATTCCTGATGTTTTCGCATTATGAGAGCATTAGAACGAGATATAAGTGCGCTCCACTGAGACTAAGTTTCTTGTCCTCCAATGATGCATAATCATTCTTCCATCTACCTGTGGCTATAACTTAGAGTGAGGACTGAGAAGGTTGACATTTGATTCGAAGACAATATAGATGACTTTATGGGTAAAGTATTGTATGCGAGACCCGGATGGCTTGGAAAGATCTGTTTTCGAAATGGGCTGGGGAGGGGAAGTAAGGGTATTTAGTTAAGGAAGAGTAGGTGTACAAATTGAAGTGATTAAAGGTTTCGTAGTCCGATTGTACCGACTCTGTTCACTGATATCCTGGAAGAAAGCGATGTTACGGATTGAACGAGCTTGAAACCTCCTTCCAGGTGCGTAATTCAGGACTGTTATAGCCGTACCGACACTGATATCTAAGACGCATGATTTCGATAAGATATCGACTTGCCAAACCGTCTGATTTCCCTCGCATACCAAGTACAGGTGAAAAAGGAACCTTTGGATCTTCGGGAAAAAGAGCGATAGCAGCTTTAGCTAATTCGACATGACGATATTCCGCTGCGAAGATGAAAGATTCCACAGGATCGTAATCGACAAACCGGACCAGATCACCTAAGACTCTTTGGATGAGTTGAGAACATTGTAATTTTTCACAAATGACGATAATTTGACTGACTTTCGTTTCTTTCAATTCCATATGAAATGGACCGGTGGTATAACATAACGCGATGAAATGTCTGACAATATGAGCAGGAGCTTCTAAGTCGATATGAGCGTCGGAAATGTTGCCTTTGCCTGGGAAATCGAGCATGTCCTTGATGAATTGACTGAATATTAGTTAAGCTTCAATAAAAGATGAGATGAGATATCGTTATTCATAAATACCTGTTCCGATGGTCAGAGAAGTAAAAAGGTGAAAGTGAATGGAATTTTAATGTGAGTGAAAGAGGTTGGGATGGAGGAGGAGGAGGAACAAAGAAAAGAAAAAAAAGATGTCTTAAGCTTACCTATGTCGTTTCATTAGCCAAGACGAAGCTCTGAAATGAATTTTGTCATTAGAGACAAAAACGATATCATCTTTGGGATCATTATAAAAGGCGTCCCATTGGACTTTGGAATCTTCGGACATGTCGAGATAAGGGTCTTATAGAGGAGATAGTAGTAGTATAGTAGTAGGTAGTTATGGTTGTAAGCTTTAGATAGATTGGAATGTTGATCGAGATTGATGGCTGTTGCTAGTGCTTTCACATTCCATACATACATTGGTTTCTACATACGTAAGTCACATCACCACTGGCCAGCTGGCGGTCCCCTGCATGCCCTGCCATATACATATGCAACCTCCCTCGAACAAAGTAAGATAATGTATCGAATGATCATACCTGATACATCAATCTTAGATCTAAACGTCTCCGTTAGTCTCCTCGCTGTCCACAATTTCTGTCCACCAGATGTAGATTTATCGTGAGATCAACCCTCTTGAATCAACCTTCCTCCTCTTGCACACCAAGAAGTTGACCTTTTGGTACCCGTTCATCACAAGCCATAATTCGGGACTGACATGATTCATGGAGAGATTACTCACGGTTCTTTAAGCCCAGCTCATCCCTTCACCGACACCATCGCCACCACTAGAAGTTCATATGACGTGTTCGCTTGAAACGCATTAGCGACTCTTGGTGGGATGAATGTTGTTTTTGACATGAAGGACTTGGGCGGTGAGATGGCGGGGGTTGTGGGCTTTCGAATGTATCTTAATGAGCTGCTCGATATGTGCGAAGAGAATAGGTGCTATCGACTGTCTATAGCGTCAGCCTCTCTTCTCTCTTTTTTTTCGAGAGGGTCCCCCCCTCAGTTTCACGTCTCAAGCTGAATCAGCTACCCTGTACCCTGGTCATTTACTCACAGTTACGCCCGACTCAATTCCATACCCTTATCAGTCTGATGTGAATCAATCCTGATCCCTTCATCCTCTTTTTCTGATCCCGTGATCCCTGAATGTCCATAAAAACCCGGTCTTTCGCTTTTTCTTCCTTCTATCCTCAGCCATATCTTTTTCTCAGTCTTCGGTGAACACACACTCTAACATGGATTCCAAGCAGAACAAGAAAGCGCAGGACACACAAAATCATAAATCAGTGGCGTACGACATCCTCCCGTCATACCCATTAGATGCGACACACTTGGAAGTGTTTGATGAGAACTTTGCGGATCCTTCAGCCAATATTTTGCTGAAAGCCGATTGCACTGTATTTCGAGTACCCTTGTGGAACCTTCAAAAGCACTGGTGAGTACGCTCAGTTTCCAGAAAGATCGTCACCGTTGAAACGGTGGGGAGATGACTTGTCGAGAATACTGCTGACGTGAGCCAGTGCCATTTTCCGCAAACTCAAAGATGACCGACTCCACGACAGCCTGTACAGCGGGAAGATAATCGACACAAAAGTTTCCGCCCCTACACTCCGCGCGTTTCTTTGTACGATCATGACTGGCGTGAACATACAGCCGGAACTGAAAAAGCTGGACTGGGAAAAGCTTGTAGACGCACGAAATTTATCCGATCGATGGGACTGTCCGATTTTCGCAGACGCTGTCAAGCAAGCCCTTTATATGAAAGTGGAGGGGAGTCCTTGGGATCTTTTCAAAGCTTCGAGTCAGATCAACGATGTGGACCTCGCCAAACGCTGTTTGAAGATTATGGGCATCAACCCTGCCGTCGATTCGGATTTGGCAAAGTGGAATACGGGACGTATCACTTTAAACCATTTCCACGTAAGTATATTACAACGCGGTTGAGATGCTGACATCGACCAGGGCGTAGCCGACCACTTTATGTTCGAGCTAATGCGATTGACACGTCGTTACCCTGGATGGTTGTCGGTAAACAGGAGGTGGAAGTTTGGGTCAGCGTATAAGTCGCAAACAACTTGGAACAAAATAGCCATGGAATTCGCTCCCAAAGCTCTGGATACATGATAGGATATGAAGATGTGCTACGAAAGTCGTATGGAGAGGATGCTGAGGGGATCGAAATGGAGAGTGACCGATACATTGAGAGAGTGGTATGCAAAATTTGTTCGTCGTGTCGCTTCATCAGCTGAAGTTTGTCTGTCATTTCCGTCAATACATTTTCTAGTGGTCAACCAGTCTGATGAGTACTAAGCCGAGCGAACCGTTACTGCTGTCATCATCTTGACAAGTCGACCGTTCTTGTCCCCACTCGATCCGCTTGACTGGCCTCGTGTGTGATCCAAATCAACGCTTTTGGACCTGTCCCTTTTCTTCGCACATCACTTTGCTCATTCGTCAGTTGCACGCACAGTCTCACGGTCTAGCTAACTCACATTTGAATTCTGTGTTCTGAGAGGAGGTAACATTTCTAGTAAACTCCGTTCGACCGTCTTCATTGATTCTTCGTCCAACGCGCTGGTGGGTTCTGAGGGGTTAGGCATAATCTTCCTACCTTTGCGTCCGTCTATCGCCGGAAGAAATGTGTGATTCCGTCCTCACTCCAGTGAACGGTTTTTCTCCACAAATAGCGACACGAGACATGATGAAATGGTTTGAGAGTTGGACGAAGCTGAGAATATGACGATTTAGTGCGTTGCGTGATACCAAATGACCCACCATCAAGTAAAACGACCTCTGCTCGTCCAATCCCCACAGCTAAAGCCAAAGCGATCCTCTGTCCCTCTCCTCCACTCAAAGTAGCCCATTCCCTACCCCACATAGTACGTTCTATGCCCCATTTCTCAGCTAGAGCCATTGGGTCAGTTTCGCCCTTTCGGTCTTGCTGTGATTTTTTACGGGATGAAAAACGACTTATAGTTTCGAGGAACTCGGCCGGTGTGCCGGGAAGAAGTGATGGTCGTTGGGGAACATATTGTACTAAAGTACGATATTTTGGAACGCCTGGTTATTAGTCTCGGTTGTGAGCATGAGGACTGACCATATTCGACTGACCGTCTGTATATTAGCTCAGGTTCTAAACGAACACTCATATCAAGCTTGCCAAGTATTGAGAAAAGGTAGGAAGATAAAGTAGGTGAAAACTCACTTTCCATCCAACAATATTTCTCCTGATTGGTAAACACTCAATTCCGCTATACATTTCAATAACGTTGTTTTTCTATGTCTCAGCTACACGCAATGATCAACCAGCCATACCCGTACAGTACAAGCTGATCGATGAAGAGAGGCGAGACAAAGAAATGACACGTACCCACAACCTGATGGACCTTTGATGATGACCACTTCACCTTCTTCTACTTCGAGATTGAAGTCCTTATGATCAGCAAGGGTGATTTCCCCCTGTATCTCACGTTGTGAGACGATCCTTTACCTGAGAGATAACCTTGTTTGAATGATCTCCTCGTCACAGCTTATAAAGGTATCACAACAGCATGCACAGTATAACCCTAAGGAAGAAGTGTCATCCAATATACATGATATGGACAAGAGAGAAGGGATCAGGGTAGGAGTGAAGAGGGGGTGACTTATGGGGCGAGGAGAACTCACATGAAGAATAGCAGAACCTTCTCCTTCATCTCTCCTCAGACTGAGCCCCTTGACGGAGAGTAGAGGTGCCATCTTGTATCTGTTTGCACTATCTATGACACATACAGATCATCCGGCTGAGAGATGGATCAAGCAATGACGAGTATCGAAGGAAGAGGATGATGAGACAATGATCAATGAATAATGTGGAAATGTCAAAAGCTGGCGATGTAGACGAAAGACAGGAAACCCTCACCATACGTCATTCTTTTGACCTCACCCTTTTTCAACCTCCTCTTTCGCCTGTCAATTCCCCTAAGATGATACATGAAGCATAATACCAAAATCTTGACAGTCCATACATACTTACATGAATTACACGTCCATGCATGCTCTGTCCTAACAACATGTTATTGAGAGTGGTGATTGTGGCACTTCTCAGAGAGCGTGACGATGTGGCACTCACTGGTCGTCTTCACCATGCTAAGTCACCATATCACCTGTGTGTTCCATTGTGATATAACTCCATCATCAGCTGGCTCAGTAGCATATTATGAGACATAATACCATCTTTGGACTGGGTAGCGGTCTTTCATGGATCTGCATACATAATCACTTCTTATTGCTACAGATGAATCTCTCATTCCTTCTTCGTTGTTGTTGCTGTGTTCCTTCTCATTTCCTCCGTCCCCCTTTTTCTTCCTTACATCCGCTACATGGCCACTTAACAATTGTTTGCAGCGCACGATTGCTACAGCCGTCAGCTCTAGCTCGGTATCATGTATTAATGACCCCAATCCCACACGAGATCCATCAAGACCATTATGCCGGGAAGTTAGGCTTACAACCATATAACCTCAAACCCACTGATCGGACGTCTCAAAGGGAAACAGAGATACAACTCACATGGATGATCCTGTAACTTTGGTCGCTTGGGTTCAACTCATGACAAAACCCAGTAGACGTAAAGTCGTAATGAGCACTTTGACAGGAGCAGTCACCGTTGCTTCCAGTGACGACTAGACAGTATTGGTTGGCCGGACCAACGATACCCTATTAATGTCAATTTTTTCTTATCTTCTCATCTTAAAAGACCTTGACAACGAAATGTGTTCATGTTCAGGATAATCAAAAAATGTGAAGAAGTAGAAGATCGTAAAAGAGGTACTGACAGTATTGGGAAAGTAGACTGATCCTCGACCAGCTTCGGCGAGACATCCATCGTTGTTGATACTTACGCCAATGCCTCCATTGACAGTGCAGGCGGTATCTGGTCGTCAGGCTCACTTCCCCCGAGCATACCTATCGGAAGAGATAGAGTGAAAGAGATTAAGAAGATCCATCTGTTCGGGTAATAAGGTTCACCTTGCTCATTACGCGCGATGACTCTAAAGATGGGACGTCGGAAGAAATGAAAGGGGAAGGATCACAACGCGAACCCGGATGGTAGGATTACGTGTATGAGGTAAGGTGATAAACATGGGTTAAAAGAGAATGGATAAGGAAGGATAATCATTCACTCACCATCAAAAAAGTTGGCATAAAAGTCGCCTTTAACAATAGCGGCCCCAAGGAACGCAACGCCGATGAACAAAACAGTTGTAAACTTCGTCTTGTCAATTTTCTTTTTTTCTCAAAGTATTTCCCGTTTCTCAAGTGTACAAGTTTTGGATTTTGATAGATCCGAGGAATTGTATGAAGAAAGAACATATCTCGACTAATCAGGGTTTTATACCTTTTCTCTTCCCCCACTCGACTCCACCTCGCTCAAGATCTATGACATCAGTCCAGAGTTGGAACTGCGGAATTCTCGATGGACACAAGTGTCATGTGGTACCATAAAGGATAAATGAGGTCATGATGTTCGTTGAACGGCGGTACAGCGGACGACTTGTCGGCTTGATTCAGATCGCTGTAAGTCGCTAATTGCTAACTTGCACTTGGGTTATGAAAGAAATGTGAAAGTCTTTCAAATCTCGCGTGACTGTTTCGTTTGAGAAATCACAAGCGACGAATGATATGTTGAGGGGGTGAGAGGGAAAATCTCTTATCTGATGGTGCCGAGAGTGGAAGCCGAGGGTTTTCGAATGGTGATTTTCGATATTGCAACTAGTTGATCTCCAGATGGTTAGTAAGATTTAGTGTCGACAAGTCGTATATCCCATCGGCCATCGGATATGTACGGATGATCGACAAAGGTATACTGTAGTCTGGATCATCTGCCTCCTATTCAGTCACTCTCTCACGTCGATGATGATTGTGATGACATACGAGTTCCACGTCTAATCAGTCCAACAAGCAGCAAAGACCATTCGATAGCTGATAAACCGTTTCAATGGCATGACATATTATTCTACATTCATGTCGTTCGGTTTCGTAGGATAAGACGGTTTAGTATAGGTGTATCATCTCGTTCTGGACCGCTGATCCTTGACTTGAAGATCATGAAGCGTGTGGCATGTGGGGCATCGAGGATGACGAAATATGTTCCATGCGGTCGCCGTTCATTCGGAAATCGACCTATGCACGATGTACGACATACGACACACAGCTACAGGAGCTTTGTCAAAAGGACGAGAGGACTACGAGACATTTCATGTAGGGTAATGACGATGATCGCTGGACCGAGGATTGACGTTCGCTTAATGACCGGTGAGGATGGATATAATGACGCATTGTCGATAAGCGAGATTCGAAAATGTGATTTGATTCATTCATGATTTTTTTCCTCGGGATAATGTTACTTTTGGAGACAGACGCTCCACAAATGTCGATCATACAGAATATAGTGTAAGTCATTAGATCATTGGTGAGCTCGAATATGTCAGAAAGGTAGTTGAGGGCGTCAGATAAAGGGGGTTTAGAAATCATCATGATTGAGAGAGGTCTTTGAGGTAGGTAATACCTCGGTCCACGGCCATCGACGAGCACGTAGCACATTTCAACAAATGAACCAACCCCCAAAATGTCAAGTTCTCCAGATCTAAACGAGTTTGAAATATCTCCAGCAGTTCAGTATTTACACAGATGTCAAGACGACGGTCAAGATTTGCGAGAGGTCCGAGAGGAAACCGATGAACTCACCAGTTGACACACCGATATGCATGCAATGATTTCTTTATCGTCCAATCCAATCTTTCGATAATCAATTTCCACCAACGTCATTTACTCCACAGATTCAAGGGTGTCCACAGCTTTACCCTTTCCTTTACCTTTATCATCCGTACTAATCTCCTCTATCGTTTCACCTTCCTCGTCATCTTCAGGAACTTCATCATCATCCGAATCGAAGTTAGGACCATCACCACCCAATGCACCAGCGCCTCCCATGGATTCCATCATTTTGGCAAAGTCCATTCCTCCTGGTCCGCCCATCCCTCCCAATCCGCCCATTCCCGGCATACCGCCCATACCACCCATACCGCCCATCCCTGGCATACCGCCCATACCACCCATCCCTGGCATACCACCCATGCCACCCATCATGTCGTCCATACCCCCCAGACTGAACGTCAGCTCAAAATAAGACGCGAGTCAGGAGTGAGCTCACTCTTCGGGTGCAGCATCTTGTTCGTCTTCGTCCACCCACTGATCGTTAGTCAAGGTCATCATACCTACATAGAATTGATACATTCGAGATCAGGATTTTGAAATAAGAGTATGAAAGAAGTGGAAGGTAAAAGGGGGTTATGAGAGGAACGAGTCACATAAAGGCGTTACGAGGGGAGTGGGATACAAGAGGATGCTATTAGGAAAGCGATGACACTCACCTTGGAGAAATCCGTTTTGATCCAATTCTTGTTAGGTTTCTCCTTTGTCAATCTTGGCCAATATTCCGCCTTGGGTGTTTTCTTGCGGAGGACGAGGACGATAGCACGTGTGGTGACCATTTTCTTAGTTGCCTAGTGGTTAGTGAGTTCAATTCTGGAAAGCAAGAGCACAATCGTGAATTATCAACCACAGTCGGATCAAAAACATGGGTCCGGATCGGCGAGGAACAGATGAGGGGAAAGTATGAAAGACCAAGAGAAAGAAGGACACACCTCTGGGATAATCTCATCATATAATTCCAGATCAAAAGCGAACTTTTTCTCCGGTACGCCCCTGGAAGAACTATTCGTCAGCTACATCATCACTCCACATTATCAAACCGTAACATCATACCAATCCCTAAACCTTGTAACTGCGTGGCACGTCGTGACAACATTGCACGGTCTTTGTATCGCTTGTCTCACCACGATCCTGTCGAACCGACCATGTGAGATAAAACAAGCAAAGTATAAGTACCACCAAGCGATATATTGTGATGAGGAGAAAAGATACAAAGTTTGAGATTGTGAATATGGGGCTGAATGAGACGAGGCAGCGAGGGACTCACTCCCCGGCGTCAGCCTCAAAGGTGATACCAGTTGGCTTGATGTCTAACTTAGGCTCTCCTTTGATATCAGGAGCGTTGATGGTGAAATAGATGATGTTCTATCATGTCAATTTTTCTTCTCGTTCTCGTCAATCACAAATAGATTCCATCCATTAAATCAAGTGAACGTAAGACCGTATCTCCGTATTTCTGAGCTACAGACCGGTTGGGTTTCGCAGAACTCTCACTCAGTCCCCAGCATGACCACGAGATGAATTTGACTACAAAAGGAAAATACCATACTTGAAGAGAGACATCACAAGTGACGGGAGGGGGGATGAAGTTTAGCAAGGAAGGATGAGACGTCAAGTCAAAAGATGAACATATCAAAAGGAAGTGATGGACAAGGCGGGGAGATGTGATGTCAAAAATGACCTCGACTCACCTTGTCTTCATCGGTGAGAGAACATCTCTCCGCGTAGATGATCTCTGGATGAGTGGATTTTACTTCTGACATTTTATCTCTAATTTTATTTAGATTACAAAAGCTGGGATAACAAAGAGGGAAGAGAAATTTCTGTCGATGGGGAAGTCAGTCAACGACGGCAAGTGTCATTTGGAGGTTTGCCACGTGGCAAGTGAATGTGGCGATTGCATAAAGACTGTGCTCGAACCTTCTTCTCGAGGGCGTCACTGCATGCATCGTTTCACCACCCATCACAAACGCTCGACTCTCCATTTCTTTTGTCATGTACATGTTTACTGTCAACCATATCTAGTATGATGCTTAGTTTTCCCGGAGGAAATAGCTCAATGATCAATGAGGGACGGTGAGGATTTGTTGACCTAAGAATTCTTCTCCCGGAGCAAGTATCTTGAATTCCCTCACGTATCCAGGTTCGACACATATGTATCTATCCTATTCATCAATATCTACCAGCTGTAATGAGATGAGGGAGTACTTACCCAGCCATTTTCTTCCATATCGATCATATTCTTTCCTGACTTCTCTTGAGGGTTCCAAACGGTAGAACTGTCTCATCAACCTCTCTCCGGGACGTAGATACTGGTATGACATGACTCACTCTTCAAAACCACGGAAACGAATGGTAATACTTCCACCGTCATCTTCCAACACAACTATCTCTTGTCCTGGAACTTTGCGGAATACCCTTTTCCATCAGCTGACATCACAAAAACCACACATAGTGCAGCAGGCGAGAAAGCACTCACGCATCCACCTCTTTGGTGATTCTCAAATCACTTCCATCCCATACTTTCACTTTCAACCCATCCGTCTTATCCTGCCATTCGGTCCCAATTCCCAATCCCTTCACGACAATCTTCTTACTATCCTTCACCGCTAAATAACTATGCAACAGAGCTTGAAACTTGAAATCTTCTTTACCCGTGTTGACCACATGTAGGTCTGTGGAGAGTTGATGTGGGGAGAGTGTGACCACATATTTCAAGGAGTATTCATGATTGAACTCAGCAGGAGGGGGAGGAGCTGAAAGACGGATACTGATTCCTTCTTCGCGGTCCATGATGATATGTTCAAGTGACCAATTTTGAGAACGGACGTAACCATGTTGTTGCAATGCTGCGTATTCAGGTGGAGAGGGAGGAGGGGGGCCAAAAATGGGCTAAAGGTTAACATACATGATATGACAGAGTCCTTTGAAAGTGGGTGTAATTGCTTGTTGAGTGATCTCTGCGATAAAGGGACAAGTAAGGATTTGTTATGGAAAGGGTGAGGGTGAGATGACTCACGAAACAGATAGGAATACCACCACGAATCTCCTGGTCAGTAATGATTTTTTTTAATGGTAGATATCTGATTGTCAGATGTTACTTACAGCCTTACTACCGTCCAAAGCGGATTTGGAGGAGACGAACAGCCTTTCCTTCCCCTCTACTTTCCAGGAGGTGACCGTTGCGCCGAAAAGGCTACGTATCAGCTATCACCCACTATATCCATGTAGCATTTGTCTCATACATCTCATATACACTGCATTTGATTGATGAAATACTTCTGCATGACTATCTGCAGGTATTGACTTTGATGGTAGTGAATGCTCCGTGTCCACCTCTGGCTGCGCCCTCTGACGAACGTGTCGAATGGAAGTGAACTCACTAGATCTCTGCCGTAGCTCCCGAGGCAAGTCTCAGAACTATGCTCTTGTCATTCTCTTCCACTGGCATCTTGTCTCTATCGATCTTTGAGTTTTCTTTAATCTCTACTGAGTTGGTCTTCTGGGAAGTTAGTGATGTTAAAGTGACAGCGAAGGTAAGGAATGTGATGGCAAGCCCACCCTCTGTTCTCTGTTCTCTGACTCATCGGAGCCCCACGGCACGTGTTTCCATCCGAATCTCCACATCAAGTAATTTCTCTTCCAGTCACTTTTGTTTGTCGTATCACACCTTTGTCGAGTTTTCTCCACGTCATCCACCATCCATCACACACCAAACCGTTCAGAGATGGATTATCAACTGCTCTCTTCTGAATTCCCAGAAGAAACCTCTCATGAGGATATCGTCGGTGCCGCAGATCTTGCCGCTCAATTGGAACGGGCAAGGAATGACTCGACATTCGACGAGCCATCTCAATCTACTGCTCTTACTCAAGATGGGAGAGCGTTGGGTGATGATGGAGGACACTTGAAAGATGATCAAGCGAGAGGAGAGGATGGAGTGGGATTGGGTAAATTGGAGAAGAGGGCTAGACAGAAGGATCAGAATAGGAAAGCGGCAGAGAGGAGTCGACAGAAGAGGCGAGATGAACAGTGAGTTGTCGAATGCTACACTCTGTTGACTACCTTTCACCACCAAATCGTTTACTGCTCGACTCATATCAGGTGTTTGACGATCGTGGCTGCTTGATAGACTGACGTGACTGCGAGATGGGCAGTGATGGAGTGTCTAGATGTCTTCTTTGAGATTGGGAAGAGAGAGTGTGTGTGAGAGAGAGTCATGACTTTGGGGCAGTATATAGACTGACATTCAGATCCGCTATCGAAGCTAACATCACCAACATGCAAGAAGAAAACGCGCAACTTCGAGCTAAACTACAAACACTCTTGTCTTCCCGTCCTGAAGTAACCACATCAACCATCGTTCCTCCTCCTCCCCCTACACTTACTCAACCTATCGTCGAACCCAACGATCCCACCGCTGTTGACCACGCTTATCTCGCCAAACTTCAGGCGGAGCTCGAACAATGTCGTGCCACCCTTCTCTCCCGTCAACTGGAATATGTCGCCATATCATCCGGTAGACCAGACCAGGAGAAAAATGATGAATTGGAAGCACGACGTGTCACATTACTAGGACTGTACAAAACTCTCGTCACTCTGCAAGCTGAAGCTACTAGTATATCAAAAGTTACTAATGCGCTGAATTTGGACAAGGATCATTCGGAGCGACAATGGGAGGTATTGAGGAAAGAGATTGTAAGGCGTCGAAATATATTGATGGGTGATAGACCGGATCTGGGGGAGAATGAAGGGGATGAAAGAGTTGATGAAACAGGTGATGAACCGGGTGATAGGGAGTTGTTAGTGATCCGAGGTTGGGTAGATGAGGCAGTTAGGAATTGGGATCCTGCTGCTGAAACGGCAGCTTGATGGCAGAGAGCCTTTGAGCGTTTTCCTAACAGACTCGTTATAATTTATAGGGTTCGACATGATGACATTATTCTTGTACAAGCATGTGCGGATTATCGTGACGCTGAGTGCCACATGAATCGGGGTTTCGTTTGGCGGAAGGAATGTGCGGCATACGGCGGTACGGCGATACGGCGATAAAAGTCTTTGTAAGGAAGAAATAGGGAAAGAAAAATAGGCTCACCACTTAATCGACCCTCCCTCCTCCCTTGCCCCTTGCCCCATCCCCCAATCTCCCCCCAATCTCCCTCTCGGCCCTCATCGCCGGTCATCACTACTTGACCCCATTCTACACTTTCTAATCATCTCTCAACCAACCTCTTCATCAACCTCTTAACTTTCTTGACTCTCATATATATCATTCAAAACCCATTACTTCAAAATGTCTGAACTGTGAGTTCCTCATTGCCGTCCTCACCTCTACCTAAATCCTTCAGTTTCGACGCAGCGATCGGGACAGGCGGAGGCACGTTTACCCCCTCTTTCTCTCTATCTCATGTCTTGATTCTGTCCATCCTTTGCTCTCATCAACCATCTCCATGGTACCATTCAAATAGCAAAAGTGTGCAGAACTCATACTGACTCTCAGCGCCGATGTTGGTCTTATCGGTTTGGCCGTCATGGTATATCTTCCCTTCAATGTCACTCGCGGTCTACTTGCTGACATGATTTTTACTCACACTATAATAAATGATCAATCCATCAATTTTACATTCCACACATTAGGGTCAAAACTTGATCCTCAACATGAACGACAAAGGATTCAAAGTTTGCGCTTACAACCGGTTAGTTAAGACCAGACACATTGCATACAGATGCTTATTTTCCAGTACCACCTCCAAAGTTGATTACTTCCTCGAGCACGAAGCTAAGGGTGAGCATACATACCTCCTGCATTCCTTCCCACATGTCTCCTTTCATCATATTCAATCTGTGATCATGTGGATGACCAGAACTGATCAGTGAAGGAACTCAAATCATTGGAGCTCGCTCGATCGAGGAACTATGCTCTAAACTCAAGAGACCCCGAAGGATCATTCTCCTCGTCAAAGCTGGTCAGGCCGTTGATGACTTCATCGCTCAACTCGAACCTTTCCTCGAAAAAGGAGATATCATCATTGACGGTGGTAACAGTCACTACCCCGATTCCATCCGTCGTACCCATGAACTCGAAGCTAAAGGTCTTCTCTTTGTCGGTTCCGGTGTCTCCGGTGGTGAGGAGGGTGCACGTAACGGTCCTTCTCTCATGCCCGGTGGTAGTGAAGCCGCTTGGCCTCATATCAAGGAAATCTTCCAGAAGACGGCAGCTCAGGCTGAGGGAGAACCATGCTGTGATTGGGTCGGTCCTACCGGTATGTCCTATCTACTCGATCGAACTAGCTCAATGCTGATTTCGCTCTTCAGGTGCCGGTCATTACGTCAAAATGGTTCACAACGGTATCGAATACGGTGATATGCAACTCATCGCCGAGGCCTACGATATCCTCAAACGTGGTCTTGACCTCTCCGAAGATGAGATCGCTGACATTTTCGAGAAGGTACGTATTTCTGATATAATCTGGACAGCACTGACGATATTTTAGTGGAACAGTGGAGTTCTTGACTCTTTCCTCATTGAAATCACCAGGGATATCCTCCGCTTCAAGGACACTGACGGTGAACCCATGTTACACAAGATCCTCGACTCTGCAGGTCAGAAGGGTACCGGTAAATGGACTGCCATCGATGCACTCGACCTCGGCATGCCTGTCACCCTCATCGGCGAGGCCGTCTTCTCTCGTTGTCTCTCGTCCCTGAAAGGAGAGCGTGGTCGTGCTTCCAAGATCCTTGCTGCCCCAGCCCGCGAACCCTTCCAAGGTGACAAGCAGCAATTCATCGAGTGAGTATTCTCATACATTGCATCGATTCCTGCTGAAAGAACAGCGATCTCGAACAGGCTCTTTACGCCTCGAAGATCATCTCATATGCTCAAGGTTTCATGATGATGCGTGAAGCTGCCAAGGTCAACGACTGGCCTAGCATGAACTATGCTGGTATCGCCGCCATGTGGCGTGGAGGTTGTATCATCAAGTCTGTTTTCCTCAGCGACATCACCGCCGCCTATCGTGAGAACCCCAAGATCGAATCGATCTTGTTCAGCCCGTTCTTCACCAAGGCCATCACCAACGCTCAACCTGGTTGGAGGCGTGTCATCGCTCAGTCGACCCTCTGGGGTATCCCCATCCCGGCGTTCACCACTGCGGTGAGTGAAAAGTTCTGCTCATCAAATGACATGCTGAAATAACAGCTTTCGTTCTTTGACGGATACCGTGCTGAAGTCCTGCCAGCCAACCTGTTGCAAGCGCAGCGTGACTACTTCGGAGGTGAGTTTCCTCTGTCTTACGCCCTCACTCGTCCCCGAACGTCAAGCAATCCCTTGTTGATCACCTTGTCTTGCGACTTACATTCTACTCCGCCGTCGGAATCCGCTAACCCGCAGCGCACACGTTCAAGGTATTGCCCGGTAAGGAAAACGACCACATGAAAGCTGGTCAAGACATCCATGTCAAATGGACTGAACGTTCCGGCGACGTAAGTTTTCCCTTCACTCCGATCCGCCCCACTCTACATTCCATCCCCAATATTGATTCCTGTCTTCATGCGGTGCAGCAACATCATCCTCGTTTTGAGAGCATTCCTTGCCTCCCGGTCCTCATGGCACGCGGCAACAGGGAAAAGGACCCGTAAAAGGGGTCGGACAAGGTTGACGACGCAGGTTTCTTCGTCGACGTACAATGCTTAGAGAATGCCCAGCAAATCTGTTTGCAATGTGTGAGAGAGGCAAAGGTGGGAAAATGCAAGCATTGCTTTGTCGTGTTATCTTGTTTGACAGGGTCCTCGTCATCTTCCTCGTCATCTTCTTGGTCGTGCGCGGGTCAGACTAACATGAGGCTTGCGGCAAGTAGCACTTTATGTTTTATTGGACGTACTTATAAAGCTCTCTCTCACCACAGTTCTCTTCCCCAGGCTCAAAGCAGAGGAAACTCAGTAGTAAGCTCCAAAAGCAAAGCTCAAGACTCCAAGATGCTCTCCCCTCGTAATTTCATTAACGCTCGTTCCCCCTCCCCTTACTCGCCCAACCATCGACAGGCAACCATGACTTCGCTCACTGAAGTCATCCCCAAGGTCGTCTACACTGTCATGGAGGAAGTCAAGGAAAGGGTGACGTTTGACGCAGAGTTTGACGACCCAACTGCCAATGTCATTTTGACTTCTGACACTGGAGTCAAGTTCCGCGTCCATGGATGGCATATCAAGCGCAAGTCGTGAGTTGTGTCTTCTACTCCTATTCTTCCTTGCGCAATCTTCCTTCATATGTGTCTCCTCTGACCTCGTTCATCGCTTCATCTCAAATGATTTTTTCCTACCTCCTGTCCAGTCATAAGTTATCACCTACTTGACTTCGTTTTCCATGGATTGCCCTCTTATCATCCTACGCTCCTTTGAGGCTTAATCACACAACTTTCTTCTCTCCTACCGGCATTGCCAACATACGTCACTTGATCTACCTCCCACATCCTTCTCCTCCCTCGCCTGATGTTCCCCTTTGATCTGCATGCCTTGAATTAATCCACCAACCCATGATGAAACAATCACTAACCTCAGTGACCTCATCGCCGACATGCTGTCCACCTCCAACTCCCGTGACGGTATTCCAGCATTTGCCGAAATCGACGTTGCCGCACCTACCGACGTCCTTCGTCACTTTGTCCGTCTTTGTTACACTCCTTTCCCCGCTCCATCCCACTTCACTCTTCGTGAAGTCGAAATCCTCCTCGCTATCTGCGACCATCTCGGTTGTATCGGCGTGAAAAACCAAGTTCTCGACCTTTACGCTTCGAACGCATACAAGGACCCGGTAGGCACTTTCGTGCTTGCTGCAAGACTCGATCATCTTCCACTTGCTCGAGCTTGTATCGGTGCTTTTGACGAAGCTCCAAATCTACCTTTTGCACCACTTAGCAGCGTGCCGATGGAGCAGGCAAATGTGATCCCCGGTACTTGGTGGTTGGAATTGATCCGTCATCGTCAACACCATGAACACCTGGGGGTGTATACGATTAGGAAATGGGATGATGTGGCTGGGATGTTCTATCCTGGTCAAAGGGTCAATGGAATGTCTGGTTGATTGATCAGATGATAAGCCATGATGAGCATTGTGGTTTTGATGATGGTTATGAGATGTGGATAAGAAAGAGGTGATGAGATGCATCGAGAGTCGAGGGTGAGTGGAGGGGAGAGAGCGCTGATGTTTGACAGTGGCTACTGATGCCTAGTAGGAACATCGTGAACTTCAGAAGCGACTACGAGACTGATCCTTACTAGGATCATCTGACACTGTTGCTCGGCTTCGGTCACGAGTGTTCCGGACCTCCGGCTCCTCAGGGAAGAAGAAACATCCTTCACCCGAAATTTTCTGACTGCTGAACCCATATATATATAATTGCTTACTCTACATGATAGAACTTTTAACCCGACGACGGCTCGACCATGACCTCTCTCAGCGTAAACGATATCAAGCCGATTAAATGGGACGAAGTATATGTACGACGACCCTGCTGCCAAAGCTATCATCATCTCAAGCGATCATGTACATTTCCGCGTTTCCACTTGGCATCTTAAACAACAGAGGTCAGTCTTTACCAGTCCGGCTGACGAGGAGAAGGCTGACACCACATAGTGAACTCATCAGCAATTCACTTCGGGGAAACCAAAACCTTGACCCCCTTCATCTTACTGCTGATGCTCGTATTATCCGTCGTTTGATAGGTCTTTGTTATCCCAACGCCTGGAGAGGACTTATCGACGACTTGAATATCACCGACCTCCGTATCCTTCTTCATCAATGTAACCAGCTTGAATGTCATGAATTGATTCGCAAGATCCTTAAATGGTTACAAGAATCATGTGGCGGTATCGATAGAGATGCTTTATCAGTCTTTGCTCTATCTGTCGATTACAATATGATCAACATAGCTCGAACTTCGATAGCTCATTTTCGTGAACATTCGGAATGGCCTCTATACCCTATTCCGTTCATAAAGTGGGGACATGAAACTCCCGTTCATTCAAAAGATCCATATCGTAATCTGACATCGTTATTGCAACTCACATGTGGTCGCATAAGGACATCGGAAGAAGGGAATGTGATTGTGATTCCTTGGAAAGAAGTGGCCAAGACGTTTGATCCTGTTTGGTGAGAGGGATGTCACACACAGTGAGTCGTTTTCGAGCAGAATTTCACACGCTGAAATCACAGTGTCGCTATAACGAAAGCCGTACCAGAACAGAAAGTGGTGCGACCGACATGCAACCTCATCGATCGTTTACAAATCGACAGGATACACATGTCACTGCTCTGGTATGTATGGAACTTGTCCTCCGTCCGGTCCCCCCTATGCCATCAAAGTCAAACCTGTCAGATGTGGCGTGTCCTGGAGGTTCATATAGGTATTTACACATCCAGCTTTCAACCCCCCCCCCCCCCTCTCCCTTCCAAGTCAAAATCTCCTTCACCCTGATCTGACTCAATCATGCTTCACGAGTTGATCTCATGAGTGGTCATGTTGTATCACATACCCTTCTTCACACCTTCCGTCCAATTACTACTTCTCTTACACTCGCTCAACTGCAACATACTGTAGAGTACTAAAGCTCCCCTGCATTGCTAAGTGGAGTTGACGATGACGCCGAGAAAGGGAACCGTACACGAGGGACTCATGGTACATGGTCGACGCTTCACTCACTTCTCTTCTTTTAGCCATGTCGTAACAAGTAAACGAGGTCGCTGAGTCCCCGCAAACCTCTATCCCCTTGGTTCACTCGGAAGAGGAGATCATATGATACACACACTATGATGATCCGTATGCTAAGGTGATCCTGGTTTCCGACGATGGGATTCACTTCAGAGTTCTGACTTGGCCTCTAAAAGAATACAGGTATGTTCATTACGACAACACAAGTAGAGTGCTGAATAGTGAAGCACGTTCTTTTGCAATTTGCTCGAGCTCGAATCCCCAACCGACATCTCTCACTCTCCCATTCAAACGGAAGCCGACTTCTTTACTCTAAAAGCCTTCAGCAATCTCTGCTCCGCCCCAATGACCGTGAACTTGATGGCTACATTCACTCTATACCACTTTCACTCCCTACTTTGTCTATTGAACAAATAACAATGTGAGGATTTGATCAAGATGGCTGTCAAAGAATATAATATCTCCCAAGATTGTTCACTCAAATGCTTTATCATCGGCATCGAATTTCGTAATTCCACACTGGTGCAATGTGCCGTAGAACAATTTCTAGAATCCATATCGAACCCTCTCTACCCTCTCAACAGCCTCGGGAACAGAACGGACGACATAGATGAACGCTTGCCTCTCAACCTTATGAAGCTTCGGTTCCAGATGCAAAGTCCCATATCTCGTCATGATGGGATGTCCATCAAACCTTGGGACGAGGTATCGTGGGATCTTGCCTTTCCCTGGGACTCATAAGATGTACGTCCTTTGACCTGCCCGATGTACGGAAGACTGATACATCAGGGTCTCCGTTTCCGTTTCGGTTCTCTTACGGTCTATTTCAGTGTGCAAATTCACTTTCCTGTCTACACTCATCTTCTCTCTTCAACAAATCTTCCCATCATGTCCAAGTCGACCAAAACTCCCTCGTCTACACAAGATCTCAAGTGGGACCAATACTACAATGATCCCTCCGCCAATATCATTTTCGTCTCCTCTGACAACGTCCATTTCCGCGTACATGGATGGAATTTGAAGCGACACAGGTGAGCTTCTCTCGTCATCACTCCAACATTTCATTTCACCCTGTCGCTCGAATTTTGTTTCGCGGCGAAGCTACAGCTTTGATCCACTCACTGGTCATGCTTTCAGTCCAATACACCGACTTGAGCTCATCTTGATATCTATGACTTCCGGACCTTGAGAAGTGACGCAGGCTGACGAGATGCCAGTCAAGTTTTCGCCGATATGCTCACACTTCCCTCTCCACCGCCGCAGACACACGCCCATTCGCCCGAATTCCACGCCGTTGATAACGCTCTGTCCCTGCAACACTCTCCTCTCCCCATCACCATCGACGCACCGGCCGATACCCTACGTCACTTTATGAACTGTTGCCACTCCTCTATGCCAACCCTCGACATCACCACTGCTGAATTGTCTGCCGTATTGGCATTGTGCGACAAGTACGATTGCGGGAATCTCAAGAACAAGATCATGGACGCTTATGAGACCATTGCTCATCGAGACCCCAAGCAGACGTTTGTAATCGCCTCTCGATATAATCATATAAAAATGGCAAGGGCGGCTATTAAACATTTCCCAGTCAATGCAGGCCTCACAAGCTTGGGTAAAGCTGTCACGGATATACGTTCCCCCTGGTTGGTTGAGCTTTGCTGTCGGAGATTTGGGGGGTCCATCGAGGGAGGGAGATGTTACGTGGACAATTGGGAAAGTGTTGCTCGCGGCTTCGATCCGTGAGTTCGGGTTCTGGTCTGAACTACGTACATTACATCAACCCTGAATGCAACCAATTAAGGGGTTCACGGTTCGTGAAGTTGACTTTACTAAAGTACATGTATAGTCTTGCCTTTTCCGTTCACTCGAATGACCTCATGATCCTCAAAGTACCAAGAGTTGCAAGAGAGACACTGCCTGATGGTGAGAACCGTCCCGACTTGCCGAGATCAGTCTCTTGAATTTGACTCGTGCGTCTCATATTTGTCCCGAGGGCACGGAAATCTCTCTCCGGGAGGAGGAAGCTCACCCTCTATGTGATGCCATCAAAGAGGATAACGCTAGAACCATGCTTGCCTCGAGGCTTCAGGGCATCCGCCCTACGGGTTGTGATGTCCCCACGAATTCGACCTCTCTTCCTCTACTCTTTCTTCTCTTTCATTTCCCCTTCTCAAACTCCTCATATCCACTCAATATGTCCGACCCCGCTACTGAACCCAATGAAGAGATCAAATGGGATGAAGTTTACAATGATCCCACTGCTACCGTCATCTTCGTTTCTTCCGACAAGGTCCATTTTCGCGCGCACGGATGGCCTTTGAAGCGACATAGGTATGTTTTTCATTTCTCTCCCTCTCATTTCACGTCATCACCAGACGGCCCTGTCAACTCAGTGCACCTCATAAGTAGTGTAGGAGAACATGTATAGTGTCATGTACAAGTACATTTACAATTTAGTTGGATATGTGCTGACGAATACTCAGTCAAGTCTTCTCCGACATGCTCACACTTCCACAAAACGAATCCACCGAAACTCCTCTACTGTCCTCCACCAAGCCGATCGAGCTCGATGTTTGGAACGATATCTTACGCTTCTTTCTCGATCTCTTCCACTCCTCATCGCCTCCCACACTTGACGTCCAATTGGGAGCACTAAAACTCCTGCTCAAATTATGTGACCGCTTCCAAGCCGAAGCCCTGAAGCACAAGGCGCTGGAGGGGTTCATGCGCTTTACTCAGAAGGACCCGATCGGCACCTTTGCTCTGGCAGCTCAGTGTGGTCATGTGGAACTTGCAGCCGCGTCGATCAAGCACTTCTCTGAATACAAAGGTGACCCTTGGCACGAATGGTATGGTTGTTCAAAGGAGACTCTCAATCAGATACCTTCAGAATGGCTGTTGGCGCTATTTCAACGACGGGTTAATCTAGGTTGGGATATGAAAATAGGACTAACAGAATGGAAAAGGGTAGCTGATGTCTTCACCCCTGAAAGCTACAAAAGTTCAAGGGTGGGGTCAAATGATTTTTGGAGAGCATGAGAATTTATGTTACGTTCCCAACAACTTGGGACCACTTCTACTATGAAGATTCTACAAATGCTAGGAGTGCTCTAGTCATTCCATTCTTCCGAACTATACAAGCGAACGACTCTGTGATGCAACAATTGTAGACCCAAAGGTACTGTCAACAGATATGCATAGATGCCAGAATTACCCTCACTCGTCATCACTCAGAACCATGAACGCCTCCTGACCAAATCCAACTTTCTCCGGACTTCTGGTGTATACGACCACCTCTACTTTCTTTGGCTTCTTTCTTGGTCTTACTTCCAGTTCATCACTCACATCATCAACCTCTCCATCTCCATTAACTTCCCCATCCCTCTTCCTCCTCTTCCCTTCTCCCAATACCTCTCCCATATCATCATCATCAATTACCATACTCTGAATCTTCTTCGCTTCTCTGAGTGCCTTGGCCTCTTCCTTCTCTTTCTTTGGATCCCACGGACCTCGAGGTAAAGGTTCATAATCCGGTTTCGCTGCCAATTCCGCCGTACGAGTATTGAAAATGGTGATATCTATCGTATCCAAAGCCAGAAGACGATGAATATGTACCTTCTTTTGTTGTCCATATCTTCTCACTCGTCCTATCGCCTGAGTTTCCACAGCTCTATAATTGAGAAGAGAGTTGGTGAATAATGGACCGAGGAAAATGGCGTGATTCGCAGTTGTCAAATTCGATCCTGCGGCACTAGCATCGTTCATTTTGAGTAACAATACCCGAGCTGATTCAACGTCGGAATTTTGGAATTTGTCTAATGTGTTGGCACGAGATTTGACACTCCCAGATAAAGTCTCATGAGGTATCTTACCAGCTGTCAAAGCTTCTGAAACTTTCGAAGCTAAATCTTCCCATTGTAGAAAGACGAGAATACGATCTCTTGAAGAGATTGAATGGATTAGATCGACAAGACGTTGAAGTTTCGCTCCATATCTACCTGAAGATAATTCTCCTTCTATTCCTAATGATGAAACTTTGACAATGTTCGTATGTCGGACTGCTGCACCACAATTGGTACCATTGACACATTTCTGTGAGTCGGCAGCATGTGACATACATTGGAAACATGCCACATGACCACAACATGATAAAACGGCCATTTCGACGTTTGGATGGGTCGAAGGTTTGTGAGGACAAGTCGAAGATTCAAGTACGGTTTTTGCCGCTTCGCCAGCTTTTTGAAGTTTTCGTACTACGTCGAAAAATCGTAAACTTCTCACACGGGCGACGAGTTCTTTTGCCAGACGACGAAGTAAATGAGTTTGTTCTCGTAATTGCCATTTGACATCTTCAACTTTTGCACCTTTTTCCAACTTTGGAGCTTTACCATCTGCCGTTTCGGTAGGGAAAACACCTCCTTCTTTGAATCCACACTTTTCCAATACATGAATGAGCCGTTGAGCAGCTTCTTTGTCTCCCAAATGTTGAGTTTGATCAAAAGAAAAGTCGACAAATTCTTTGAAGTGTTGTCGATCATCATCATTCTTACCGAAGAAACCTTTCCTCCGGATATATAAATGAAGACCGACGGCGGTGTTGACAGAAGCGGTGAGATCTCTCTCGCAGCCTTCTAATTGAGACGACCGTGCGCCGGAAATATGATCGCACGCTTCTTGAGCAGATCTGGCATCTCTTTTCTTGTCCGTGAGATCTAGAGTGAAATGACAGCAACGTTTGAGCAGTGCTTCTTCTGCAGTTTTGGAATCTGCAAGGGCTTCTTCCAGACGGGCGTTTCGATCACCTTGTGAAACGTTTTTGAACTTTGTTTCTTTTCGTCTGTTTGTCAGTTGTGTCCACAAAGTCGACTCCACATCCAAGCTGATAGTCACGCAAGAAGCGGTGGCTTTACAATTTCAGAGGCAAGAAGAGAGGAGGGAAGCGAAAATGATTAGAACACAGACGTATGGCAGGCAGCTGGCAAAGAATAGGGAAGAAGGGATACTTGAGATCACATATGATAAAACCCACGCTTGCATCTCCAAAGCTTGCAAATGATGTTCCAACTCGAGATATACGGCACCTTCAGAAGCGGGCAATTTGACTTCGTGTACATGTTCCACCGTGGGGATATCATCAATCTCGGCAATGTTTTGTCTCACAAACACATTCAAGAATTCTTGAGCCAAATCGTCCCTTCGTCTATGCCACGCAGAGGAGTGAATTTCTCTGAACGCATGGAACTTCTCCGCCTGAGTTTGTTCCTTTGCCCTGGCTTTTTGGGATGAAGCGCTACCCTCTGCATCATCTTCCACACCAAGATGGATACCCATGAAGGCGGCAATACTTCGGATGGCAGGGAAATCGCTGACAGGGGGAGTACCAGAGAGGACCCATTTGTAGCATGACGAGAGACGAAGAAGAGCGGCGAGGGACTTTTTGTCAAGGTAGGTGAATTCATCCGCGATGACTCGGCGGAATCTGTCATCAGTCGACTATCTTGACAACCCTTCGGGGGGTAAGGGGGGGGGGGGGATTCAAAATACTGAGCAAGATCATCATAGATTGACCTCCGAGTATGAGAGAACACTGTAGACCTGTAGGACAATTGAGACCTGCAAGGTAGAACACAGTGGGTGAGTGTGTATAGAGGAAGGAAGGAAGAAAGGAGAAGGAGAACCCACCGGAACATGTGCATGACAGGCGCAGACAACAACCTGAAATCCTTCCTCACCGCCGAACTCGAAAACGATGCAGTACCCGAAGCTTTCCTAAACGTTGGAATGGGTACTTTTTCCTGTTCTTCCTCACTCTCATCATCCGAAGCTTCCCATTTCTCAATGTCTTCCGTAGTATCCTTCTTCCCTTTCAAAGTAGTATCAAACCTATCCCTATAAGCTTGTCCTTTCTTCCTCTTTCCATAATTCGCAGATTTATGAGCATCCCTTTTATTCTCCGCCTCCTCTTTTGCGATCTTATGCATTTTCTCTGCATTTTCTTCCACTTTTTCAGCTCCTTCATCTTCCAAAACGGCAGTTTGTGTTCTTAATGAACTCATGGCAGTTTCGAACCTATCCGCAAAGAACCTTCCTCCATTCTTATCATTCAACCAATCTTCAGGTTGAGCAGAAAGATATTCAAACCTTTCCCAATAAGCATCCGATTCGAATAATTCAGAAGCTATTACGATTATATCCGCTCTTGATAATTCTGAAATGGTTCTTGATTGTAAATCTCTCATATTCTGAATGACGATAGTTGTGAATGCTTTTCCTGTGAATCTGGTAATCTCGCTAGGCCATTGTTTACTTAAATGACCAGGAACGACGATGAGAGTACCTTTTAGATCTATCAAACCTTTTGGTGAAGGTTCAGGAGCGGGTAAAGGTTTAGATTCAGCGATTAGAGCTAAAGAGATGATTGTTTTTCCATATCCTACTTGATCGGCAATAACACCACCACGAATCATCACTGGTCTTTCCGCTTTTCCTTCTGCTCTCCAACCAAGAGAAGGTAAAGCAGCTTCGGAAATTTCTTCTTCAACAAAAGTATGTGTTTTCCCAACGGCTTTTTCTTGTTCAAGCATCCACCAAAGAGATCGTAATTGTTCTTTTCTTAATGGTAATCTGAATGTACGTGGTTGACCATGTTGAGGATCTTTCTTGTTCGAAGGAAGAATGAAGACTCGAGGTGGTGTTGGGACATCGGCAACTTGACCAGGGGTTAATCGCCAGGACAGGTGGATTTCTCCTTTGTTTTGATTGATAGGAAGTCGGGATAAAGCACGATGAACGAGAGAAACAATGTTAAGTCCTATACGGAAAGAACCGACGTCATTATCAAGACGAAGTTGTACGACGAATGGAGAAGGACGAGTTTTCAAAGCATGTTCGTATCGACCAGCTTCAAGTTTATCTTCAAAAGCCACAATGGTTGATTTTGTCTTTCCACCATTCTTGTTCAACTTGCCTAATCTCTTGATCCAATGGATTTTAGGTGGACGAGGTGCACATCGACTACATGCAGCTCCTGATGCCTGTTCATCAGTCTTATAACTCGCTGATCAAGTCGAATGATTGATGATGTAAAGTATCACTCACATCCACACTTGACAATCTAGTCCATTGACTGACCCCATCGAGAGGAGGTATCCGTTCGGTGATCCAAGCTAAATTGGCGAATGTGGTGTTTCCTTGATGAAGTAGATCCACTTCTCCCCATTTCCCTTCTCGCCACATACTTTCCGAGTGTTTTGGATCTAAAGGCACCCTACAAGTCAATAGAGCAGACGCATGATCACATCCGTCGTTCTTCAATGTATCAGAGATACTTGCCGGAGAAGGTGGAGTGGCATAGGTCGCCCTATCCCGTCTGTTGTCATCGTTTCCAGATTCAACGGCGATTTCTCCCCCTCCTACAGCTTCCATGTGAGCAGCCGAACATTTAACCCAAGCACCACGGATCTGTAATTTGACCCTGTCGTGTGGTCTTGCCGATTCACGCCATTTGGGCTCGAGAGTAGCGATAACAGCACGTTCCGTTCCAAAGTCTAACCTCTCTATCGTAGTGGAGAAAACGTAAAAGTCGTCCTCTGCTTCTCCACACCGTGAGGGGTCAAAGAAGAAAAACAAAGGTTGAAGACCTTGATCCGATTCGTCTTCAACTTTCTTGTGAAGTGAACCCATAGCTTGTCCGCATTTAAGTAAAAGAGTATAAGTTCCTGAAAGTTTACGATCCAGTACTTGAGCGGCTTCTTCGGGAACAGTAACTTCTAATTGCGACCATCTTTGTGTACCTTCGAATTCACCTTGCAAACCCAACGACGCAGCCCATGAAGGTACCAACTCTCCTTTCCCTCGGATATCAATGGGTATTGTATGTTGAGATGGTAGACATAATTCCCAACGACCACACAAAACGTCTTGTCCGGATAAATCGAAGCGTAGTCGAGCTACAGGATGTAAGACAAGAGCACGAAGACGAGAATTGACAGGTTCACTAGCAGGAGCTTTGATGGTGAGTCGCCATTCGGGTCGTTTGGTATCGAGGAATAAATCAAGAGTGGCATTAGGTGCTTCGTATACTGCCGTCCAAGTGAATTGTCTTTTGAGATAACGGAAACGAAATTCGGCTCCGTTCACTCCACCCAAAACGGCTTTACTCCATAACGTCCAATCTTTATCTTGAACGGAACCTTTCCCTTTCTTCTCCGCTTTAGACCGAGTGGATTCGAGTACTTCTTGGGAAAGTCCGGCGACTTGTACTCGCATCGGTAAAAGTTCTTTGAAACGTTTTTCGAATTCCCCAGGTTCCACACGGATGTTGGGACAAGGAACGTATTGATGATCCGGTCTTCCACCACAAGACTTACACGCTCTGTATCCACAGACGGTGCATTGTATGATAGGCGCCGCAGTACCCGATTGCCCTTCACATTGACAATGTCTAGAACTTCGTTCGGCAAGATCGAGGATTTCAGACAAATTGGCAGGAGTCACCTTAGCCAAGTCGAGAGCATGAACTTTGAGTTTGTCTTCACCGATGATACGTCCCGCAACGTCGGAATCGACAACAGAAGCATCTTCCTCAATTCTCGCCGCATCTCCCGCTGCATCTTCGCCCTTGACGATCTTTGACAAAGCAACTTTCAATGCTGCCAGCATAGACGCCCCTACAACTGTAGTAGTCATCGCGTTACCCGCCAAATCCGCCAGTTGATCCTCGTTCTCGCTCGTCAACAGAAGTTCTCTAACGGGAATCCCCTGAAGAGCCAAAGCTTCCCGGCCAGTAACAGGTCCTCCTCGGTTGGTCACCCAGGGAATCATGTTGGGTGTGAGACATGGCGCAAGGGCGGTCTTGGCAGATTGAGTTTGTCGATCAACGTTTTGACTGACGTTCCAGATACACGCTTTGTAGCCCGAATCAACACCTTCTTTGGCCATGCGCAAAGTAGAAATTTCAAGAAGATCAACGACACGTTCAGTTTGTGAGAGAAGCCAATCGTTCCATGTCCAATCCAAACCTTTGCAAACACCAGCTTCGGTCCATGCGGTGAGAGGACGAAGCAGACCCAGCTTTTCCTCTTGACGAGCACGCTGATGTCTGGATTCACATCGGTTCCAATCGGTCGCTTTTCGTTGAGTGCCATCTTTGTGTTCCTTGGCACTGGCGAGGTCGAGACGGGCTCGGTGGATGTGAGTGTCGTCGGTGTGGAGAAGAAAGGCTTCGAAAGGGGCGGACCAAGGTCGACGCATGGCTTTCACTGTGGCCGCCCACTTCTCTGACAGGTGCTTCTCGGCGTTGGCCATAGGGGTGGCGAAGAGGTAGACTCGGGTACGGGTATGGGGTATGTAAAATTCCTTGGTATCAAGGCTTGTGGGTCAGCATATTCAAGTGTCTTCCCCTTTTTAAAGCCACCTGATGAGAGTGTCACGGGGGAGCGAGAATCCTGCAGCTAATCGGCAAACTTTTTGGTGTAGGAGCGGGGATCAAATAATCGCCTGACGATCGAGAATCCAATAGCTGATTGAGGAATATGTGTGAGAAAAGCAACGCGCACAAGAGGAAGGAGGGGAAGACATACCGAGCGTATTGAGCATCATAATCGATCTGAGCGAAATATTCCACAACCTTATCCCACGGAGCATTACAAACATTCTCCAAAATGACCACAGGAGGTTGATGTTTTTTGACCCATTGTAACATCCCACGAAATGTCCTACCAGATTCCCCGTTCGCTTCAATATCTTGTTGTTGATTGTTTAAATTAGAATAATCGACACATGAAGTTCCAGCAATGAGTAACTGTGAAGTCAGCTTTGGAGCACGAACCATAGGGTGGCTCACATCGACATTACCAGGTACGGCAGCAAGTGATCCGTAAGCCGTATGAGCTCTTTTCTTTCCTAATTCAGTGACGTCGCGGAATAAAATAGGAGGAGCAAAGTTTCGTTCGATGTATGCTTGTTTGAAAGGTTCGATTTCGCATGAGAAGACGTGATCGAAAGAAAGGGTGAGACCATGTTGTTTTTTGATAGCTTTGGCGATCATGTTCAAAGCTAGTAAAGGAGATTCCGTGCCTCTGTTGCAGATGTCAGAGATGGATTTTTGGACAGAAGATGAAGGACGTACGAGCACATGGTGGCTACTCGTAGCTTCCGACCGTTGAGATGTTGGACTAATTTGACGACATCAGGTACCTACAGTTGTCAGTGGGGAGTTGTGACAGATGATAGATCTCGCAGGGAGAAAAGAGGGAAGGATGGACGGGAAGTACCAAGAGGGGACGGCATGTGAAAAGCAGCAGGAAGGGGGATGATGGTCAAGGGAAATTATATAAGCGTGAGCGACAGAGGAGAAGAGCGAAAAAAGGATAAAAGTGAAAACTCACTCTTGAAACCATATGATCAAACATCAACTCTATATCATTCATAGGAGGTAGATCTTCGCTTAGGTTCTTAATTGCAGCCTTTATCTCTGCATCTTGTCCTAAACCTTTGATACCTGTGTTATAGCCGTTCCTTCATTTTCAGCACCTCTCTCTGATCAAAACGTCCTCAGATTGTCCAAGAAAGCAAGACTTACAAATTGACTGGAGGTTTCTTTGGCCCCTTGAGCTTAACACCCCATCCTCCTGAGAACGACTTCTTGATTGGTTTTTCCACTTCTACCGAATCAGCTCGAGTTTCATTCACGATACACGATACGCCCAACCTATCTCCTGTCATTGTACGCGTTAAAGGGTGATCGAGATAAGAGTGATTGAACCAGGAAATGGGTAAGAAGGGTGAGGATGAATAAACTTATAAAGTTTCATCAGTCTTCAGAGGGAAGGGGAAGATTATGAAAGGGAGACAAATTGAAGAAAACAAGAATGAAACCTCACCACCAACAGATTCTAAATCATCATCTTCTTCTTCCACATCACCTTCAACTTCAGATTCTTCCGCACTCATTTTAAAATCATCATCTTCAACCATATTAACATCCATTACGAAATCACTACCATCATCATCATCATTCTCATTTCTCTTCTTTTTCTTCTTGAGTTCCTTTTCCTTTCTTTCCTTTTTCATCCTTTTCAACTCTTTTTCTTTCCTCCCTTGTTCTTTTACCCGATTCATATCAATACTTCCGAAAACCTTTTCTTTCTTAGGAGGCATACTAAAGAAATTTCGTATATCACCGTTCTTCACGGGACTTTTCTTCAATGGAACAGTTCCTACTCTAGCTGCGTCTGGATGTTTCTCGTAAAATTCAAGAACGGGTGGATCGTCGTCGTCAAATTGAGTAGCTGGTGTCCAAGAATCTTCAGAATGATCGTATCCTTCCCAATGAATTAAATACTCAAGAACGTATGCTCCTTTGATAGGTCTGAATCTTGAATCTACAATGTATTCAACGTTATATTCTTCTTCACCTAATTCAGGTTCTTCAAGAATGATTTCCTCCTCTTCTTCTTCGTTGTCGTCGTCGCCGGTTTGAGAAGATGTGGAATCCTGTCAATTAGCAAATCTATCCTTACCAATCACTCTGATCTTTCTATCAAGTGAGAGTCATAGTTCAAGACTCGCCTCTTGGTGATGTTTCTTTCTCTGGAATGAAGTGTCCGTGTTCGTTCAAACTCGACAACAAATCACAAATTGGAAATTTTGGATTAGGGAAGATGTTTATATAAGATCTCCAGAGATGAGATTTTCAGGAAAGTATCACACAACCACGGAAGAGGAAGAGGATGTGTATGTGTACGAGTATACTCGATATCCTCATCTTCCCAGGGAAGATATATTTACATGGTGCACAGTCCACTAGCACAACATATCCAAGGTAGCATGTATACTTTTTTCATCACCCATTTCCAGTAGAAATCAGGAATCAAGAATTCACATCATATTCCCAACATCAGGACACCCAAAAAAAACTGACGACCGAGAACTAAAAGAGATCAAAAGAGATTACAACTCACTCTTTGTCCGTTGACCATTTTGTTCGCCCTAAAAGATCTAGGTGTCCTCTCCTCTTCCGATTCCTCGGGGTCAGTTTCGACTGTTAGGTCGACATAACTTTTTCTCTGCGAGGCAGAACGGGAAAGACGATTTCTTTCTTGTTGTGAATCGTTCGACTCCATCTTTTCGAGGACAAAATTGATGGGATACTAAGCACTAAGACAAGATGGACAAACAAGAAAGAAAAAAAGGATTGATAAGAGAAAAGATGAGACAAGACTTGAGGTAGGGATAAAGTATGAGTAGTCGCGTCGACGCGAAGAGGGTAAGGGGGAGGGTAAAGGAGGGGTGTGGAGGTGAAAGTGCCTGATTATTACGTGCTTGTCTTTTGTGGGGCTCCACTTTTAGCACGGGTCCATACAATGACTATTGTCTGGTATCATCCGCCATCAATGCTCGAAGTCGGGTTCTATCTACTGAGAAACGTCCTCTTTTCACTTTCGTTCTCTCCATCTTGATACTATCTCTCACAATCTGCTCTGATTTGATATCCGAAGACTTCCTACTATGTATATCCACTGCTTGAATGGAGACCGAGGAAGAAATACGGTCAAACTTCATCCTCTTGAGCTTCCGAGACGGTGGTATTGTCCCTTGATCACTAATCCCGACAATCGTTAGAGGAACAACAACCTCTTGCTTAGTCTCAGGGAAACACAATTTCTTGTGTGTTTTACACGAAGAGTTTGAATTGGACTTTGAAGAAATCCTATTCCTCATTCCCATTCCCATTCCCTTTTCCTTTTCCTCTTCAGTATCCCATTCTTCTTCATCCTCCTTTTTGTCAATATGATTTAATCCCGATGAAGACATATGAGTTAATCCTAATGAAGACATTTGTCGACGTCTTTCCGCACCACGACCCCTGGATACGCTCCCCTCACCGGGTAAGCGATCTCTCCATTCGTTCTCCTCCCCGTTTTCCGGAATCCTCAACAACCCCCTCTCTTGCTCCGCTTTCAATGAGAGGAGATACTCTTTAGGATACTGTTGTGACATCCAGGCATCGCGTTCTTGATTCATGTTATGTATACCACCTTCTTCAAGGGTATGACCGAAGAGAGTGGGGAAGAGAAACATGTCGAGACCTTTGAGAGATGGTACGAGGGCGTTACAAATGAGAGCTGAGGGTTGGAAAGTTTCGACCAGGGATTGCAATTCAGGAAGTGTACTATGTCGAGCTATAGGACATTCCTACCCTTATCAGCGCACAATCCACAATTTACTACCAACAAGCATGTCGCCGCCTGAGATCGTGTCAAGTCAAAGGGGAGAAGGTTCAAATGACGTACGATGTTCAAAGGCCACAAAGTTCCCCCGACAGCGGCAAGAGAAAGTCTCTCAAGAAATTCTTTATGTCTTATATCCCATTCAGCACTCTTGATCTCTAGAAAATTCACATGAACGATTCTCTTGTCTATATTCCAGACCCTATTCTGACCTTCGTAAGTCCGACAAGCGACACATTTGATTTTACGTTCACAAGCGTGGAATCGGGTGCAATTGGGATCATTGGTCGTACATGCAAGAAGGAATGGATCTGTCTCTACTGCGGAATAGATTGAACGTTTGTACCTGTCCACATGTATCTAGAAGTTAGCTATACGATTGATATGTCAAAGACTTGATTTGACTTACCGGAGTGCGGAAATACCTAGCAATGGCTTTGATGGCTCCTTCCCATCTATTCGTTAGCCATGGCCACCTGTTTGGTGGATACTGATCCAGACGTTCACCAGCTCGATAGACTGGATAGAGAATGCTCAAAAGGGCGCCAGTAAGGCCGATGACGAGGACAGAGCTTTCACTGCAGGCCGGATGGTGGAATAAAATGTGGAGAGGGAGAAAATGGTCAGGAGAGTGTACACGGAAGATGATAGGATGACTCACCCAAAACACCAAGCATTCAAAAAGAACACAGTATCCGACGGATAAAGGCTCATCTGAAGTACTAAATCCCTCAAAATTGGATCTCTATCAGGCATGTCACCCGTCCCTAACCTACTCATTAGTTTCGTCCAGGATCTTCAACAAAAGCTTACATGGCGGCCGTATCGAGATACATCCTATCCAAAATTCTTCTACCCCAATATATCTCTCTCTCTAAAGATGGAGCAAAGAGGTCTGGAGGGAGGAACTCTCCAATTGCCGGATTGGTACGTAGTGCCTGAAGGAATGGTCCATCGGCACGGATATCACCTGTGTGAAGTACAGCTCGATCTTTGGATTTGATCAAGAACCTAGAAGGTAAGCGTCTTTTACAGGGAACTTCATGATACGAATGAAGAGAGAAGAAACACTGACATGGCGGAACCGGGACAATGATTTGCATCAAGAGCAGTAATTGTTACGGTGATAGGTTGACCAAGAGAGTCGTATCCTAGATCATAATATTTCGGATCGCCGTAAGGTATGGTTTCCAAAGTTTGTCAGTTTCTTCCGGTCAACCATATTTGTCCAAACGTCTCACACTTCATGTCCTAGTCATTCCTCTCATCACGAATTTGATTCCGAACAGTCACATTTGACTGTCTGCATCACTCCCTATTGATCGCGCGATCTCTCCTAAATGATAGATGGTAATATCGAAGACGTGAAAAGGGGGCGAAATGGAGGTAAGATACTGTACAAAACACTGAGGTCCAAAAGGGAATGGCGAATGATGCAAAATTGGAAAGCTCACTATGAGATCCACGATCCGCTCCCCCTTCTTACCCATATCTAACCTTCTCGCTCCCAAACCAGGGAATCTCAATCTTGGCAATTCGGTAATTCCCTTCTCTCTCAACACCCGATCATTCTCTCCTTCCAACTTCAAGAGCATCCTCTTAGTATCTGGCGTGCATATGATCCGGCCAGTGAAATTAGATGTTAAGCCTACCAGATGATCGGAATGAACATGGGTCAAGAGATAAAGTTGTGCAGGAGGAGCTATTATGTATTCCCGTTTTGTGGCTGGTTCTTTGCCTTTTCTTGAAGGTATTGTACGTTTTTCGACCGTGAAAGTATTATGATATTGAGAGGGCTGGAGTCGATCGGAAGTGGTGGCTGCGTTGAGGGATAAGGGGGCGGGGAAGGTGGATGAGGAGACAGGTTTGTCGGATGAAGTAGTACCGGGGCTATTGCGTGATGGGAGAGGACAGGGGATGAGCCATCCGTTAGAAGGAGGGGAAGTGAAGCAGTCCACTCGTATTTGAGGGAATTCGAGGATATGACCATCTGACCGTTAACATCTTTGCTACACGAGATAGCTTGATCAGTGTATGTGGAATCGTGGATACTCACTGTAAAGCCCAGCCATGGTGATGAGTGGAGTGGCAACGGTGACATTTTATTGAGGGAAAGTGAGTGGATGGTAAGAGTGGAGGTTGAGTCACCTCCCCCACCGATGGCGTCCTTCCCCCACTCGCGGCATCGGGGATCGGTGGCCGTGGGGCCATGCTGCTAGGTGGTAGCCTGGTAGAAGAAGTCACAGTGTGAAGAGTTTTGGGATATGGATAGATGCAACAGAAAAGTATCGCACGCATAGTGCATGTAAAAGTACAATTACTGAGACTGAAAGACCTCCAGTCCAGCTACAGGCATCATATCTAACTTTTCCTTCTCTCGTATCCCATTCACCCCTCTCTTTCACATGATGACGCAGCAAGAGTTTTGCTATCCGTCAGCAATCCTTTAGTAGCATATGTACATTTGCACTCCAAGTCACTATACAGGTGAAAGTAGAGGATGAGGTTGGAGTGAAGGTAAATAGATGGTATGAAGGAGGTGACTCACCTTCTTTGCAGTCTTATAAAACAACTTGCTTTGAGCTGATAAAGCATTAGAACGTTCGACCAGATTATCCAACTTTTCTCCTCTTTCCAAAACTGAATCGATCGTCTTATGCTATCAAATCAGTCATCAAAATCCCTCTTCAAAGAACTTATATTGACATACCAAAACAATTTTCGTCTCGTCAAGTTCCTGTTGCACCCTCATAATAGCATCCGCCTGTTTTGGATCTTGATATCTAGAAAGATATCCAATGAGTGTAGCTTCCAATTTTCCCTTTTGAGCAGGAGGTAGACCACCGGCTGCTGCTTGAGAAGGATTCCCACCAAAGGCGTTGGCGGATGCGGAGCCGAAAGAAGGAGCGGCTGATGATGCTGGTAGTTGCATCATCAGAGGAACGTTTTCGTCCAGTAATTTAGTCAAGAGAGAAAATGCGGGTCGATAAGGATATTCGAGATCAGTTATCATTACCGCTGTTTGTAAGTTTCTCTCCATCTCATTCCAGGAGTTTCGAATCCCGGGAGGGGTGGTGAATAAGTGTGGGTTTAGATGAAGATGAGGGAAGACTCACCTGCCAATCCCAAGTTTGATGGTCCTCGACCTGCCATACGGAAAACATGAGCTTTATAGTTATTCTCTTCCACTGAAGAAGGTTGATTGACAGGTGTACGTTCTGCTACAGTCTGATATATCAGTCACCCATTCGCTCAATCACCATTCGCCGCTCGGACGCCCTGATGAGAAGTAAGGTCCTTGGCATCGGAATGTAGTTGATATGGAACTCACTTTGGTGAAAAAAGTCATGAATTCTCCAACGCTACCTCTTTGGTAAAAGGAGAAACTACTGAGATCTTGAGATGCGCCGAGGACATTGGCTTGAGGGGGTGTGGTGGGTGTGACGGAAAGAAGGGAGAGGGAGTAGACCTTCATCGTGGAAGGGGGGTTTCCTGTCCGATTATTGATGTATGTTCTCTCGGACGGGTGGCCAAGGAAATGATGGAGACCGTCTATATGATATACGGAAGCACAAACGCACGAGAGTTAATGTTTAGGTAGGAAAGGAGATGGTTGGATAGTCAAGGAGAACCACCTGCACCCGTGTCGTCACTCATCGGCGCGGAACTGGATAATCCCGACGGACCTCGCATTAATCCCGACGCTCATTTGGCCATTTCCCACAAATCAGGTCACTACCAGCGAGGATCTTGTCACTACTCACCCAAATACCTGCACTCCCTCAATATTGAGAGTTATGGAGAAGTAAGACATTCAGAATGATCCTACAGAGTTCAAGATGCATAAAATACAGAGATATGAGCAGTGGGATGCTTGCTGACTGCTCCGAAAACCGTCTTTCGGACCCGAAACGCGTCCGAAACGCCCGAAAGTGGCCCGAAAGTGGTCCGAAAGCGTCCGAAAGCGTTCCGAAAGTGAATTCTTGGTTAAAGGGGAGGATCACATAATCCGAAAACAGGTCCGAAAGCCGTTGTAGGGCTGTCAATATGCATGATACACATGATCTCTATGCATCCAATGCATCCTGGACTGTCTAGGATCATTCTACATGTTTTACATCTTCATAATCTGCAATATTGAGAGAGTGCAGGTATTTGGGTGAGTAGTGGAGGTATTTGGGTGAGTAGTGGAGGGAAATGGGTGAAATGGCCAAATTTCCGTCGGGATTAATTCGAGGTCCGTCGCGATTATCCCTACACGCCAACTCTGATGCCCCCGGCCACGCAGCTCCCATTCAACCCCATCCATTCTATTCTACTTTACTTCTGACTTCTACAAAAGTATCTCAATTACAATATACATATCTGAACCACTCCATAATTATCTCTTCTCTCCCCTTTTCGCTCGACATAGAGCAAGATCAAAATCGGCCCTCGTCAGGTGATAAGTCAAAACTCTGACCACAATGTCCGACGCCCTGCCCGACGATGCCTGGGTCAACAACTTTCTCGACACCCCTCCACGACCTCTTCTCACTGCACTTCAGCGTCGTCTACAAGCCTCCACGTCACACGCGAATGCCTTGGCTGAAGTTTACAAACAGCGGGCGAGTGTAGAAGCTGCCTATGCCGAGGGGCTGGCAAAGTTGGTCAGGTCGGCAGAGAGCGGACAGTTGGCTGGTAAGGGCGGGATTGAGTGGGGTAAGGATGGTGCGGAGGGTAAACTATGGGATAGTGTGTTAAATGATTTGCGAGAGGTAAGTAAGGTTCTTTCCTCTCTTTTCGATCACCTAGCAACAGGGTGGGTTAGGGAGCGTGGGAGCAGTCTATCTCTATCGGCTCGATGACAACGTGTCTCCCGCAGGTCATGAAAAGAGTCACGGTAAACAGTGGTATATCTGTATTCAATCAGAAGGAAACGTGAAGGAGAATATGGGATTCGACCGCTGAACTGATCTATAGACATCCACATCTCACTCGACCCTTTCCGCACTCCTCAAAACAGACTTCGAAACTCCTCTCAGAGAAATGCCTCAGAAAATCGTAGCCTGGCGTAGGATAACAGAACAAGATTTATCTCTCGATCGCACTTTAAAAGAATATGAAAAAGTTTCTCAAAAACGAGATAAAGCCGAAGCCAAAGCACGTGGCGGTAAAGCTGAATTATTACAACAAGAAGTCAATCAATTATCTTCTCAACTCGTGTCTCTCTCTCCACTAGTCTACACAACTTATCAAAAACTAGACGAGGAACGTTTACGCACTTTGAAAGAAATCATAGTTCGATTCTGCACCTTACGAGGGGATATGTCAGCTAGGGATGGTGAACGAGCCGACACCGCTATAGCTTCTTTATTGGGATGGGAAACTCAAGATGAGGTGAGGTTGGTAGGACAAAGATTGGGATCGATGGGTGTTGGACAAGGAAGTAGAGGTCCATTGATGTCTTCTGTCAGTAGTACGAATACCACACGTGAGTTGAAATCTTGATATAAGTGAGAAATGCTAATGAGATTAGCGAGGACAGTGAGAAGATTGAGTTCTGTACCTTCTGTCAATAATGATTTTTCTCCTCGACCACCGATGAGACAGAACGGATCGGGATCAGGTGTGGCTCCTGGTACACCCACAGGTGGGTTTGCAGGTTTGAAATCGATTTTGGGACGAAAGAATACTGTGGTAGGGAGAGGAAGAAGTAACAGTATACCTAATTCTACTCGAAGTGGAGGACGAGATTTGGATGCTTTTGAGACTTTGAATGAGGAAGATGGGAATCAGGGTACAGTGAGACAACGACCAGCGCCTTCTGTGAGTCACTCACGTTTCACTTCATCAATCCATACAACACATGACGGTTGAGTCCTTCGAGATGTCCATGTGCTTTTGTTTGCAGTGATCGGTCTACAACTTGACGCATTCAATCTTTTCTTAAGACCATTCATTGTTCCTGGTGGTGATAGCTGGATAGCTGACAGACAGATTCGTACCGTTGATAATGAAGGTTTCACAGAACCGCCCCCTGATCGACATCGGAACCCATGGGAAGATCCAAATGAACTCATTCCCACTCCTGCTACTTCTTCACCTCGGGCATCATCTCAAACCACTTCCGCCAACCCACCTCAACTTCCCGCTCCATCTTTCGGACAAACATTCGAAGCATCACCCACTACATCACAAGATAATCTGTCCAGTTCAGCATCTTCTCAACATCAACCTGGCAAGTTGAATCTGGCCATGAGCACAATTCCTATTCAAGAAACTGACGAAGAACGTCAATTAGCAGTTGCTAAAATCCAAGCTGCCCTCTCTTTACCTCAACAACCCACAAGAAGGGGTACGGTCGCTCGTGGTCGAAGAGATGTCAGAAATACAATGTTTGGTGGTAATGTAGATACTACCCTCAATACATCTGGACTCGGAAATTTGCAAGAATCGACAATGACCATGACTGAATCACCTATTCAGCAACATGATAATTTACCTTCTTCTCCTACTGGATCAACCAACATCATACCCTTAGGACCGGTGGTCACAGGGACAGGAATGAATGGATTTGATCCTCATACTCCTGGAAAACCTTCTGCGCAACGAAGGACATCATCAGCTTCCATCATTTCCAATAATCCATTCGATTCACCCGGTTTAAATTTCTCACCTCCTACTTCCATCCCCGGTTCAACGATGCAAGAAGGTCTTCGAGCCAACATGTTGGAAACCATCAATACAGTCATACGTTCAGGTATCGTAACAAAAGTTCAAATAACCGGTGAAATACATTTCTCACTTTCACTTTCTTCTTTTTCAACATCTTCTCCAATTCATATCCGTCTCACATCATTCGAATCTCTTGAGAAAATAGCACCCAATCCAACTTATCTATCACAAGTACCGGATAACCCAGGAGAATATTATCTTAATCCTGAAACACTTTCACAAGCAAGTAAAACATCAATACCGAAAGGTGTACTTTTATTCAAATACCAAGCTCATCTTTCTCAAGGAACCGAATCGACAGTTTTACCTATTTTATTAGAACCTGCTTTCCAAAAGTAAAACAAGGAGAAACAAGGATAATCGTTAATTATAAACTCAATCCTGAATCTTTGTTATCATCTTCTTTAAGTGATGAAATGACTTTATCAGCGGCTTTCGGTCCAGGAGTAGGTGTGAAAGAAGTTCAAGCGAAACCTGCTGGAGCGATTTGGAGTCCAAATACAAGACGAATGACTTGGAGAGTTCCTCTCCTCAACGGGGGAAATAATATCAAAGGAGGTGGGGGTGGGGGTGGTGGAGGTGGAAGTCTTAATTCTCCGGCCGGGGGAGTAGGTATAGGAGGAAAAGCAGTAGCGAGATTAGTAACGGAAGAAGGAGAACCTTTGGTACCATTAGCAGTGGCGGGTATGTGGAAAGTGGATGGCATGTTAGGTAGTGGTTTAGGGATCGAAGTAGTTGAAGGAGGGATTAATTTTGATCAAGTGAAAAAAGGGACAATGGCAGGGAAGTATCTAGCGGAACCGGTGTAGATCATTTTTGTTTCTTCAGGTTTATCTTTGTCAATTGATGCGACGGTCAAGGTATGGCGGGCGGGTTGTCAAGGTTGTGGTACAGCGGGATGATAGTGAGCGTATTGGGGATGAAATAGGGTGTTGTGGTAAAGTAGAAATGCGGTGATGAAAACCACTTACCTGGGGCAGAGGAGGAAAGGTTTGCTCGTATTGAGGGATAATGGATGGAACAGTAACTCTACGAGTAATTCGTAAATGGTGGATGAGAAGGAGAGCGTATCAAGGAGAAAGAAGAGATTTAAATGCAAAACATATCTTGTCTTTCACTCTTTCTCTAATCTTGCAAGTTGAGACATGCTTTCCTGACATGTATCCTATACATTCCATATTGAGGATATCGAGTTTTTAGTTTAGATCGATGTATGACGATATATACAGTATATCCTCACTCTAGTTAGTTGCTGTAGTTGATGTGGACAACATGACACATCACAATCTCCACCATAAAAATGGTACCGAATATTGACAACTTTACTAACTCACTTCTGACATGTCAACACATGACAAATGAGAATCACTACACTATACATAAGATCACATGACAAATGAGAACCATTCTATGTCATATCAAATGATGCATCGACTGATTACCTCACGAATGATAGTTAATCCAATTGAACACCCCACAAATGATAATGAATATCATGATACAAAGAAAAAGGGGAGGAACAAGATGAGAAATACACCATTTTTTTTTACAAATCTTTGACCATATAAGGTCCATCTAACCAATATCCAAGACGTCTATAATAATCTCTTGTTCCAACACCTGAAATAACAGCTATTCTACAACTTCCATGTTCATCTTTAGCTATACGTTCTGCTTCTTCCATCAAAAGAGTACCTATACCTTGATGTTGAAATTTCTTTGGGTCACGGGAATGAACAGGTGCTGCTGTACCGTATACGTGCTGATGTCAGTTCTCTATTCTTTCGATCTTGTATCTCAACACCTTTTTTTTCTTCTCATCTCCGCATGACTAATTTTTCAATTCATATCGAGATTGGTGAAGTTGATGTTTGTGGCTCTTTCATCGCGAGGTATGCTATGTACTCCCAAGGTCCTAAGTTGAAGGAATACGACATAGTCTCGACTCGTTTCTTCCTTCTTCTGCCTCATAATTCGTTAGGAAGATCAGGATGAGCTTGACGGGGAGGGCGAAAAGCGGTGGATGAAAACAAGAAACACATCAAAAAACACTAAAAACAAACTCACCAGCTCTCTAACCAAACTACACCCACCTTCCATACCTACCAATTCCTTTCTGAACGTTCCATCTTCCGAACATTTTCTCAATCTTAACAATCCCACCAAGATATCCTGCTCTGGATCTTCATACGATAGGAAAGTTTCCCATCCGCCATTAGCGGCGTAATCTCTTCTCAACAATTCCAGGTCTTGGGGTCTGACACGATTATGTATTTCGTGCAACTCAAAGGTCAGCACGCAACTCCAATTCCAATCTCTTTTCTTGATATTCAAGCTTTATTAGCTGGACTGCTTCTGTGACAGAGTGATTGGGAGTGGTCTGATCAGACGGGGTCCCTGGTGGATAGATTTTTGACAGTTGCGAAAGAAAACTCACCCCAACCTCGCGATAGCGGACATCTCGACATTCCGCACCAAAATCTTTCATCCGTGCCAAAGCCAACTCCCGGAGGTTACCATTTTCCACGCCGGAGGAAACGAGAGGCATAGGGATATCACGTTGAACCCGATACACTGTGGTCCAAGGAGGGACTAGGGCCATGATGCGTGCGACGATGTCGACGAGGGCGTTGGGAGGATAATTCTTGTATCATCCAGTCCGTCAAAGTTTGTACAGGCCTGAAATACCAGCACCTCAACACAACATCGTGACCT